CGGTAAGACGACAATCATCTCGCTGCTGGAACGCTTCTACGACCTAAACCGCAACCACGGTTCGATTCTCTGCAATGGCGTCGATATCAACGAGCTCGACGTCTACGACTACCGCCGGAACCTATCTCTGGTCTCCCAAGAACCCATCATGTTCCGGGGCACGGTCCGAGACAACATCCTCTTCGGCATCGACGACCCAACCGCCATCTCGGACGAGAGGATCCACGAGGTCTGCATTGACGCCTTCATTCACGACTTTATCATCTCGCTGCCCGAAGGATACGATACCGACGTCGGTGCAAAGGGTGTCTCCATGTCGGGCGGCCAGAAGCAGCGCATCGCCATCGCGCGCGCCCTCATCCGCCGTCCAAAGCTCCTGCTCTTGGACGAGGCCACGTCGGCGCTCGATTCCGAGTCGGAGAAGATTGTGCAGGCGGCGTTTGAGAGGGCGCGCGACGGCCGCACCGTCGTCGCCGTGGCCCACCGGCTGTCGACGATTCAAACCGCCGACGTGATTTTTGTGTTTAGCGAGGGGCGGGTGGTGGAGAAGGGAAGCCACAGCGAGCTCATTAGGAAACAGGGCGTATACTGGGAAATGGTAAGTTGTGCTTTTGTTCTGCCTAACTTTGATGTTGCTTTGCTAACATATTTCGTGAAAACAGTGTCAAAGTCAGGCATTGGACCAATAGTTTCGGTCCACAGTAGGAGCAAGGCGTGGGAATACTTGCAGTTGGAAGTAAACGAAGTGAGAACATGTGGAGGTCTTGAGCAGAAATCATACTCATCAAACAGGCAGCGTGTTGTAAATGTACTGTTGTGTTGTTCAGTTTCATTATCGGGGGTATCAAACTAGCATATTTAGAGACGTCACTTGAATCTACTCTAGAAAAATACCTCTCTTCCAACCTCTCAGCACGGCCTGCCAATTGGTAACCTCGAGTCCATGTCACCCTGAGCCACGGCATTAAACAGGTCCAAGATGAGCAGTCCGCTATGCATCGTGAGAGGTTGCCGCTTCCACTGGGCCTCCCCGCCATCTCTGGGGATATCGGCCGCCTCTTCCACCAGCTGCCATTTCCCCGCAGCCTCGTCTCTCTCCATGTACCGCAACACGACGCGGTCGCCGCTGTCTTCGAAGACGAACTCGCGGCGCCATAGCCGCCGCCACTGTTCATCAGGCGTGCCCATCGCGTTCACCCGCTCGACGTGGCGGTTCCGCAGGGCCAGGGCGTACAGAGCGCGGATGCTCCATATACCGTCCTGGCCCGGATATTCCTTCAGTATCCACATGGCCTCGTCGCGCACGAGGGGGTCGCGGCAGAAGAGGGATATGACGAGCAGGCACCAGCTCAGGCTGCACTGCAGCGAGAGGTGATGGGCCGGGTTTGTCTGGAACTCCTTCTTGGCGGCCCTCGTGGCGATGTGCGCGAGGGAGATGTACTCGCGGTACAGCGGCGTTATAGCCCGGGCGCTCTTGTCTTCTATGAAGGCGGGCGCGTTGCTGAAGATGTAGACGCCCATGAACTCGATGCGCAGGAGGATGGCGCGGAGGTAGGTGGGGGATCCGACGTCGACTTGCATGATTTGGTTAAAGAGGGGTTGGAAGCCCGTGTTGAGCTTGACCATGGACTTGTGGAAGTTTTCGCAGAAGCTGACGATCCGAGGATTCCTAAAGAGTTCGAAATGAAGCTTGTTGATGGTGACGTCGTCGTCGGCACCGCGGAGGCCAGAGGTTTTGAATACGTCCTCCATGACGGCGCCCATGGCGGCTTGGTGACGTCGTATGGCTGGCCATATCTGCTCAAACTGCTCGAGGGTGTCAAAGGAGTCGGGATACGAGTCTGGTGAGTTGGCGGCTTCGCTCTGCGTCTGGTTGAGGAGCATCATGAAGGTCTCCATGGTCTGCTTTGTACTCCGCAGGCGCTTTGCGAGATTTGGGAGGGGCGGACCGTCGACGATACGACCCCTGAAGACGGTGCGGGCCTGCTTGGCTAGGTGGTTGAAGACATCTGCCACGGCGCCGATGACGGGCTTCGGGTTGGGGGCCAGGTCGGCTAGGCGATGATGGGCGTCTGTGTCTGTCACGATGGCGAGCAGTAGGGACAGGGCGTGGTTGACGTGGTCGAGGGCGGCTTTCCTGTTGCCCCTTAGAGTCTCAAAGAAGAGGAGGAGAACGGACAGGAAGACGGCGTCCTGAGCGGAGGCCCGTCGGCACTGCATCTTGAGAGAGTCGCAGTAGTGAGCCACAGCCTGGAAGTAATGGGTGTCCCCTTGGGCGATGGGTTGGTCGGGTACGGTGATGGCATGGAGAGAGACGTGGGCGGACTGGCGATACCACACGCTCAAGGCACCGATGGCCATGGCGGCAGAGCGGAGTGTGCCATTGTTGCGGGACAGCTGCGGCAGCATGACTTCCCACAGGTCGCCGGTAGAGACAGCTCTCATCCAGGGGCCTCGAACCAGGCCGACGAATTCCTGGAAGTAGGACATGCTGTTGTCATCGCGGAAGTCGACCGTGTTGGTATTCAGTTTCGTCTGCGCCGTGGGTGATGCTGCTGCACGAGGGATGATGGCCTGAGTGGAATTCCAACACAGCTCTGCGGGCCCCGAGGACTTTTTGTTCTTCTTCTGATCCGGGAGATAACCTTCACATTGACCCCGGGTTTGGAGGCAGTTGGTACAATGTGGTTTGGATTCGTCACATTTAATGTGGCGTTTCTTACATGTAATGCATCCAGTGCGTACTTTGCGTGTGCTTGTACGCGATAGCTTCACTTTGGTCACACGGACGGCTGGCGTTGGCTCGGGGCCGTGTTAGAGTCCGAGATGATGGACCTGAGAATGTCAGTTGACTTCTTATGACTGATGCCGATGCTTTCATTCCACTTCTTACCCTTGTGGGATGACGGGTAGTATTGCCTTGTATTCTGCCATGGCGATACGTCCCCACGATAAGCGTTGGTTGGCATCTTTTGAGAACGTATCCGTAAGGCGAGTAATTATCGGCCGGTACCTTATGATGACAATGTGAAGTTGCCTAGTTCCCTGTCCCACTTTTACCCGTCTGACGACGGGACGTTCGATGAACCAAATTGGGCACTTTATCGACCGAGTTGCCAGATGTTGCCAGATGTATTTCTAAGTTGCCAACTGTCCGTCAAGAGATTCCAGTCGCCTCTTATATTTGGCGCTTTGCTGTCCGTTTCCCAGTTGGCGATGACCATCTCCTTCAGCTAGGTGGGGTCAGTCCAGAATAGACGTGATGACATCGAGCATTGAATCCATCCCAATGGTTCAGGTCAGGTCTTCTTTGCCGGAATGATCAATGAAAAGAAACGTGATGAACTTTGCAGAATTAAGGTCCAGGAATGCAGTCAGAATCAGCCCCGGCGTCTACTACCCAGAGCCCCTGCATAGTAGGCAGGGAAGCAGGCGCTTTGCTTGCATTGGTACCTGCAGATGTCACGCTGCTTCCCTGCTCTATGGCTTTTCCCTCCAGTCCTCAAAACTTCTTTCCGTCGTCAATATTTCCTCGGCCGGCTTCTCCTGCAGCAGTATGCTTTCTTCCAAAGGCATAATAAATGCCTGAGTTCGCTCTTATTCGGTTTGTGGGCAATGGTCGACAGCGCCACTGCATCAACACGTCGGGACGGGAAGAGCAACTTGGGAGGTTGCTGATCATTGCAACACGAGGATAGATAGATTGGCGGGATTGACAACTAACGATTGACACATCAAACGTCTCGCTCGTAAATTTTTTTTTTGCAGAATAACCCCGCGGGACAACGGCACCAAAACAACTCGGTAAACAGTGGTGAGTGACAGACAGTGTGATGGCCTGAATGGAATGTCCCGCATACAGGTGGAGTGTTTGTGTTGGTCACCGGGAAGGGCATCGATGATCGTGGTTGCTGGAAAATACGGGGGAGGGGCGCCACGGCCTGGCCGGACGACAGCGACAGGGGCATGGGGGTAGGGAATAGTGGGTGTGGACTGCTAAATATGGGCAAGCCAGCAGGGACCCACCCGGCCGTCCCAGTTGGGAGCAAATGGAAGCCCTGGGACGCCGGTAAAATGGGATGGCAGCCGTGATTGGGTCGGTGTTTCGACCGGGCCTGCCCCGAATGCCTTGCCCTGCGCCCAGCGTGACCTCATCGCCACCATCGTTCCAGGGGCAAGACCATACCTTATAGCACCTTTTGTATGGTGCTAAAGTTGTTGTGGACGGAGTAAAGAATACAGTCCACACCAGTGACCTCACCTTGGCTCGTTCCTGCATGTGAGTTGTGTTGTTGTTTTGATGGAGGTACCTTAGGGGATGAGGAAGAGACACACTAGTGCTGTCACGTTGGTGCGGTGGCACCACTCAACTGGCTTCTTTACTTGCCTCTTTCAGACTTTTTTACCTGTGCCATCCTTCAAGGTTCTTCTTGTTGAGAGTGTGGCACGCGTAGGAAATCCCAAAGAGCGGAAGAGAGCTTCCCAAAGGGGAGAGACGGGGAAGCCCAAGGAACAGGGAACCCTGCAAGACACCCAGCTTCCCAAGCTTGTGATGTGATCTGATCAAGCATCCCTCCTACTGTCTGGGGAATCCCTCCTTACCTGCTCTGCCCTACCCTGTCACTTGCTTTTTCCCTTTTCTATCCTTTCATCGCCCAGCCGACTTCATCACTCTTCTTCCTCCTTACCTTCACTGTCACTCACGATACCTTACCTGGCCCTCATCCTTCTCTATACCTACGGGACTCTGGGACAATCTCACCAATCCGTCTCTCGTTTTTGGAATACCTTGGACCTACCTGCCTGCCTCTTGTGTATTTACTCGTAGTCAACACTTCGTACTCCTACTAGAGTGCCCGGTCTCTCCTCCAACTGTAACTTTGGATCTTGCCGCCAACCTTCAACCGAAACCCAATTCCACACAACGCTCATCATTTTGCCCACCTCGCATCACATCGTCACCGTTGTAACACATCAAGACCTCCTTCAGCGTTGCAAAAATGCGCGCCTCTCTGAGCTTGGCGGCTGTGTATGCCGCAGCCACGGCCAGCGCCTTTCAGGGGTTCAACTACGGATCTACCTTCATCGACGGTAAAGCGAAAGCACAGTCAGACTTCGAATCCGAGTTCAAGACCGCAGCTAGCCTCGAGGGCACCAATGGCGCCTTCACGTCCGGTCGTCTCTACACCATGGTCCAGGGAGGAAGCACTAACGATGTCATCTCTGCTATTCCCGCCGCCATTTCCACAAAGACGACTCTTCTGCTCGGTCTGTGGGCCTCCGCCGGTGATGCTGCTTTCGCCAACGAGCTTGAGGCACTGAAGAAGACTGTCTCGCAGTATGGAAGTCAGCTGAATGGCCTGATTGCTGGTATCTCTGTCGGTAGCGAAGACCTCTACCGCCACTCGCCTACCGGTATCGCCAACGGCGAATTCTCCGGCGCCGAACCCAGCATTCTCGTCAAGTACTTTGAGCAAGTCCGAGAGGTCATCAAGAACTCGCCCCTGAGCAGTGCTCCTATCGGTCACGTCGACACATGGACCGCCTGGGTTAACGGCAGCAACAAGGCGGTCATCGACGCCTGCGACTGGATTGGAATGGACGCTTACCCCTACTTCGAGGACACCAAGCCCAACTCCATTTCTGACAGCAAGGACCGCTGGGCCGAAGCTTTGGCTGCCACCCAGGGAGCTGTTGGTGGAAAGCCCGTTTGGGTCGCTGAGACTGGTTGGCCCGTCAGCGGCAAGACTGTTGGTGCTGCCGTTCCATCTCTCGAGAACGCAAAGAAATTCTGGAATGACGTCGGCTGCCCCATGTTCGGCAAGACAAATGTCTGGTGGTACACATTCCAGGACTCTTCTCCAACAACACCCAACCCCAGCTTCGGTGTTATTGGCTCGACCTTGACCACCAAGCCTCTCTACGACCTCTCATGTGACAGTGTCAGCTCTAGTTCATCCGCATTGGCCTCGGCCTCCTCTACGAACACTGCGTCTGCTAGTGCGTCTACCCAGGCCAGCAGCGCAGTCTCAGCATCTGCTACTGCAACGGCTACTGCTACAGGAGGCGGACCCGGTGGTTCAGGTTCAAGCCAGCAGAGCTCTGATGCTGGTACCGCTACCACTCTCTCGACTGTGGTGCCTACTGATGGTGGCTCGGGTGGAAGCGGTGGTGGAAGTGCCACTGCTACGGGCACTGCTACAGACGGTGCTTCGCCTTCTGCCTCTCAGAGCTCCGGCTCCGGCGGTGGCTCCGGCGGAGGTTCCGGCGGAGGTTCCGGCACTGGTGGCCCCGGTACTAATGGCACCGTCAGCGTTCCAACGACGGCACCGACGGTTGTCCCTGGTAGCAGTGCAACCACGACGACCTTCAGCGTTGTTGTTCTGGCTGGAGCGATTGTTCTCGCCATGTTGTAAGGCCTTCGTGACGAGGAGAAGAGGAATTGATCTCAGCATGATCATTATTGACCTTGTAATATTCTAATTGTTATTCGGGTTGACTTGGAACGTGGGGGACGTACACTTGGGAGGCAGAAGTGGTCTGGAAGGTCGACCTCTTACGGTTGAGCAGCAACTCCTAGGCCTTGCACGGCTTTGGGTCTTCGAGCACGTGTCCAAACCCTGGATACTGAGTTGGATGGAAGCACCTACGCATCCTCGAGGCGATAAGAGTCGCCCTAGACGGAGTAGTCATTACGAATGAATGCCAAAAAAGTTTCTGATGTTAAATTCTGAGTGTGGATTCTACCTCCTCTCTATGCATTCCACCTCCCTTATTGACTGCACCTGAGGTACTTTCCTGGATGAATGACCGAAGCTCTGTAGTGCTGGAGACGTCTTGGATACACCTTACTGTATCCATACATTCTGAGTTCGGCAATTCTGCAAGGCGCAGTCATTGACGTTTCCCGTACATAGAACTGCCTTCTTGTTCCGGTACTCGAAAACCGGGTTTCAGGGGCTGGACCAAGTGAAGCAGGTAGAAAGAGCACAGCACGTTCTTTCATAAAGTGGCATTATACGGTGGTGATACACAAATCATATGATACAATTATCTCTCTTCTCCTTTACTCGTCGAGTAATCCCACAGTCCAGTGGACAATCCGATCAACACCCTGGCCATTGATAGCACTAATGGGAATAGCGGTGACGTTCTCCGTCCACGCATTCTCGATCCCGCTCGGGTGCGGCGTGGTCCCTTGCTTAATCTCGTCGAGATAGGTCTTGAGCTCCCTGAAATTCTCCTGCGTCTCGGGGAGGTCGGCCTTGGTGGCGACCACGTACCACGGCTTGGCCGCGATGTGCAGGCCTGACTCCTGCCGGGGCGCCGGCGGGGCGTCGGCCACCATCATGGTGCCGGTGCCGTGCGTGCCCCGCAGAGCGGCCTCGCTGCTGGTACCCGAGTTTAGGTCCCAGTCGACGCGGGCGTCGATCTCGCGCGCGCGTTCTTCTTCTTCGCGCATCTGCGCGTAGAGGCCGACTTCGTTCCATAGAGCCTTGAGTGCCTTGACGGCGGGGCCGGCGGAGAGGTCGACGACGAAGGCGAGCACGCCGGCACGCTCGACGTGGCGTAGGAACGCGATGCCGAGCCCGCGGTCTAGGTGGGCTCCCTCGATGAGACCCGGGATGTCGGCGACGGTGAACCGGGTCCGCTGCTCGACCAGGACCTCCTCCGCGCCGGGTTGTCCGCCGCCGTACGCGGGGTCGGCGGCCGGGTACCGCTTGTAGCTCTTGATCACGGGCCGTCCCTTGTAGCTGTCTAGCACGACGGTGCCGATGTTTGGCTGCAGCGTCGTGAAGGCCCAGTTGCCGACGCGCGTGCGCGAGTTGGTGATGGCGCGAAGCAGAGTGCTCTTACCGGCGTTGGGCAGTCCCACGAGCCCGACGTCGGCGAGGAGCTTGAGCTCCAGCTCGATATCCATGGTCACGGCGCGCTCGCCCTTTGTGGCGAAGATGGGCCGCGGAAACTCGCGCGACGTAAAGTGCGGGTTGCCGAGCCCGCCAATGCCACCGACGGCGAGCAGGATGGGCTGCGGAGACGGGCGCGACAGGTCGAGCTGGATCGGACCAGGTGGCTGGTGGTAGAGACGTGTGCGTGTGGGAGCTTTGGGTAGGGATATCGTCTTCAGATCCGACTTCGAGAGGCCGGGGTACAGAAGAAACTTGTTGCGATCCGGGTCTTCGGGCTCGTCAAATTCATCCTCGGCCTGCCTTTTCGCCTTCGCCTCCCTTTCCGCCGCCATCTCTTCATCCTCCTCTTCAATTCCCTCCTCCAACTCCCGCCTGGCCTGCTCCGCCAATTCAGCCTGACGGGCCAATTTGGCCCTTTTCTCGGCCTTTCTTTGCGCCTTCATGGCGCGCTGCATTATCGCATCCTCAGCAATAGGGTCCTCCCGGCTCAGCTCGCGGACGACAGTACCAACTGGCACAGTGATGATGACGTCGTCGCCTCGCTGACCGCCTTTGGAGCTGCCCTGACCAGACTTTCCCTTTCCTGCTCGAATGAAGCGCCGCCTAGCTAATTTGTGCAGTGACGTCTCGCCGTGTACAGCTTGGATGTAGATGTTGCCTCCATGACCACCATCGCCGCCATTGGGGGGTCCGTCGGGAAGGTATGCGTCGCGGAAGAAGGAGATGCAGCCGTGGCCACCAGGGCCTGCGTAGAGGGTTACCGAGGCTTTGTCGGCGAAGATGGGCTGGGAATAGTCGTCGGGAGCTGGGTTGAGTCTGGTGGATTTCGATTCTTGGGCTACCTGGGTGGAGCTATGGCGGCGACTTGCGACTGCTCTCGCAGCGAGACGAGGTGCAGCGGTACTCTTGGAAAGAAATAACGAAGGGTACAGAAACGGGAGCAACACCGCATGTCCGCCCGAACATCTTGGCGCCATGTTTCGTTTCTTGTTCGGCACCAGATGATGCCGGTCGTTGTCGTCGCCGTTATGGTCGTCGCCGAGTGCCTGTGACTCGGTGGGATGAGACAAGCTCGAAATTTTGGATGCCCTGCTTCCATCCCATCTGAAGTGCCTTATCCGTAGCTGTCGATAAGATAAGAAGATGGGTTACATAATCTGGCAGGGGCGGGAGCAACCGTTGTGAGACCAGGATCAACGACCGAACGGCATTGTCAAACGGGCCAGTGCCCAAATCATCGGGAAACAAACTGGGGCTGACATGATATCCGGCGCCGCGCACTGCCTCGTAAGCTCCCCTTGAGTTGGCTGGGGAAGATTAGAAGACTGAAAAGGGAAACGGGACCTCACTTGTCTTTTCAGCCTCTTCAACGTCACTCCTTCATCTCCCGACTTTGAGATGCGGCTCCATGAGGGGCCACTGTGAGCCTGTGAGGCAAATTCGACCGACTCAGGCAGAGGCATGGTATCATGTATGGCGGTGCAGCTTACCAATGGCGACTTGCCACAGCTTCTTTTCGAATCCATAATCTGACAGAAAGGAATTGCTCGGTTATGTTTTGCGCGCATGCAGCGGGCTCTAATCGAGAAGCGAGGTGCATAAGGTAGGGCAAGATGCGGTGAGCCAACCAGCCTGATCCCATGACCCAATGCATTGTAGGGCCATCAGAAAAGCAGCGGCCATCGTCGAGACCAAGAGCATCTTGCTGGAAGGGGCCGGTGGTGGATGAATAGTCGATGGAGAGATGCCAATAGGTAGTATGGCACTGAGAGCACCTAGGTAAGGTAAGTTAAGGTGGCCCGAGTTGGGCTTGATCTTCGATACCTTAAGGTAAGGTAGGCGTTCGTTGGCGTTCTGGAAGCACACGTTCGGACGTTGCATCAGATGGAACCAAGTGGTTCCCAGCTGATCAGTTACAATAGGTAGTGACTTGCCCCCCTCCTTCCTGTCTAAGGCACGCAGTAGTGTGGACTGGTTCGTCCCTTGTGCATCGTACTTTCCCTCAATGAGATGGATGGTGTTGCTGGCCTGGTATCTCCAAAGTTGGGCCACTTCCATTGACGAGAACCTGTGGAAGGTGCTCTGGTGTCTGGGTCCAGGTCTGGGAAGACGGGGCAGTCACAGTCCAGCCACCCCACCCCGCCGGTCGTCTCGGCCTACAGACGCTGACCCGCCCGACATCTCCTGCCCCTCTCCGCTTTCTTTCCTCTTCGGTGTCTCCCGTTGGACCATCGGCGCTGTCTTGCTTGTAGACCCAGGTAGTACTCCGTAAGGTCAGGTACCTGATGGATTCACCCAACCTCCCGTACTGTCAAGTACCCCCGCTTCACTGCAAACCCTCCCCTGGCCCTTGACCGCCTTGAAGCCCAAAGCTAAAGGCGGGAACGGCACCGGAAGGACAAACGAGGGGCGGCGACAACGCACACACATAATCTGCCCCTCCACTCATCGACCTGCTTCTTGTCGTGCTCTCTCTCTCTCCTCTCGTCTGCCGACTGACTGCAATTTTCATCAATTTTCTCTCGTCTTCCACCAACCATCCCTTCTCTTAACATCTCCTTCAGCAGACCTACCTTGTCTACGGATACCTCAAAATAACCGGCCTCTTACTGGTCCCTCTTATTGGAGCTCATTGGGACTTGGTCAGGCAGACGACCTCTCTCGCTTGGCGCCCCCTTCATTGGGCCATCGTCGGACCCCCCAAGACTTGCATATTGGAAGCTGCTGGCATTCGAGCCACGACACTCGCGCTGCAGTCAAAACCCCCTTCCCATTCGATCCTCTCTTCATCTACCTGCGTTCTCGTGGATCAAGCTATCTCTCTCCCCACGTCTCCTCCGCATCTTCTGCTTCTGCTTCTGCTTCTCGTTGAATGAGAGCCCGCCGTTTGTTTGCTACGACTACGACTTCGTTGCTATCGATTCGATCTTCTCTGTTGTTGCAGGAAACTTAGGAAGCCTACCTTAGCCTGCTGCTTTCTTGCTTGCTTGTCTTATTGTTTCATGCTTCGATGCTGCAGGATACATAGCACCAACACACGGGAGCAACTCGCTTTATTCGTCCTAGTTTTGTTTATTCCCATCTACCTTACGGATATTCACTCTCTCACCCTACAACCGACGCTCTGCCGGGCTGTAACCATCCACCCCCTCTTAATAATCTCTTAAGCCAGGTCAGTCCATCACCGCTTTTCCTTCACTCCTCTCTTCTTCCACTCCTTCTGCCCGTCTGCCGAGCCTCATCCCCAACCCCATACTCTCCAAATTCTCTCCATGAGACCCAATCTCAGGGTCTCGAGAGGAATAATGACATTTGTACTAGTAATAGATGACCCATCTTGACCTCCTTGTACAATATCCTCTCATCTTCACCTCCTCTCCCCCTCCGCTAGAGACAGACCCCTAGTGTCCCATCTGGTGATCCCTTCGCTAAGATGTATCCATATTCCCACAGAGACTACAGGCCGCGCACTCCACGCACTCCGCGTGTGCGCAAGACTACCACCAGGATGGACCCGGACTGTGCTATATGTCACGCTCCTGCCTCTGCAGCTTGCGACTGCGAGGCCAAGGGACTTGATGTTGCCATTAAACAGGCTGAGCAGCGCATGATGCAGTCCATATACACCGATATTCGGTAAGCCTGACATTTCATGTTTGCCTATGGAAGACCTCTCATGCTAACTACATACACAGGAGCTGGGTTCGGGCTCACGCGCAAGACTATATCCTGGAATATTTCCGTCTCCTCACCGAGCGCCGAAAGACAGCTCACGCCTCTAACCTTGAACGCATCAACGCCACCGCATACCATTACTATCACGCTCCGCCTCATCCCAGCGAGCTTGCCCAGGCGCAGGCCGCATTGAAACATGGCATTGACGAAGATTGGCAATCCAGTGTCCAGCGATATCCCGAAGTCCTCGAGTATTTCTTCAGTCTGGTCGAGCTGAACGTCCCTCCAGATGATGACCCTTTCGTTAAGGATCCTCCATTGAGCGCCCTCAGTGGCGGGTCCAAGAATAGATCTGGAAGAAGAATCGGAGGAGGCGGACCTCCTTCAGGCGGGCCTCCAGCCATTGCTGCGCCTAGCAGTCATGACAGAGATCCGTTTGGAAGAAGAACCCCACCCCCACCCATGGACATGCCACCGATGCCGATGCCTAGTAGAATGGGCGGGAGAACGCCGGCCTTGAGGGAAAGAGAAAGAAGGTCATTGCCGCCAGGTATGCCGCCTATGGGACCGTCAATGGGACACCCCGGACACCCCGGACACCCCGGAGGGCCACCGCCTGGATATGGACGAACCGCACCTCCGCCTGCGGGTGCGTACTATGGATGGGGTCAGCCATGAAAGCCGACATGGACGAAACACACCATCCAGAGCTAGGAGCTCCCGAAGTTCGAATATCATTTGGTACGAATTACGGCGTCTTTTGCAATTTTCTTATGATATTATTTTGATGAGACCCACGAACTGCATTAGCGGTCTTTTTGGTGTATTGACGCGGGATAAGCAGGCATATATATGCATTGCAAAGCGTAGCGGTGGCCTTGGAGGCCCCCCATTTTCTGCGCATTTTCCCTTCATTATGTTCGAGACGACCCGGAATTTGTGATTGAGTCTCGTACGTTTGTATCCTTTATTTGGTTTCATCCTATTCCATTTTCTTTGGGAGGGTAGGCACCGGAGTACGGATCACGGAAAGAGGGCATTGTTTGCATTTGCGACGGCGCAGGCCGGATACTATTTGTTTTCCTCTTCCTGGATGTTGCGGGAGGAATTCTCTAAAGGATCAACAGCCCTCAAACCAGTGGCCGCTAGAGCAATAATCCATAAACCATATAAATATTGTCTCACGTTTTATCCAACTTCGTGCTGCCCAGATCCGTGGTGAAGGAAAGTGAGGTGAAGCAAGAGGACCGATTGGCAATCATTCTGCACGCAAACAACATCATGAGACTGCAACATGGGACCCGAAGCGTTACTGCCGAGGCTACACACGTGCTTGTCTTGTGCCATGATACCCTCGACGACGTGTTTGCTCAAGTTTCCCCGGAATCATTCTAGGACATCACGTCATGGCTGTATTGTCCTGGACATGCCCGGCACGACATGACTTGCCTGCTGCACAAGCACACCTGCCCGACGAGGACGGCCCAAGGCAATGGACCAATGGGCGTTGATGTTGATGGTCTATCCTGTTGATAGGGGGGATGGACCTACCGGATGGCATTACGCTGGACAGCTGGACGGATCCTATTATTTCAAGGCTGCTTAAGGTACTGTTAAATGGCTATTTCCGATAGTCACGCAACATGCCCCGTCAATGATTAGGGACGTTTCCAGTCGTTGCTGCTTTTTAAAAAATCGAAGAAAAGCTTTTTCTCTTTTACCTCTCATTTTTCAAGTGTGGCTGGGACTACAAACGGTTATAGGGGGGTGGAGGAAGCTGCTAAGTACAAGAAAGCCACTTTTGCCTCGAGGGACAAATTTTTGGCTAGGAAGACGCAAAACAAGGCCAGAGAGTTTATAAAAGGTTTTTGCATTCCCCGCCCCATTTTGAATCCGAAGGAAGTTCCTTTGTTTCCTCTTTTTTGAAATGCCAAGAGTGCTTTTGTGTGAGAAGGGGGTGTCGTATGCGTGTATCGGGTTGAGTGGGGAAAAAAAGAGGAAGAGAGGCAGAGAGGTGAGAGAGTTCACGTTCCCCCAGTCGATGACATCGGCAAGAGAACGTCAGGCAGATGTATCGGACTTGAAAGTCAGTGGGTTTCAGTCAGGCAAAAGTTGTAGGCGGAGTCAGTGAGAGGACTATGCCTTCTCCTCAACGGAGGTCTCCTTGAGGTCCTTGGTAACCTCCTCGACCGAGTCGCCGTTGCTAACACCGTTGGCCTCATCGGCCTCAATCTTCTCGAGCTGCTTCTTCGCCTTCTCAATGTTCTGGAAGTCGAGTCAGCATGGAAAATCAAAGAGAACAACAGGAATCATTAGAACTTACGCGTTGGGTCTGGGCCTCCTGGTCGCTCTTCCAGTGATCGAGCTTGGCCTTGACCTTCTCGGCGACGGCGGGGACGTCGGAAGCGGCCATGGGGGGATCGATACCCATGAAGGCGCAGTCCTCGACAACGGAGGGCGGGCAGTTGTACTTGCCGGCCTTGTCCTCGGAGGCACCACCCTTCTTGCCCTTCTTTCCCTTCTTGACGGCAGGGAAGAAGTCATCGTCGCGGTCCTTCTTGGAAACGACCTTCATGCCCTTAATACCTGAATCGTCAACAGTACGCGAAGCCTGAGCGGTGAGGCCGCTGGCAGCCTGGAGAGGAGCCTTCTCGACCTTGTGGGTGGGGTCGAGGAACTGGAGGAGGCTGTTGGCGCGGCGGATCTCCTCGAGGTAGGCGGGGTCGCTGGCGTCGGCAAGGAACTTCTCGGCATCGGCCTTCTTGCGCTCCTTCTGGTAACGCTCGGCCTCGTTCTTCCTTCTCTCGCGGGCCTTCTCGCGAGCCTCACGCTCGTGGGACTGGGCCGCCTTGCGCTGCTGCCAGTACTCATCCTTGATGGTTTTGAGGGCAGCGTACTTCTCGTTTTGGAGGTTGTGCAGTCTGGTGCGCTCGTCGCGAAGGGTAGACAGGCTCTTGTAGGCCTCGTCGCCCTCGGCCTTGATGGCGTCCAGCTCGGCCTGGATCTTGTTGTACTGCTCAGACATGGCCTTGGCCTCGGGGTCTTCCATCGAGTCCTTGATCTCCTTAATCTTGGCCTTCAGGTCGTCAATGGACTTCTGGGAGTCGTCGAACTGGGAGAAGTTCTTCTTCAGCTTGCGAAGCGAAGAGATCTCGGCAAGAGCCTTCTTCTCATCGACAATCTTCATGCGGCCAGAGTTGACCTCGGAGTCAAGCTTCTCGATCTGGCGGTCGACCTCCTCGACGCTCTTGAAGTTGACCTTGGAGCGGGCCGTCTTCTGCTCGTTGATGCGGGAGCGCATCTGCTCGTCGAGGCGCTTGATCTGGTCGAGCTTGGAGGTGCGGGCGTTCTTGCCGGCGCCCTGCTTCTGGCGGATCTCGTTGGCCTGAGCAATGAGCTCGGCGCGACGCTTCTGGGTCGGGGATTGCTGCTCCTTGTTCTTGTTGGGCATAGCGATCTCGATCTTGGCCTTGATAGCGCTCTGGAGAAGTAATTGTGTGAGCCATTCGCGGTCCAATGGCAATGTGTCATTTTCAGATATCTGGGGCTCGACTGCGATTCTCCCAGCCAGGAAAGGGATTCGAGAAGCAAGTCGCCAATGGAACTGGAGATGAAACTTACCAGCTGGTCGAGGGCCTCCTTATGCTCCTTCTCGGCAACCTTGAGCTTCTTCTGGTACTCGGCCTCGTCAGGCATGGTGGGACGAGCCTTGGTCTCGGTCTTGGTCTCTGCCGCCGCAGGAGCAGCAGCAGGTGCCTGCTTGGTGTCGGCCATTGTGACGGTAGGAAGAAGCTTGTTAATTGATGCAAAGGGTGATCAATTAGACAAAGCTGGCGATTGCGCACACTGCCGTAGTGGGAGTGGACAGCAAAGTCGGGTTGGTGATGTGGAGGATGGAGGATGGAGAAGTGGAATCGGAATTAACCACGCAAAAGGGTGAACTTTTCGTCAAAAGGATCCCCCAATTTTTGTTGAAATTCACTCTTTTGGGTTCCGTGGCAGGTACCTTCTGGAGAAGGTAAGGCCACCTGCCATCCTGGACTCGATTGTGGGGTTCGACTCAAATATGGCACGTGCGTGCACTGTGACTCTGGACCCTTGAAAGGCCCATGGCTGGAGCTGGCTGGAGCGTGCACCTGCCACCTGGTCAACGCTGCTGGGGGTCTGTCAATTCCCATCCACATAGGAACCTTGGTAGAATATTCCGGGCTGTCTCCGGATTATCCTCTCCGGAGTTATTCCAGAAGAACTGCCCGCTGCCCGGGACCGAACCAGGATTAAGCAACCGCGGTCAAAGGCCCCACTCAAACTTTTGCTCTAGCCTGCAAGGCTGAATCCGCCGCCAGAACTTTTTGGCTGAACCCGTTTTGCGACGCCAATCTTTTTCGAGGTTCTCGAACTTTTCGTCGCGACAAGAACCAATCCACCACCGACGCCCTCATCTCGATCAACCATCTTTCCTCGGCGATTACGATACCAATTTTGACCACGAAATCGACGGGAGATTTAATAAAGACGCAGCATCGCGAAGATGTCGGACCAGAAGGACGTCAACAAGGAGGTTACCAGGCTGTGGAGAGCATGGAGGACAGCCCACGAGATGGCTGCGGACCGCGTACGGAACCCTTGATTTTCCATCGACAAGGAAGAGTGTGCGAATAGACGCTCCTCGTCCTCCGACGGACGATGCATTCCCGCTGTTTGGCAACATATGTGCTGATGACGGATCGCAGGGCTATGAACTCGCCGAGGACGAACTCACAATCTCTCTCGACCGCTTCAAGATGGAGTACACCAGCGCCGACGGCAGCGTCAAGTACGTCCATCCGCAATCTGTCAAAGTATATGTGTCTCCAGTACTAACGCGATAACCCCCTCAGCCGCGGCAAGCTCCAGTTCTCCGCCAACCCCTCCGCCGACATGATCCGCAAATTCACACCCCCCGCGACGCCCAACAACCCGAGCCCGACGCCCGACTGCGGTACCCTCTGGGTCGAGTTCCTCGCCGACACGACGTTCGGCATCAAGGAGATCAAGAAATTCATCCACCACCTCATCAGCAACAAGTACTCGTCCGGCATCATGGTCACCCACGTGCCCCTCTCCCCGGCGGCCCGCAAGATGCTCGTCACCATCGAGTCTTTCGCCAAGGTCGAGTGCTTCCTCGAGGACGACCTGCTCGTCAACATCACCCAGCACGAGCTCGTGCCCAAGCACATCCTCCTCAGCCGCGAGGAGAAGATTGCCCTCCTCAAGCGCTACCGCCTCAAGGAGACGCAGCTGCCGCGCATCTTGCAAAAGGACCCCGTCGCAAAGTACCTCGGTCTCAAGCGCGGGCACGTTGTCAAGATTATCCGTACCTCGGAGACGGCGGGTCGTTACGCCAGTTACAGATTGTGCGTGTAAAAGAAAGGGGGTCTTGCTTGTGGCAGTTAAAAGGCTTGCGGCGGGGAAGGCAAGGTTTGAGAAAGAGGGGAAACCCGGTAGGAGAAGGGGTCAACGTTGGCGCTGGGATTGGGGACTCACCTTCTCAGCAGGATGACTTGACGCCCTGGTAGACGGGGGGGGGGGGGGGGGGGGGGGAGGGAAAGGGAGTTCTTAGTATACTCTTTGCATCACTCTTGAGTCTGGCGTTGAGGGTACGGCTACGGTCTACTGTTTTGTGTACGACAACCGAAAAAAAGAGATGGAGGGCTTCCTCTAGATGGGCAACATAAATAACTTATTTTTTTCGACCGTTTTGCTCCTGTGACTTCACGTCTCTTCATCAACTGGAGTGAAAATTAATGTGAAAATTAATGTGAAAAATACCTGCATTTTATAAAGTCTGGCCGAATTCTTGCAAATGCGACAATCACTCATTGTAGTAGTGATATACAACCCTCTGTTTTCATCTTACTTTAAAGGCTCAATCACTCAATATTGCACCTTTCCCAATCGCCCGTTAGAGAAAGTTACAATCCACTTCTCCTTCCAAAACATTCTTAAGCAACGGAGATCTCAGGCTACACATGGCATCGACAATTTTCCCTTATCCCAATTGACCTCTCTCTCAGTTCAATCGTCTTTGGACACTCAGTCAGCTAGAACACGTTCGAGATACTCCCTTTGCCTCTTCCTGTAACCAAGCAGAGCCATCGCCTGCATATATCATCACGATAATCCCTTCTTCTTGGTCACTGCTTTGATGCATCTTCATCTCACAAAGTATGAGAGCACCTGCTCCGGTGACGAAGAGAAAATGGAAAATCCTCTACACCACCGCATCAAGAATTAGAGAGCCCCAGGATACCACTATGATGAAAAAATGGGAGTTCGAGAGAGACTAACACACGGGATGAACACCTCAAGCACCACAGTTCCCTTCATATTCCCATTCATCGCCACCGGGTTGGTTCTCCTATATCTATCGAAACCCCGATCGTAGCCCAGAAAACACCAAACCCCCTATATCCACCGCGCATAGTATAAAGTAACTCCCATCACAAACGAAAGAGAGGCTGTGACACGGGATTAACACCCCACCGGGCTGTGATACATACCATCATATCCTCTATGTCTTCAACATGTCCCATGTGTGGGTTTAGTATATATCAAAAACGATCTCAGCCCCCACTCTCCTCCTTATCTACTCAGTAAAGGTATGCCAGACTAAGCATTGTACACTCACACACCAGCAAGCTCCTTGCCATAAAAGCTGCTCGAAACACAAGTAATTATGCTTCCTATCCCGAACACCAGCGGCGTATTCGGATTCTCGGGTAGGGATGAAGTGGAAAGGGGCAGAGTCGGGCGCTCGGCGTCAAGCGGCCGCCATTGAGTCATGGGAACGCAATAGATAGCCAGATAAGAATACCCACCTAGTAACAAAGTTGAATGCACATTTCTTGATCCGTCGGACTCGAGACGACTCACCCCATGAGATTATAGGAGTTAAAAAACAAAAAAAGATAAGGCTAATAATGAGAAAGAAAAAAAACGTAAAAGGCCAAGGAAACTCTAAAAGGAAAGGGTCAAAAAAACAAAAGAAAAAAGGGAAGAACCATTACCACACTACAGTAAGTACACCACCTCAGGGGTAAGTTGAAGAAGGGATTCTGCTGGTAGCGGGCAGTTGCGACAGAGTCAGTCGTTGGATTTTTGGTGGTAGGGAACAGGGTCGTCGGCCAAGATGCGAAAACAAACGTTGTGCAGGGAGCAGGCATCATGGAAAGGTCTCCCGGGACCGGGCTTTTACGCGTTGTTGCGGATGCGGAAAAGCAAAGCCGGCAGGACAAAGATTAGTAAGGGCGGCAACCAATTCTAGATGTGGAAAAAAAGTCATTCGTCGTTTGTATATGGTGATGATATTGGAACAAGTTGTTCGGGGTAACAAAGCATGACGGCTATTTGCGCCGGGGGTATATATAACGATAAACAGTGAAGCAAAAAAATGACGGCTTTCAGGTATCATCGTGAGGGCCGCTCCGGGGGCTTCTTCCAACGCCCATTTCCCTTCGGTCGTAAGTAGTTCTTCCCTTTAAAATTCCAAAACGTAAAAGTATGTTCGTATCCGGTCCCTCATTGACCTAGAGAAACGCCGGTCAAAGGCTCTAAACCTCTAATAACTCCTCGTGTCCAAAAAGGGTCCCCAGCAATGTCGCTGAGATCGTCAACATACATATACATATACTGTCTCATAAAATATAGTCATGGTTTCGTAGTCGTGATATGTTGTGATTAGATGATTGTGTGTTGTGTCACAAGGTGGCTTCTGCGTAGTTGTGTCCCAACTACTTCAGTAAGCCACCGGGATCAATAAGGGTTGGCTCGCCGGGGCGAGGGTTGTAAGACGGATGGTCATCGTGTTGCGATTGAGGAATCGGTTGCAATTCGGTGCCGGTCCGGGATCTTTGTCGCGACGGTTTCGTGGGTCCCAAAAGTCCCCCAAGATCTTGCAAGAGTGCAGTAGACCCGCGACGTAATCCATTTGATCCAGCGGGCAAAGTGGGCGATGGGACGCCATGGACGTTAGATGCCATAGGATCCACGCTTGAGACGATGCTGTCCCTGCGGAACGTCTGGCTGACTCCAACCTGATCCTCTGATAGCAAACCCCCGACGTCGAAAAAGGAGACCCTGCGCGGTGTCGTGGTCGAGTTGCTCCTCGAGGAAGAGAGGTCGTGGGGTAACAGAGAAGCGTCGCTGCGCTCGGCGTTGCTTCTTTGCCGCTGAGGGAATTGCCACTGTATCAGCTCCTCGCCGAACGGTCTAGCCATCGGCGCGGGAGTGTATCGTTGTTGTTCGTTGTCGAACTCATCTCGTTCCTCGTCGCGTTCTCGTAGGCCAGGATCGACACCAATGCCGACATCTCGGACGAGATCCTCGTCACTTCCCCAGTGACGATGAAGAGTGGGACGGCGCGAATCGGAGCCTCTGCGGTCTATCGAGTCTTCTGCCACGGATCCGTATTTGAACTTTTGTTTCTTCAGGCCGCGATCACGAACAAATGAGCCCAAGACCAGAGCATTTGCGGCCGTTGTCGCGAAGAGGAGCTCAACAGATGCTAGCACAGAACGCAGCTGCTGTCTGCCATGTGCCCTCATGACGTGAGGGACACGATAGATAGTAACACCGACGACGGCCAGGCTGAGCGAGAAAAGTAGTGTGAGCTGTATCTTTCTCTTCACATTCATCTGACTTCGCAGAATAATGGGAATCGGGAAGAAGACCAGTAAGAAGTCGGTGATGATGTTGCATGTCGCCATAGTGAGGAGGTGAGCGAAACCTTGGCGACATTGACCGCCCGGGTCAGGGGTGACCTGCCAGTAGTGGTTGAAAGGTCGACATTCCGCCAAATCGCTAATGACGATGGCGATGAAGGTTGCGACCAAGGTGCATCTGATGAAAACGAGCGTCTGTTCGTAGGAACGTGCCCAAGTCACGCCAGTCAGACGCTTAAAGAACTCTAAAATAGTGTTCTTGAGAATCCACAGTCTGCACAGACAAAGCGTTAGCAAGCCATCCTACCGTCCCACTGGATGCAGTGATGAAATTGCTGCATAGAATGCTGTGGGCGTAAGGCGCAAAGGGGGAAAAAAAAAAGAGTTCATGAAGGGGATTCCGTGACATACGTTGCTGCGTAGAAGATGCGGCTGGCAAGCACGAGACCACTTGCGATTTCCTTCCTGCGCTCGACTTCCGCAGATAATGTGATGCCGTCAAATTCGGCATTGTTAGTCCCGTAGAGCAAGACAAAATGCACGCAAACCATGCGGAGCCATAGAGGGATCAGGGCGAGTGCTGCGACTTTGTCCTCTTGAAATAGTTTTTCGGTTCGAATGAAGCGGCCGGCAACCCGCAGTAGGATGATAAGAGTGCAGAATGACGTTATCCACCAACAAACCAATAGCGAAGGCTTGTCCTGCGAGGAACTGCGCAGCTCGGGCGGCTCAGTATAGAGGCTCATGGTGGACTGGAGCAATCCACGCCCGTCGACCTCCGCGGAGGGCACGACGAGCGAGGAAAAGGATGCGTCGTCGAAGGTCGAGACGTGACGTAGCGGGCGGGTCGAATTTCGTGCAAGGAATCGGCTCGGCTAACTGTCCCAATGGCGAAGATGTTGGTGGCTATTTCGAGGCTGAAGCAGCGCAACCTATCGGTTGATCGAGGAGCAGCGCAATATTGCTAGGGAGGTTGGTGAGGGTATTGTAGCGTCTGTTGTTGCGTCTGATGCATGAACTTTGCGATTGCGAAGGGACGGACGGTGCGACATGAAGCGGGCCGGATCCGGGCGTGAATGGAAGCGGTGATGAAGGCGAGTGTACTCCGTATAAACCGTCTTGGCCACGGTAAGAGCGAACGAGAAACGCTTCCGAATTCTGTGAACCTCAACCTCTGGACCGACTGAATGGCGAAGTAGAAAAGGCGGACAGATGTCGAATGTGGTGGAAGGAGAACACGGAACGGAGCCTAGTCTAGATACTACGGAGGAGTGGGTGGAAGTAATAAGCTGCACCGCCGAGTAGACGCAGATAGAGGCAGGTCTCTGGTGAGCATACCGCCGCTCTCCTAGTGGCTTCTAGGATGACATGGGCGATGAGATAGGCTGGGCCGGGATGGGCCAAGTTGGGGGGCAGTCAAGGATACCTGGTGAAGGTCCCTTTGCACGCTAAGGATGAATGGGGGAAGGAGTAGGGAAGACTCGAGAGTCGGGGGGTGTGGGACGGAGTGACAAGGGACTGGGCGAGGGTGTGCCGTCAGGGACTTGGTGGTGTGCATCACCAGCTTTTCTTGGCTGGCCAATCCTGATCCTGTCGGCTGGAGGGCGACAGGTGAGAGGATGTGAGGAGGTCGGGTGGGTGAACGGATTGGCGGCGCACTCGACGAGAGTACAGGGGCATCAGTCGAGGCTGGCCGTGTCCTTTGCTTCCCACGTCCGTGGCGGACCGAGATGCTGTCAGGCATTGGCATTGGCGTTGTCGCTTGTCGTTAGTTGTCTGCGTTCCTCGGTCCCTTTCCAGCGCCATGTATACGTGTCTCTCGTAGGTATCCGTACTGCGTACCGAAAGAGAGATACGGCGGTCAGCCGTGGCCCGTCGCAGAACTGCCAACGCTGATTGGAATGACGCTAATCCGCGTCCAAGATGTAACCGATTCGCTCATCTGGTGGGAGTGATTCGGAGCTGGCTGGGAAGCTAGGAGCTAAGGTGGTAAAGACAAGTAGCCTTGAGCCTTGAGTCGTTCGCCTCGACCGAATGTGTCCCGCGGCACCCGGGCCCAAGGTAAGGTGAGTTGAGGCAAGAATAATACTCCGTAGCCCGTCTTCGCTTTACGGTCAGCATGGCTTCTTCGCATACTTCGGCGGGCTCCAGTTTGAACGCGACAATAGTCTTTTGGGGCCTCGGCGCTTGTTGCGCAGACACTGCGGCTGGACGGGCAAAGAGTCGAGACCGATGAAAAAACGGGTATTGAACCGGCGCTGCTGCGCTTGTTGCAGCACGCGCGAAAAAGCTCACAGAACTGCCTCCACATCTCTTGCCACAGCACTTTCCACCTGCAGTAGGATACTCGAAGAATTTGCCCATCGACCGAGTCTGATCAGCTGGATTCGCAGCATTGTCTTCTCCATAAGCAAAGAGCACATGTCCTAGCAGTCGGCGTCGGAGCTGCCCGTAAGCTGTTCCATGGACTTGGCCGCACCTTTCTCAGGTTGTCGACGTTCCGCTATCAACCTCGATTCGTGGTATCCGTAGGAAGCAAAAGTATCTGTAATCCCAAGAAACCGTACATGGCCCTAGAGCCATTGGCTGCATTGGCAAGCCTCTCCGTTATCGTATGTATACCGGCATACGAAGTACAAACAGAGCGCCAACGAAACCCCCTCTCCACTTGTCTCGTCTTGTCTTGACTGCCTGCGAGGTGGTCTTGATTTCCCAGTCGTGTGCGCCTCTCCACTTAGATAAGGCGACGGCAGACGAGAGGCCAGCCTTTCTTCGCAGGATTGGTGGACCGGCCGTTGAACGGCCGTGTTGCGCACGCCCCCCCCCCCCCCCCTTGACCGACATGGGCGGAAAAGTTGCGAATTCAGTGCCTTGGTTCATCGCATCAGAGTATGGATACACAGTACCTAGCTCACATGCTGACTCCCTTTCAAGAGTCAATCATTGTATAAACTAACCGTACGGAGTACGAGCATAGTGTACTCCGTACGGATCCTGCTTTACTGCGTGCATTCGAGGACCCCGTACGGATAGTCCGTACGTAGACGCGCAGAGAAGATGCGGAGGCGATTTGGCCCTTGCCCTCTTTCTTTACCGGGGAAGAGTCGTCCACAAGGATGTCCAATGGCTGTCAAGTTAAATCGACAGGGGAAGGCTTTCACAGGCTGTGGAGGGTCAAAGTGTCTCTGGATGCCAGTGGTTGTTGCCCTGCCCTGCACTGCTCTGCACTGTCCTGCTGACTGAAGAAAGAGTGGTGGCATGGTCCGACGCGTTGGTAAGCTTTGCAATTTAATTAGTAGATCAGGGCAGACAGGTTTTTGGCACTTGGTAGTACCAATGGTCGCCGGCACGATGCATACCTCCTTGGTTGCTTCGATGCAGTTGATGGCCGCCATGGCCTGATGGCGCTGCACGGCTGAGGGTTGGGATTCCTAGAGGAGGAGAGACATAGATAACCGCGGTTTGTTTAATTGGACTTTGCCAGGCGGCCGAGCCTGGGCTTATGGACTGACTGATAGTTTGACATTGGCCATGTGGTGGATAGTTCGGAGGTGTTGGCTGCACTGCCAGGATTCTTGGTAGACCGGAGGTGAATTGGAGGCCCCATTGATTGCCGCTGCGGCGCAGACAGGCGAAAGGTTGTCGCTGCTGGTGATAGAGCAGGAATGGTGGTGATAGGATTGAGGCGATGGGTGGGCTCGGCCGGCGGAATTGGATAGCGCAGCAGGAGCTGGAGAGGAGCTCAGTCGCGTCTCGGCTGGCGTCCTAAAGTGGACGGCTGCATTGCCTCGTGTGCCCCCGCATTTTATCATTGCTTTCTGGGAAGGTTCATGTAATATCAGTCGCCCAGTCGAGTACGTATGTTACTTTAGCGTTGGCGCTGCGCAAAGTCCACGATTCTCGGCCTGGAGTGCCTGGGCATCTGTTGAGCTGGCGCGGGTGGGAGGCAACAGCCGATGCCGAGGAGTCAAATGGTCGGCGAGGAATATCCGTAAGCGGATGACATAAAACCCATGGCGGACGCCTTTGAGATCGAGGGGGTGAAGGTTGATGATTTGCCAAGCCAGTCAGGTGGCTGACGCAGGAGACGGAAGCCATGGCCGTTACGTTGCCGCCCAGTGAGGTGAGTCAACTACTTCATCGAAAAGAAGTGCAATATCAGAGCGTCGTCTGATGGCTCGAGGTCAACGCTGTTTGTTTCCTCCCTTGGGTATCAGCATCTCACGATGGCAGCCAAGTGCTCCGTAGACTACCTAACAAGGAGGGATGTGCGCAACATGGGCCGACGATGGCACAGACCAGGCATCAACCGCGGTCCGATAGCGCTGGCGGTTGAGGTGGTAAATCAACAAGACCAGTGAACAGTCACGGGGTTCTTTCCCCTGCCTGATCAGAAGATGTCTCTTTCTCGCCAGAGAAAGATCTCCGAGGAGGGCTGCCGCGTGGGAAAGTCGAGACTCGAGACTTGAGAGCATGGTTGACGTGAGGCTAGACCGTTCCTGAATCGAGAGTGTGCCCAAGTGTTGGGTAACTTGGGTCCCAAAGAATTTAGCGGTGCTAAGGTGATTAAGGTAAGATAGTCGACAGTCCAGCTGAAATTTGAGTTCAATCGATGGCAGGTCAAAAATGCAGGGTATATGCGGGCAACGAGTAAAGTTAGGATAAGGCGGTGGTGGGGGAGGATTTGGAGATCGGAGAAGAGGAGAGCTGCGATCCAGTGACTGAGGGTGAGGAAGAAGAGGGACGACTGGGACTGTGGGACGTGGAGGAGTGGGGAGGAAGGGGGGAGGGGGGGCGTGGGTGTAAAGAGGGGGCGTGTGTTGAGCAAGGGTCGGAGGGAAGGAAGGAAGGAAAGCAACGCAGATTGCAGGCAGGCACGGCAGGCTGGCAGGTACCGTACGGAGAGCAGGAGCAAGTTAAACAAGTGCAAGAGCAATGGACCAGGTGCGTTCGTATCTCACAGTTACAGATACGGATGCTCTTTTTCTTTTCCCCCTTCTGACTCTCCGTCAGGGCCTTATTGCTGAGTATCCGTGCTTATTCGTACGGCAACGAAAGATACGGGCATCGACCTGATATCTTTCAGTTTCCGAGTCAGGTGAGAAAACCATCTGTGTGCCTTTTCCCTCCCACTCTGAGACCAGACTAACCGACTGTGGCGGGCACTGCCCTTGGAGATTTGGAGCACTATCTGTACGATACTATCCGTACAGAGTACCTGAGATACCGCGATATTCGTTACCCCATGTGCTCGGGATACCTTGCCTTGGACACCAGAACGCCATTGCCGTGTCCTCACGACCACAATTACCTAGCAAAACGCAACGGTCACGGCAACGGCAACTGCAAGTCGCAGTCGAGTCCACTCAAGGCACGCCGCACATCGTGTCTTGCCCTGCGATGCAGCGATGCACCTGTGTCTCTGCCGTACCTTGCTTGCGATTTACCCTGCCTCGCCTGCGGCTTGCCCTGCTCTGCTCCCCTGCGTGCGGCCCCAACAGTGGACAGCGCGGGAGAGGCCATCTCGTCATCTGTTGGTCAGGCCCCCCGCCAGCAACAAGTGGATGACACCCGCTCAACCACCACTGACCAGTGAACACTGAGGTGAAGACTACGGAGTACGGAGTGCGGATACTACTCTGGGGAGGAAGGGGCACGGGTGGGAATTTGGGAAGAAAGCACACAACTTGAACATCGGGGGAGAAGCATGGGCCACCGCTTAGGTTGCCCTCTCCCGCCTCCCACTGGCCAGATCTATCCGGTTTCCTGTCACTGGGAACCACGATGGAGTCCACGGCTTGCACGGGGTCCCGTAAGTGGCCCGATTCGGCCGTGACAATCGAGATGGATCAATGGAGATGGGTTGGTTGCTCTGTCTTTACGTACTCATCATGTTTCAACCACTCTACGTATACTCATACTTCACGGCCCGGATACAGCACCCTCTACCTTATGGATGCCATGTATATGTAAGCCGTCCAAGTACTCCGTATACAGATACTAACATCTCTTCCGTCTCACGCACCTCCCTACCTTGCCACGCCGTGCGGGTCAGATCCGGTCCCGCCCGTAGTCACGGGCAGTAGCGGAGGTGTTGCAGCGGCTGTCAGCATCGAGCAAGAGGGTGCCTTGCGGATTTAATCTGCTTCCCCAACGGAAGGCAAGGGCAAAGGTATCTCATGCGCATCTGCACCTGCTGCTTACCTAGCTTTCCCTATCTCCGCCTCGACAGAATACCGCGCCGCCTGCCCCATGTCATGCCATGCCACGCCACGCCACGCCACGCAAACCGCATCTCATCTTATTCTACGGATACCTCATCCTACCTTTTATCGGGAAGACTGCCTGAACTCTGGACGCAGTACGGAGTACAAGCCCGACAATCCCAGAGCCACAAGATCAAGAGAAAAGACGCGTGCGTCGAGTGGCATCTTGAGAATCATTCGCTTGCTCGCCCCTTGCAAAGTCGGGTTTAGCTACGGATACTTACGGATACCTAGTACGGATAGTAATCAAAGTTTCAGCACACCACGTTTCGACGACGATACGGAGTAGAAAATCATCGAAATGCAACCCAACTTCCACACCAGGTACCTGTCCACTACCTACCATCAACCCTGACCTCCGGCCAGAATCGGCGCCACCAGCCATCAAAAACATCGATACTGGCGCCTGGGACTCGAGGTACCCTTGCCACAGATGACCTATCTCAGCACCTTACCTCAGATATGCGTATCCCTTCTAGGTACCTCCCTAGCCATGCCATTCCCAATCATATCTCTACCGGCTTACACCAGCTTCGGCCATTCGGCTGGAACAACAGATATCCAACTTCAGCGTTGACTAACGCCTCTTCAAGATGATGAATACCATAATTATTGCAGTCTTGATTTGCCCTTCTTCAACGCCCAGAGCTCGCGAAACTGATTGGGATGCACGAGACAACACCAACCAACAGGCGGCGTGGCGTTCCCGAGTCTGCCTCATCACACCGCTCCGAGCCTCGATTCGGACCAATAATGCTAATCCCAAAGTCGGAGGACAAGAAACCCCACACAACCAACAGATACGATACCAATGGCGCCGAGTCTTTAACTAGTAACTAGTATCCGTCTAGTAACCGCTTGTCCGGCATGCCTTCAGACACCAGTATCTTAGCTTACCATAGGAATTGTTCCCGACCCCAACATCCATCCTTAGCCAGGCCCAGTGGCTGAGTCTCGCAATCTTCGTGCTCAACCGGCCGCATCGAAGCAACTCCTGAAAGTGCATGGGCTGGTTTTACCTGTCAAAGAACAACCACTCGGTCCCTTCGATATGTTGAAGAGTTTCACTGCATATCTGCCAACTTGCCCGACTGAGCAGGTCCTTTCAATGATACCATTTGGGGGGAGTTCCACGCTAACCTGACACCCGTCAATCGACCAATCCCAGCCCCTCTCTCCATCCAAAGTAGCTCAAGATAATACTCTGTACTTATCAAAATCCCACATCGATGCCCGCACCCCCATCCGTCTATCGCACTACGCCTCCGACTTACCCCTCGCCATATTGGGTCGCCTACTGTCACTGGCCTGGCCTTTCCTTCTTCGGGCTTGGTCTTTCACCCGTCCATCTCCTAGCGCCCACCTGACAAGCCCTCAATCTGGGGGGAGAAGGGCTTTTTTTTTTTTTTTTTTTTTTTTTGGTCTCACCAGCTTGCGCCTTGGGGAATCCGAGGTAAACCTTGTCCGCCACACCATGGCTAAATCGAGACTAACTCCCCGGCACCCATCATACTGCGTCCCTTGAAGCTGAAATTGCTTTCCAGGGTTCTTTGTGTCAAATCCACGTGGAAGAGTAGAGGACCGTCAGGGAGAAACGAACGGCGAGCCAGACTATCGAAGAATGGCAACAGGCACGCACAGGTTGACAAGGGGATCACCAAGCCTTGCACCTGGTTATCAACACAGCGACTTGTCTGTTACGTGTGCAAAACGGCCTTGGATAAGGTGCCCAAGTCAAATGCCTCCAGGGCCTCGCTGCCACTTGCGTGTTGATGGCGTTGCCAAAACGCGGCGCAGGCTACTTCAGTCTCCCAGCCTCTACTGGCATAAACAAATTCCCGCGGGAATATCAGCCAAGAGAGCGGCCGCTGTACCAGACATCACATTATCTTGAGACATGAAAGGATCCGATCACATCCTCCCAAAGACACTCCCACGGCTCCTAGACAATTGGCTGGTTCGAGTTATGGCACGGTCACAACGGCCCGATTCTGCGCATTGGACGACCCCCCAAAGCCCAGAGCACCAGCCTCCATCGTCATACTCAACAGTTGGCTACGGGCTGCAGACTTTGCCTGTGTGCCTGTGCACCTGTCGATTGATCCGCTTCGGCATCTGATACTGGTGGCTGCTCACCAGGCAGAATTACTCTACGCCTTACAGTCTCACTAGCCGTGCGTGTCATCCGATCGACAAAACGTCACCAACGTCCGTGTATAGTGTGTATACCTCGTACTTCTCCAACCTACACGACGCAAAGACATGAGGGAGGGTTGTTTTGCGGATGCTTGGCTCACATTCGTAAACAGGAGACATTTAAAAGTACGACGGTGTCAACCCGCAATCTCTGCTAGCCAATGCTCTCACTCACTACTCCAGAACGTCGGAAACTCGGTCTCGGGTCTGAGTTTCTGCTGAAGGATTTTCCCAGCCCAAGGATTTCCAAGCTAAAAAGCGTGGTTGGACCAGGCATTTGGAGACCTACAGATACAGTCCAAGATCGACCAACCATCGCGGATTTTTGAACGAGAGGTGAAGAGTTTGCGATTAGGTAGGTGCCTGGGGCCAACGGGGGGCTTGGCATTATTCAACAACAATTCACTGGCTTTGTTTCGGACCCAGCATCTCGTTTCCGCTGGATAGCGGAAGTCAAAAAAAGCTGATCGACATGAAAGTCGACAAAAGTGACAATGCACCAGATGATACTAGTGTATTTTTCTGCTTTTGCTGCCCCGGAAGCGATTCATCGGTAATCTGTCGGTAGCAAAATCCCGGCGAGATGTCCGTCGAACCCCGGCGGCCGCGGGAGATGGTCTATGCATTATACCGCCAGCATTGAGGGCTTTGATGATGGGGGCCCTGGCGATTTCCGTGTACTTCGGCCTCATAAACCGAGCTGAATATGGCTGTCGAGTCCCATGGATATATCCAGAATGCAGTTGGTTGGAGGGTGTATATGTTGAATTCACTACCGTATCAGAACTACAACGAGGAAACGTCTTGCCATGCCGTAACATAACACGGCAACAACTCGGGCATGAAGGGTTCGGCCCTCTCTCATCAGCGAGCATATTTTTTCCCGTCTTCTTTTGTCTGCAACCCTATTCCCAAACTCACCCTTCCTTGCCCGGTAACACACCGTCTGGGGAGCGGCAAATCAAACCCACCACCCCCTCCCGCCGATGAACTGACTGAACCCTCATGAAGGCGTGCTTTTGGATAGGCTGTCACCACGTGGATATGTCTGAGCTTCTGCTTTGAGTTTCTGTCCCGACTTGGTATTGTTTACTTGATTTTCAACTGTTTTTTTGCCGGCCAAAGGACCAAAAGTTTCAGGGATGAGGCCGAACCTTGATATCTGGCGGGACGACGGGAAGGGGGCAGTAGTGTTCCCTTTCTGTTGACAGCCCGCCGTCCCTCTTCTTTCCCGCCTCCCGCGAAGCGTCGCGATCCGGCAGATGAATATACACTTTTCTTCTCGAAGAGACTGGCCCGCACTGACTGAAAAAGGTACAACCTTGGTTTGGGACGAAAGGAACATTCTCTGTCACGGCGTTCCGCGCAACCCACGAAGCCGCATTGTATTATGCTATGCTTGACTACGCTGCCCGAGACAATGCAAACCGGTCCACGACGCGGTTGATGGAAGCTTTGTCGGCTTTACTCCAGTCGACGCTCTTGAGCGACTCGGCGCCGCCGCCATTCTCACCCTCCTCCCCGAACAATTTCCACAGCTCGTCGACGACCAAGCTTCTCACCCTCGGCCAGGGATGAAACATCAACGCACCAAGACGCTTCCTGGCCTCTGAGATGCCGTCCCGCCTCTTACCCCGGAGGATCTCCTCCTCCTCCTCCTTCACACCGGCACACTCCTCATCGAACCCGGCCACGCAGCCGTACACCTTGATGCAAGCCTCCAGCTTCCTAACATTGCCAGTCTTGTAACCCGCCTTTTGGACCTGCAAGCACAGGTGCCGCAAATCGACCTCGCGACATTGTTGAAAGAGTCCGACGTGGCATAGGAACGCCACAATCTCGAGCGTCGGCACCACCACGCGGTCTCCCTGGCCCTGGCCCTGGCCTGGTGTCTGCTGCTGCTGCCTGGTCTTGACGTTGCTCACCAGCGCCACGCAGACGGCGTCCAGGTTCCGCGGCGACGCGGCGCAAAAGTCGGCCAGCGCCGCGCGGGACGCAATCACCAGGTCCTCGTTGCCCGTGTCGGCCGACGTGACGTAGCCCGCCAGCAGCTCCGCCATCCAGGCACCCGCGTCGGCCCTGGCCGGCTCCGCGATGGGCGGTCGGAGGCTGTTGTCTGTTGCGTAGAGGTTGAGCAGCGTTTGGAAGTAAGGTTTTGATGAAAAGGTGAGCTTTGTAAAGGTTGTTGCGAAGCTGTGAGTGTGTGTATTTCTTGTTAGTCAGGGGGGACTATTGGGGTTTTCCTTTTTTCTCTCGCCTCGTGGCTCGTGAGAAGATTGTGATGATTAAAGGGGAAAAGGGGGTGGGGGGTTTCTTACCTAGACTCAACAGTCAAAGCAAGGACCGCGTGCGCTTCAGTACGCACGCGATCCAGCTTCTCGGCGGCCAGACGTAAGATTCGGAGGAAAAGCTTCGAGACCGCCTCGGGAAGCCAGTCCATCTTGTTTGTTCTTTCCCCTGACAATGCCATCATCATTATCCCCAGTAGAGTGAGAACGATCCACGCTAAGAGCCATAGTCCACAACGACTTGGTCGCCTTGAGCGCCTCCAGCCTGACGTGGGACCCGACGTCGCCCCTCGCGTTGGTCGTATAATCGTTCAGGCCCTCCGCCAGCAGATCGAGGAACACAAGCGCCTGGTCCCGTAGTAAACCGCTCTGCGAGAGGGCCTGTAGGATCGCCACGCGCGTGTCAATGTCGTTGTCGGTGGCCCATCTTGCGAGGATCGTGTCGCAGACGACGCAGCAGCTGCTGCTGCTGTTTCTGTCGTCGCCGCCAAAGGTAGTCGTGACAGCGTACGACATCGTCAGCGCGAACAGCGTGCCCGTATCGCTGGCCGCGCGCGACGTCGGCCGCTGCCTCACGGCGCCGGCCCATTCTGTGACGATGCGCTTGCGCTCTTCTGCTGGTGAGAAGACGAGGAGGACGAGGGCTGCTTCCGAGGACGCGGCGACGGCTTCCTTTTCTGTGCGGGCGAGGCCTGCGCTGACGATGGGGTGGAAGGTGGAGACTAAGTTTGCTATGCTGTCGGGGATCTTGTTGTTGTTGTTGTTGTTGTTGTTGTTGTCCTGGGCGTCGAGTGTCTTGATTGCGGCGATTAGGCTTTTGGTGTTGTCTGTTGAGACGACCTTGTAGCCTGGTTCTAGGTTTGTGGTTTGGCTGCTCGGTGATGATGTAGCTTGTAGGACAGGGAATGATGAAGTGATTAGACGGCTGTATGCTTCGGCGATGAGTTCTGGTCGACGGTATGTTGTCGTTTGGAATTCTGTGAAGAGTGATTCTAGTTCGCGGATGATGCGGTGAGCAATCTCAGTGATGACGGTATCGATCGGTTTACCGGCGAGCAGCTCGGGGAATTTATCCAGGACGGAGGCGAGGCAGAGCACGAGACCATGTCGTTCGTCGACCTGGCGCGTCTGGAGCGTACGCAGGCGCGCGAGAACCCTCTCGATGGACGCCGTGAACTGAGCAACGCTCCCGTCGTCATTGTCGTCACTAGACTCGCTAGACGGGGACGTTGACGAAGAAGCAGCCGAAGCCGAAGCAGAAGCCGTCGTCTGCCGCGCGAGTTCCAGCGTAAGCGTACCAAACGAAGCACCAGCCACGCGCCGCGAGACGACGTCGGCGTCGCCTATGCCCCGCCAGCCGAGCAGGCCGTCCAGTAGCGCGGCGCCGTACTGCGACGAAAGTTTTGTCGCGCTGAGGGCTACATCGTGTACCGCGCGCGAGCGCAGTGCGACGGTGTGGTAGTCTACGGCCTGGACTACCCAGATGCCCTTTTCGACGGTATCCGGGTGCCGGCCGATGAGTTCCTGCAGGGCGGCGGAGGCACCGCGGCGGATGTTGCCTGCTGGGTCGAGGGAGGCTGTTACGGTGAGTTCTGTGGCGAGGACTTGGAGGATAGAGACGCTGGAGGCGGATACGTTGGACGAAGCGTTGGAGGAGGTGGAAGAGGTTTGATGGTAGCTGCGTGCCGCGACGACGGACGCGGTGGGAACGTGGAGGAGTTCTGGGGTGGTGTAGCGGCGTGCGAGGGCCCAGATGCCGAAGCAGGCTGCGTCGCGGACGTTTGTGCCGATGGAGCCGCCTGAGGTGCTGCGTTTCTCGAACGAGAGGCCGAGGAGGAGGCCGTGGACGATGGAGGGGAGTTGGGAGGCGGGCGGGGAGCGGCGGTAGAGGAGGTGGGAGAGGGTGAGCATTAGGCCGTGCCATTCTAGGGGGTCGACGGCTGTGAGGTCGCGCGTGGAGGTGGTGGTGGTTGCGGAAGAAGAGGTTCCTTTGGAGGTGCCCGGGTCGCGGGTCCAAAAGACGTTGCGGTTGAGGGAGTCTAGCACGGCATCGACGACTTGGGAGGCCATGTCTGGGTCGAGTTTGAGGGTGACGATGCTGAGGGCTTTGGAGGCGGCCAGGCGGACGGGGGTGTCGTTGTCGGCGAGGGATTCGAGGAGGTAGCCTATGGACATTTCGACTAGCTCGTCGGTGCTCTGGTGGTCTGATGGGGACTTGTTGCTGCGTAGGAGGAGGACAGTGACGGAGCGGATGACTTTGATGAGCATTTTGCGCGCTACGGCGACGGAGCGGATGGCGGCTGAGACGGACGGGGCGGCCGCGGCCGTGGTGTCCGAGGCGTCTTCGGCGGAGGCGACTGCGTGCGCGGTGAGGAAGATGGACGAGAGGTAGGCGTCCATGTCGGAGGTGTTTATGGAGGATCGGAGGACGCCGGCAAGGAAGGAGAGGACGCCGATGTAGAAGTAGGGCGGCTGCGGTGATGATGCCGGTGTCGTGGCGTCGGAGGAGGATGGTGAGGGTGAGGGTGAAGGTTTCAGGGAGGCGAGGGACCAGCGGACGAGGGCGGAGAGGACGCCTTGGGATTGCATGTCACGGCGCATGGCGACGCGAACGAGGAGAGCGCGGGCGCCGTCGCGTTCTTTGCCGGAGGAGGCGAGATACTTGATGGCGATCGGGAGGATGCGGACGGTGATTCCGGGGAGGTCCTCGGGCCAGTCAAAGTCTGGGATCGAGGGAAGGGTGAGATCCGGTTCGGCAGAGGCGGAGGAGATGGTGGAGAGGTCGAAGGGGGCGAGGAGGAGGTGGGAGAGCCAGAGGAGGACGAGGTAGCGCTCTTCCCAAGACCATTGTGCGGTGCCGACGGGGGTTGCTGATGAGGACGCTGTGGCGGACTGGGGAGAAGAAAGGGGGTTAAGCGCAGGGCGGGCGGTTGACGAGGCGCGCTCCGAGGCCTCGAGGGCCGAGAGGAGGGGCTCGATGTGGCGGGACTCGACGTTGAGGAAGCGAACAATGACCTTTTCGCCGCGGATCTTGGTGAAGTGGTAGATGATTTTGGCAATGGCGAGACTCAGGGGCTCGAGGAGCTGGGAGCGGGTTGAAGCCGATGGCCGAGCCCGGGTGCGGGTGCGGGTGTTGAGGTGCTCTAGGTACGTTGACGCAAGGAGGGGAAGCCATTCCGGGAGGTGAGGGTCCAGTAGTTGAGGGAGTTCTTGGAATGGGTCAAGGAGCTGTGAAGTGTGTCAGCATCATGAGTTCTACGTTTTTTGATAGGGAAGAATATGAGATTGAGTGCAGAGGAGTAGTTACGCTTGAAGTCAGACGTGAGGTCTCCGACACCCTGACGCGGGCGCGGAGGGTCTTGCCATCGGGCTTGCGAAGGAAGAGCGGGAGTGAGCGAGAGAATTCTGCAATGAGTTCCGACGATGCCTTTTGCAGCTTGATGTCGCTATCGTCTTCATGGGCGTCCATGTTGGCTGATCGCCGATGGTTGAAATAGGTTGAGAGGTTCGTGGATAGTTGGCTGGGCTTTTATTCCATGTCTTGTAGCGGCGGCGTGAGATGAGATGCCCGAAGATCCCTGAATGCCGACTTGAGAACTTCAATCTGAACCTCAAATGTGAAATTTTTGTCTTGATCCTCGTTTTATCTGGTCGAGGAATGTTAAGCACCAGACCTCGGATGAGAAGTTGATCTGATGAATGAGTGAGGTTGAAGTTGTGGATACCTCGAATTCAGGCAGTGAAGTTGGGACAGTGCCGGTCACTGGGTGGGCACATGCTAGTCGTACTGTACGCGAATTGTACCTTCTCACTCCCAGGCCCAGTTGCTTTCGGTATCCCTCTCTCAACATCACTTCCAACTGCCATCAACACCAGCTTCCATTAAATAATACCCTTTGTCCCTCATTTTTGAAAACTCTTCAGTCTGACTCCTCTTTCCATACCAGCTACCTATAATTCCTGAGGGTCATCTGCGAACTCACAACAGATTCTGGGGGGAAAGGAGCGGGTCTGCGTACATGGTGTCCATCAACAGCTGTGTATGATTCAAGACGACAGTCACTCTGTCCGATTTCTGTGCCAGATTTTATCTCGAAAACCAATCGAGCCCTATCGTAAAATGAGTGAAGAAACAAATCAATCATCTACCGGAAAAGGGCCGACGAAACGGACCATACAATTCGACGACAACCCACCCCCAAAACATCGTCAGCTCCATCGTCCAACCCTCACCCACTCAAACGACACCGTTCTCTGCACCGCGTGCAAAAAACGCTTTCAGCAAAGACGCAGTGAAGGCCGATGATTCTCGTCGAAGACGTCGAAATCAGCATCATGAAACCCACGAGGATCTTGTAAAGGCGGTCAAAGAGGGGTGTTACTTCTGTAAGCGCTTTGCGAGGCACTCCGCAGACCCGGGCATTTCGACTTCCCTGAATGAGGACATCATTCTTCATCCAAGACCTGATCCCGTGAGACTTTTCTTCGCCGGTTCTGAACAGCATACAGGACCTGCGTAGAGAGAAGGTGATCTGAACGACCTAGTTTGTTTTAATCTCTTGAAACGTGGTCCCGGTGAGTTATTATGTCCCGATTGCAAGTTGATACGAGGATTTGAGACTTGTGAACTTTGCCACTGAAATGACTGGCGGTGCTTCATATGACGAGCCACCTGCGCGGTTGGGCCCTCGTATGGACTCGCAAGATACACTGGGGACAATAAGCAAGTGGCTCGACGACTGCGTCCAAAACCATCGCGAGTGTAGAGTCTTCTATAGCCATTCGACTTCGCTACCTTCTAGGCTAATTGATGTTGGAGACCCCGGCAGCTACTTGTGGAAGATCATCACCACCGAGGAACACATAACTCCTCTCAATTATCGAGGCTATCTCACATTGAGCCACCGCTGGGGCTTTTCGCCATCCGTACAGCTCACATCGGACACGCTTCCCACATTCCGAAACTACACAGCTATCGAGAATCTCCCCAAGACTTTCCGCGATACCGTTACTTTGGCACATCACTTGAATATTCGTCACATCTGGATCGACTCACTATGCATCCTTCAAGATAGCTCATTTGACTGGAAGAAAGAGTCTTTCAGAATGGACCACGTATACTCCAACTCCACCTGCAACATCGTTGCAGCACACTCTGAAGGATCTGACGGTGGTCTCTTCGCAGTGAGAGACCCATCCGTTTTGGAAACGTTTGTTGTTTGCTCAGAGAGGACGGATATCCCATCCGGCGAGTACACCGTCTGGGATCACACGTCCATCTTAAACGACTACAACAGAGCTCCGCTGTACAAGCGCGGCTGGGTCTTTCAAGAGCGCCTACTGCCCAAAATAACTCTTCATTTCCGGCAAATACCAAGTCTTTTGGAAATGTTCAAGGTGCTTTGCCTGCGAGAGCTTGCCCGACGGCATACCAGTGGTTCCAGACAACGAAGTGGTCGAGCGCGGAAAAGCCGTGACCCGAATTCGCAGAATGCGCCCCCCAGCGGACCCATCGCCAGGTGATTCACCAGAGGATGACGATTTTTTTCGCAGATATCTGGGAGCACCTGGTTGAGGAGTACTCGGGCTGTAGCTTGACCTACGAAAAGGATAGACTCGCAGCCTTGAACGGAATGGCAGGCCTCTTTTCTGATGCCTCTTTGAGTAGATACATCTCCGCTACCTGGAACATACGCATCGCCCGACAAATCTGCTGGAGCTTGAACCCTGCAGCGGAAAAGAAGCCCCGACCTAGTCATCCCGTGCCATCTTGGTCGTGGGCATCCGTGCAAGACAAAGTCTCAATCAAGGCCATCATGAATAGCGATGAGAGTATCCTACACCTCGCGCGTCATTTTTACCACAGTGCCCATGACAGCACTCCCGCAGGACGCCGGATACCACCTGGAGGCTACGTTGGCTTGAGCGGTAGCGTCTACACTCTCAAAGTGTCGGACATGTCCGACGACGGGGTTTCGCTGAGTCTTGATGGAAAGTAGGAGCGACTGGATTACAATCCTTTTGTCTTTGACTTTTATCGGGATGACCTCATTCCAACGGAGCTGGTCATCTTACCCCTGATGTGTACCAAGGAACCTCCCGTCAACGCAAAGGGCGTCGAGATTGCCGGTCTGATACTGCAACCGTTGAGCGACAAACATCACCGAGACGCCATAGACGATCCCCGTAACACCACGCGTCAATTTCTGGACGCCATCGAAGACTCGATTCTGCGGAAACATTGCAGGTACGAACGTGTGGGGTTCTTCAACTTCAGGCCATGTGACGGGAAAGGACAGCACTTGCTCTATGGTTCACATATGACGCAGAAAATGGATGGCCGATATTTTTATCGACAAGAGTGATCAACGTATATTACTAGAGTAGACTCTCTTTCCCAATGATAGCGGACTCTCAGCATCCATCCTTTGCAAGGGAACCATGTATATAATCGTGTCGGCCGAACTTCAGCCTTCTAGAGTAGAAATCTTTCCTCGACTGGCAGCTCAAGACTTCTCGAGACCGTGTTCTATTATCTGAACCATTCACTTCTTACCCCATTTCTCGGTTGGTAGACTTGAACAGAGGCCTACTTGCTTGAGTCTGTCTGCCTTGTCCCCGATTGCTCAGGATGAGTCGGGCACCCACAGACAACTGAGTTGAAATATCACAATGACGATCAAGGGGCTTTTTTATACTCCTAAATCCGACTCACTCCCCCTTCCTTCCTCGACTGCCTACCTTACATTTAATGATACTGGTCGAGGAAGCCCTTAGGCAAGCAAGCATTCTTCACGTGGCTCCGACGATGACTTATCAGGTCTTCCAACTCTCGCAGCCTACAAACTTAGAGAGAGGGCGGCCTTGTTGAACCCATCGACGAAGACTCCTGAGTAATTTCAAGGAAGAAATATCACTAAAGACTAGGTAGAGAATTTGGTCAAGGTATGACACACACACACAACAAAAGTGATAATTCTATAAAGTCTAAAAAAGAGGATAAGAGATATAAAGGCGTATCAAGAAAATAATACCTGTATTAGGGTAATGATAATGATGATGGCGGTGATAAGGATGTGAGGGTTGATAATGATGCTGAAGTTGGTTAATAATACCCCAATCGAAACTCCCCCTTTCCTCCCTTCCATCCTTCCCCCCCTCTTATGACAGAACCCAGCAAAAAAAAAACAAGATTCTAACAAAGGAGATTGATCTTTCGTCCCCTTTTCATCCACTGAAGCAGTTTCCATCCCGCCCATCCCCCAGTCTTTCACCCAGGTTCTAGCGGAATACTGCCATGAGAAATGCTGCTGTTTCCCCATCCGACAACAATCTTCCCTCTTCGTCTAAAATTCCCCAATGCAAGGTAAGAAAGTATTCTCCTCATCTCTGGGCGTAATCGGGCGTAATACAATAACGGGGCGTGATAAAACAATGATGATGAAAGAACCAAAACAAAAAACACACTAAAACCAATAATGATATTGTCAAAACCTTGGAACCACCAAACATCCCTAAAAAGCTTTTGATCGATGGTTGGTTTCCCCCAATTCTGGAGTTGGCAAAACCACACTCTCCCCGAAAACCGTCCGCAAGGAAGAGATGACGATTGTAAGAAAGAGGAAAAAAAAAGAAACCCGTCAACTCATACGAGTGAGGCAGAGAGAAAAAACAGAGTGAAAAAAAGAGTGCAGAAGGCGCAGACGAAATCTGGCTTCACTTCACCCCCTCCACTTCCGTCCATCCCTCCCCACAACACACACACAAGTCTCCAGATCCCCCCTCCCCTCTTTGGAAGTCTCTCCCCATTACCGAAACGGTGAGGAAAGAATGATGCGCAAACTCATAAAACGAGAGAAAAGAGCTTCGGAAAATTGTAGGGAAAAGCTGTTGGGGGATGTGTGGTCTTTGCAGAGAAAGTGCGTCTCCCCCCTGCCGCTTTACAGAGCCAAAACGGCAACGAAGCCAGCAACGAGAGCAACGCCAGCAGCAGCGACGTTCTTCTCGGCACCGGCGACGATGACGGTGGAAGGCTTGGCGCCGCCGCTGCCGCCTGCGCCGCCCGCGGCGGTGCTGGAGCCGGTGGCGGGGCAGTTGGGGCTGCCGGGGCAGACGAGGGCGCCGGTCTGGCTGGGGGTAGCGGCACCGCCGGATCCACCAGCACCACCAGCACCACCAGCACCGCCGGACGCACCGCCAGAGCCGCCAGAGGCAGCGGGAGGGCAGTCGGGGCTACCAGGGCAGACGAGGCCGGCACTGCCGGTCTGAGCGGGGGGCGCGATGGAACCCGAGGCGCCGGGGGGGCAGTAGGGGCTGCCGGGGCAGGTGATGAGGCCGGTCTGGGTGGGGACGGCGGGGGGCACGTCGCCGGTGCCGGTTTGGGCCGGGGGGTTGGGGACGACGTAGCCGGTTGGGGTTTGGCACTCGGAGCACTGGTTGGTGGTCTGGTATTTCGGGGGGTGTATGTGTTAGTCTATGGTTCCCTAGCTAAAGAGTTGGGGGGTGGGGAGTGGGAGACTGGAGAGAGAACAAGAGAAAATACTCACGTAGGTCTGGGTGCAGGGGCAGTCAGGGATGATGAAGGTGGTGGGCTGCTCAATGGTGTAGGTGCGGTTGTTGAAGCAGAGGGTGGTGGGCTGGGGGCAGTAGGTCGTGACAGCGTCCCAGACCTTTGTGATGGTGAAGGTGCCGTTGGTGTAGACGTGCTCGTAGGCCGAGGCCGTGCCGGCGACGAGGGTGAGGGAGATGAGGGCGGATTGGATCTGCATCTTGACTGTTGGTTTGGTTTGGTTGGTGTAAAGTGTGTGTGTGTGTGTGTGTGTGTGTGTGTGTGTGTGGTGAATTGGTCTTGTTGTTTGATTGTTATCGAGGTATCGAGTTACTTGCTGAGCGAGAGAGAGAGTGTGTGTGAGGATTGTCCGGAGAGCAACAGAGCTGGTTAATGATTGTTGAGTTTTTTTTGGTTATTTTGGTTAAGGAGAGTGAGTTGCAATGTTTTGATTGTGATGTTTCAAGAGAGTGACTGAGGCCAATTAAAGCAATAAACGAAAGGGGGGGAACCTCCGAACAAACGAAAGAGTTCTAGTCCTGTGGGATGATATGTGAGAAGTGTGTGTGTGTGTGTGTGTGTGTGAGGGATGGAAAAGAAGAAGTGTGACACAAGAAACGGTTCAAGAGCCTCCTTCTTATGTCAATCTCATACCGATACAAACAACACACCAAAACACACATACACATACCTACACACACTTAGTTACACATGAAGATATCCACCTGAACGGCACGCTCAGGGGTCGGCGATACCTAGACAAGCTGACGAAAAGGCTTAGCCTGGCAGACGGGAGGGGAGGAAAGGGAGAGAGAAAATGCTAAGCCGGGAACCCAAAAAAAGGTCTCAGGAACACGACGACTCTCACTGGCAAAGGGAAAAAAAGGAGACTTCCTCTGGAACACGGCAAGATTAGATGGCTGTGACTTTTTGGTCGTTCAAGACCAATGAGAGGCTCCGGACTCGCGGCCGGGAATGCTGGTGGAGTCGTCCCGGGCCCGTGTTTGTTGTGGTCCGTCGACTTGCCAAGAATGTTTCCACCGGCCGCCGGTAATGTGGCGCATTCCAACCGTTCAGGTCCAGAAGGGAAGAAGTCGGCAAAGACGGAAACTAAGGGTAGATAGATGGGATGAATTGGACAAACACGTGGAGGAAGGGACCAGGAGTAAACACACCTTCCTGTCTGGACTGTGCACTTCCTCTCATCCTATTTTGAGCACTGCGAATTTCATCATTGAAGCATTCCTACCGCACGGGGGGGGGGACATGAGCATGTAAAGGATTGGTGGTACCACTTTCATTTGCTTTCCTTTCATTCGGAGGCGAGTTGGAAGGTCGAGCGTTGTGTGCCCCCCCACTCGGTTCGCGGAGCTCTGAGATATGTACAGTTGGGTCAGAATCGCTCCTCGACCGCTCGTCTCCCTTTTTGTCCTTCCCCCTTATCCCACAGCAAGTTAATCGCTTCGTAATGTCCACACGACATCCACTTCCGGCATGCCAACTGGCAGCGGAATCGCCCTCGTCCTCCACTCTGTGACGAATAAAATCGTTCATCCGTCGCCGTAAGCTCGTCTCGGGGGTCGTGGTTGAGACTGCGCTCTTTCATGCCGTCCTTCTATGATCGTCCGCCCACCCAGCCAGTTATGATTGAAACAAAATGAGAAATTAGAAGAGAAAAAGAAAAAAGAAAAAAAAAACGGAAGAATCAAAAAAGTCGAGTCCGCATGTGATGATGACAACGTGGTCATGTACAAGCGGTTTCAGTTTCGCCGACTCATGGGGTCTCCCTCTAAGAATAGTTCCATCCCCAACGCCTTCATTTCCAAAATAATCCAGATGGCGGCCAAGATCAGCCCTGGTTGGGGGCCCCTCTGTTGGAAAAACTGAAAGATCTTGCCCACCGCCCGTTAATGAATCAAAGACCATCCACCACGTATGCACAAGATTATGGTTCGAGGAAGTGCCGAGAATTGCCAAACGGCCTGCGTGTACCAGCATCGATGGAGTCGATCCTAGGAACGCGATCCGGTCTTGTTGTGACGAGATTGTGCAAAAAAAAATTATGCTGTCTCATATTGAGTTTGGGGGGAAGAGTTGCGTAATATCAAAAAAATTGTTCATTTGCGGTTCGATCGGCTCGTGCTTCGCTCCAAGCCGCGGCCGCCGCCGGTGACTGAGTCGAAATCGTAGTTCTTCAGGGTGTGCTCATACTTGGGGCTTCTCAGGAATTTGGGAACCGAGTCCTGGAAAGACAAGTCAGGTTAGCATGAAAAGTTCTCACATTCCACAGTTATCGGCGGGAACAATAAACATACGCTTGCCATCAGTTTAAAAACTGCGTTCTGAGCATCCTCGAACAAGGACATGACTTCCTGCAGTGTGTCGATCATGGCTACATCCTGTCCGACAGCCTTGGTCATTCGGGTCGCCAAGTTGTTGCGAAGCTGATGATCAATGTTCAACTCGCAGGGAGAGCCGGGGGCGAGGAATGCGTTATAAATCCCGTACGCCTGGGCCATGATCTCCTTGATGCCGTCCATTGAGCTCGCGTTGGGGTTCTTCTGCGCGACACGAATCGCCTGCCGGCAGCTCCGAACAAAGTCATCGACGTCCAGGTAAAAAGAAAGGTTCTCCTCGCAATGTGTTTCGCGCAGGTTTTCTCTGAACAGCAGGCGAAGGGCTGCGTCGTTGAGAATCTTGTCCAACCGTTGGGTGTTGGAGTCTCGCGCGATAGCGTTGCGAGAGGGTGCGACGACCTCGCTTTCTGACCTTCTTCCCCGCGAACCGAGACCGTTGATCAGATCCTTGCCCTTTGCCGTCAATTGGTAAATGGCATGCTTTGTGGGCTGGAACAGGTTGTTGCTGGGATATTGTGCCATATGAGCACGGTCTTGTACCACGGGCTCCACCAAGTCGTACTCCACGAACAGGGACGCGATGTCGTACGTCTCCCGCCTGTCTACGGTTGTGCAGCAGTCCATCAACCAATCAGTGGCGGCCTTGCCAGTAAAAGTATCTTTGTACGTCTTGCCGTTCACCTTACGCTCGCTAGCCATCTTGACACCAGTCAAGCCATCCTTGTAGTCGCTAAGTGAGTCTGAATCGGCTGAGCTGACGCTCGACTTGACGTTGGGGCCGTGTTCCAATGAATCTCCTGAAAATGACCTCAATTGTGCCGCGATCCGTGATGAGCTTGTCCGTCTGGCCGTCCCGCTCGAGAATGACGAGTTGCGACAGGGTCGCGCCGACCAGGTCGGATATCGACTTTTGTTGGATACCATTGCGTGAGCAGAAGCGATCCAACACGGTCACGCCCTTGGGCGTCAATTGCCACACGGAACCCTTCATGTTGTACACCTGCTGGTACTTTCCGTCGGCCGACTCGATAAATCTCGCTTCGAGGAACTTTTGGCAAATGGAGCGTGCCATGTCCTTGGCCATGGAGAAGGTCGTCGTTGTGGTCGTCGTGACTATCCTAGAGGGGTCTTTGGGGTCGGGCATACGGTTGGATTGGGAAAACTTGAGGGATCCCAAGTTGTTGATCGCATCTTCGGACAAGAACGTGTTTTCCACACGTGTTAAGCGTACTCGGTGTGCGGACAAAGGCAAAAGGCTGACAATCAGTGTTGAGTAGAGATCCTTGAAGTCCTGTCATTGTTCCACGTTAGCCATCTCTGAATCGCGGGGTTCGATCGAAGCGACTAGGAATGCGACCGTCACTGGATGCGCGATTCTCGCCGAGCAGATCAGAATTGAGACAAATGAACTGACCTTTGTGAATGGCCGGTCGTCATCCGTCATGCGGAGAAGCCGCGAGGAGGTTTGGTGCATTTTGCTTTCAATACTCGGCAATCGAATGGGAAGGGGCCTGGTCGGATCGGTCTCGCTATATGGCTGAGAGGGGATATCCTGTACCAGCGACACCTGGCTTGGGTACTTGCCCTCTATGTTGTTCAGGGTGCTGCTGGAAGAAGACGAGTAATTGGAGGGGCTCGTATATCGTGGGTATTTGTCTTGAGAGCCCAGATTGGCAGAGTAGTCGGAGACAGAGTCGGGGGTCAAAGAGGCGCGGCCCAATGCGGAACTGGAGGCGCGCTGGCGGACAGACTGGTCCGAGGAGAAGGCAGCGAGTGCAGATTGGGTCTTGTCAAAGGCGGCAGCAGCGAAGCCGAAAATACCACCAGACCGCTGAAGTTTGTAGAGAGAACTGGTAGAAGGCGAGTGGTGATGAGAGCGATAATTCGGACGCTTCACCGAGGGGGCCTGTTGTTGTTGGTGGTGTTGTTGAGCGTGGTAGGGATCGGTCGATGATGATGCAGTGGTGGTGGCAATGGTAGTTGCAGCAGAAGGAGGAGTGCTGGAAGTGGTGGTGGTAGTAGCGGTGGATCGTGGATTAGCACTGGTAGGGTTGGGGTTGGCTTTGTGTGTGATAGTTTGAGAGCTGGCCTCGTTTGACAATGGCTCGTGGTTCGGAGGTCGGGATGTCTTGGAGACAGCGGCCATCTAATGGGAAGAAGAGGGTTAGAAGAGGCGCGGACGGCAAGACGGGTGTTCAAATAAAAGGCACGGCGCAGAAAATGGAGAGGGAAAAAAAAAAAAGAAGAGAAAGCGGGTGGTTTGGTGAGGCAGGGCGTGAAGGAGGAGAGGAGGTGTGTGGTGGTAGTGGTAATGATGGAGGAGAAGGAGAATAAGGGACAAGGGCTGCGAATGGAGCGAGAGGGAAAAAAAGGTACTTGGCCGGGACGAGGTACAGTACGGAGTACACAGGCCTCAAGGGGCTGGTGTACATGTAGACGGTGGAACCCTGTAAGTAAAAGATACAAGGGGGGGAGGCTAGTGGGGGTGGGAAGAGCGTGGGAGTGAGACTACTGACTGACAAGGGGAGTGGGGGGGGGAGTGCAAGTGGGAGGAGGGTAAGGTACGGGAGTACTTGGGGACTTTGCTTGGCCTGACGCTTCCACGCTACCGCTAACAGCGAGCAGAAAGAGCGGGCAGTAGGCGGGCAGAACTAAGGCAATGGGAGTCAGGGCCAGCAAGAGAGCAGAGCCCAGTACCCCGTACCTTAAGTTGATTGAACCACCACCTCTGCCACAATTGAGTGGATGTAGACGGAGTACGAATACCTGTGTAATCAGAGCAGAGGGGAAAGGGAAGAGGAAGGGAGATGGGATGCCGATGATGAGCGAAAACCAAAAGCGAGATAATGGGATTAGACAGGCAGTCATTCCAGGTAAGGTAGGTACACTCCAGGACGAGAGAGCGAACGAGACGAGATGATGTCGGACGTCGCGAACAAGGCTCTCTCTCTCTCTCTCTCTGTCTCTCTCTTCTCTCTATGCACGCCACACTTGTTCATTGCTGCTTGAATCTGCCACCACCGGGGACCTGCTCACCTGCTGCTAGGTAGGGGGGACCACGGGAGGAGAGGTAATTCGCACTAGGTATAGGGTAGGTTGTAATGTACTCGGATGGCAATGGTTCAACAAGATTGGATAGAGAAAGGGAATGGGGAAAAATTTTGAATTTTGGGCGCTGGCATACGAGCAAGTCGAGACTTGGAAGGACGAGACGATGACTGGGAAGAACGTGGATGGGGGAGATTTGAGAAATGCGGGCTACGGATATGACCGTCGTGCCTGAGCGCCGGACAGGGTAAATAGGTAAGGTAAGGTACTGACTTGACTTGAAGCTGAGATACGATGATCCAACAATTCGATGGGGGTTTTTTTTGTGGCCAAAGGTCCAGGCGTGACGTGATAGTCAAAGCTATTCGTCTCTGGGATGGCACCGGCGGCCTGGGCTTGGAAGGATTCTGTCTGCAGATTTCCTCACGCCGCGCTTGGTGACATGTGTGTTATGTGTGCCAGTGTGTGTGTGGTGGAACGGACGGGCGGCGCGGGCGGGCGCGGACGATGGATGACTGGCGACGGTGATGTGCGAAAAGGCGACGGCTCTTCAGAAAGAAGGCCGACGAAAGGGTGGACGATGCAGATGATGCGCTGCGTACGGAGTATGTGTGTGTGTGTGTGTGTGTGTGTGTGTGTGAGATGAGACGGGAATAAGAGGTTGTAACAGATGGCAATAAGCCCCAGCCTAGCATCCAATCCCAAGCACCTTTCACAGTACCGTACTGCAGAGAGGAGCACGAGGGAATTGGGATTGGTGTATGGATAGTGACAAGTTAGGCGTGGTGGCTGACGCTGGGATGGAGTAGATGGGAAACGAGGGCGTTGGTCTGGCGGGTTGCCCTTCTCCTTTTTTCCCAGGTTCGAGGTTTTACGGAGTGGTCAAGGTCAAGGTGTAGTAGGTAGGGTAAGTAAAGTATGGTAAGGCCAGCCAATGTATCCGTAGTATAGGTAGTCGGTATCCGTAGTTCCAGGTCCAAGGTGTGAGGTCTCAGGTGTGGACGGTAAGGTCAGGCCATGGGGGAGGAAATTTCAGAAAGAAAAATGATGCGCCTTTGGAATAGCGAGGTATGGGAGTGTGCTGGTGGTAAGAGGCTAGAGCAGGATCGGAATAGGGTCCTGTTTGATATTTTGCGAACTATGCCGCCCCCGTACGATATAGGAGCAGTGGTAGTTCGATTAGACTGAAAATTGGCGTGCGGGTTGGGTGAACTAATTTTCCCCTCTCTCTCATTCCTGGGTTTCTCTCTCGTGGTTCTGCATGAGAAGAGGTACCCTCTTCTCGTAGGATTCGGGAAAGGTAAACCGAAAAAGAAGAAAATAAAATAAAAACGGGGTGTGGACTCGTGGAGGCAATTTTGGCGTTTGACTGATGGATCGATGGATTGATCTAGAGTCCCAAGGTACGGGATACTAGCTGGGCTAGCTGGATGGAGATTCGGGTCGAGAGTTGAGTTTCCCCCCCCCCTTGATCGCAACTTGTCCAGCACGAGTCCCACGAACAGGCGAAGAAGAGTGGACGAAACGTGAAGAAGTTACGAGACTAAGAAATCCCAGGACAAAAAGTCAACCAGGCCGGCGCGGGTTCCAAACATGGACCAGGGGGCAAGGGAAAAGGGAAGCCAGCGAAACCGATCTTTTTTAGGGGCGAGCGAGAGCTGCTGACGGGTGAGAGAAGTAGGGAATGATGTGCAAGACGGAATAGGAATAGGAACAGGAACGGGATCAAGAGGGGCACGAGGTAAAGTAAAGCAAAGTATCCGTAAAGTTGGGGGAATCCATCCAACGTGTTTTATTCTTATTTTGCCCAACTTTTTGTTGTTTTCCTTACGCTCTCTCTCACACCCGACACGACATGTTTGTCGTACTCATAGTCTCTTTCTCTGATACCATCTACCTTATACTTACTCCGTACTGTGAAGGGTGGGCCTGGAATGGGCTGTCTGTCTGCATTTCTCATTCGATAGCATGCAAGGCGGGCTTTCGTCCACGCACCAGAAGACGGGAGCTATGCCGTGTGGCCAGCCATGCCGCAACCCCTTCATGGAAGAATAGAGCTGCTTGCCACGAGGCAGATTGATAATGGTGGTGCCGCTGCATGCATGTCCCTCCGTGGCCGTCGCTCACCGGCCGCCGTCCACCGTTCGCTATCCACTGTCTGTAAGGTACCTTTTTTTTTTAACCCGATGATGAGCCCATCATATGCATCCGTGGCATTGTGCTGTGAGGTTGTTTCTGTAAGTTTCCGACGTTCTAGAACGGTTGCTCCTTAGTTCCCTTCCATTCTTCTTTGCCCATCCGGAAAAATGCCTTTCCCTAACGGTTGACGATGTGGGCCTATGGAATGTCGTTATTGTATCCGTATTGTACTTTTATATCCGTAATAAGGGTTTTGTATCCGTATCGCACCGTTCAGACTCCAGAGTATGGATGGAGGAGGAAACTGCCACCTGCCGTTAGTCCAGGTCCCGGTTGAGAGAAATCCACCACCAAACAAGTCCCCGCTGGACGGCGGCCCATTGCAGTGAAAAAAAAAAGTGTCGTGTGTGGACCCTCTGGCCTGGATCCTCAATGGAAGGTCCCCATTCCAGCGCACTCCCCCCTCTTGAGAGCACACATGGCCGTTCAGAAGTTGTAAGTGATGGAACCCCCCTCCACTCCGTTGCTCCTTCTTCACCCCTCACCATCCGGGACGGAGTGACGGAGGACGGCGGGGAGTGAGAGACAACTCTCTCATATGAGAGCTCCTCTCATCCACTCATCTCGAAAGACATACCTCTTTCACTCACATTCATCCACTCACTCACTCACTCACTCACTCACTCACTCACTCACACTCACAGCCACCAATACCCTACCCAATCAACGTCGCATTCCAAACTGAACCGCCGCACATGCGAGCAATGAAGCATCCATCCATCCAAATACCTAGGCCACACTTCAAAAGTTGTATACCTTACCCTTGCTCAACACCACCCCCCCGTTTTTCCTCAACTCAACGCCCAGGGGGGGGAGGGGGGCTCCTCACTCTGGCTGCCATGTGCCCTGCCTGCGCCTTCGCCATGAGGCACGGCGCCTCCCATTCCATCACTCCTCACTCAATCACACCTCACCCTACCCAAAGGTGTGCCGCTGGCTGGCTACCCTACCCCAGCACGCCTTACGCAGCACGTCGTAGGGATATCATATCTCGCCACGCGCCGCACCTTCGCCTTATTGCAGAACTCCCGACTGTGCGCCGCCGCACGCCGTATTGCCTCCGTCCGCCCCCTCCCCTTACCCTTACCGTTAACCCTTTGCCCCCGAGCGGCTCCCCTGGTTCGATGCCGTAGGTATCCATAGGGACCATTCCCTCTTTCCCTAGTATAGGCTCCTTGTCACCCTGGCTACGTGTGCGTGTGACCCCGTCCACTCATCCTTACCTCATCTTCTCGAATGGGAGAGAAAAAAAAAAGCTCCTTTGTGATATCAATGGAGTTGAGATACGCGGTGTGCTGAGATTCGCGGCCATCGGGGGAAGTCAAGGGGGGGAGGCTGTCCGGGCCCCATGAGCCTGGCTATGTCCCATATGGGGGGGTGGTGGGCAAGGGGAGAAGAAGGGGGGCCGTATTCAAGGTGTGAAAAAAAGGTGAGAGGGTCATGAATGGACGACGGCGGTAGGGATTATCATGCGCTCCCCCCCACCTCCTTGTGGTGGGTAGGGAACAGGGAGCCATGGAGGTGTTCCTCAACCCATCGCGCCTAGCTCCATCAAAAGCCGTTGCCTACAGTGTGAACCGGGAGAGGAATGATGCAAAGACACGATTTTGAACAGCCGCGAGTTCTATTGGGTTTTTTTTTTCTATTGCCGTCCGGCAAGTCTGGCAGTGCTGTATGGTTTATTTCTATTTTTGCTCAACAACCGATCGTTACTCTAGGGCCGGGAACTAAGAAGAAGAATTCCAAGAGAGAGAGACAACAAGTCGCCGGCCCGCGGTGTATACTACCGGAAATGGTTTAACTTGGTAATATGGACATATCCCCGAAAAGATACGACAACCTCGCGAGACCTTGGACCCTCGCGAAAGCTTTTACGTTTGACAGAAAGATACCATGTGGTCAATGTGATACGGACATTCCGCTGGTCTTGTCCGGCCAAGTGGATCACTAGCTCCCGAAGCCGTTCGAAACTAAAAAGCTGCGGCCTTGTGCTGCATCGACATCACATCAACAATTATCAATCGTTGCTAGCAAAGAAACCAGAACCCATCTGCCTGGTTCGGCGCCGTCGTTTCCCCTTTGGCATAATCCACTTCGCTTTCCCGAAGGCTCGCTTGTTTTTGGTGACACTTAGTGGCTCGTGTTGATATCAACTTGCCTACTCCTTTTTGTTTTTTTGTCTTTTCTATGATACGAATATAGATGCACAGAGAGTCATGAACCTTCAGGACCCGACAATTCTGCTCTCTCTTCTTTATCAATCTTTCTGCCACACGTAAATCTGAGTTCGTCCCCCCCCTCCCCCCCCTCCCCCGTCTTCCGATATCGACTTCCGATATCGACTTCCGATATCGAATTCCGATATTCGATTCGGAAGACGGACGCATGGCCGAGGTATCAAAAGGGACGCAATGACCCGTCCGTCCAACTCTCTCCGTTCAAGGAACGACGTTGCCCCCTTCCTAACCTTTTTTGTCCTTTTCGTTTATTTTTTTTTCTTCTTTTTCTTTCCGCCCGTTTGTACCAATCCTACTCCAGTAAGAACCAGGAACAGAGTACCTAGTTTCATAGGCCACGCGCCGGGTGCCATTTGATCGGATGCGACGGACAGAACATCTGCTATGTCATTACATCCGGCCGCGCCTAAGTGCGCTGTTGCCATGCATACATACCTCCCCCCTCGCTCCCTCATGCGCCCAGCCCAACCCCCAAAAGGCAAGACAGGATATGGGCACAAAAAAAAAGGCAGATATACCTCGCAGGTACGGCGTTACAGAGCGTTTCGCAACCCATAGAGCCCTACCAATCGAACCTTACGGATACTCCCTCTCTCCCAATGACTGGATAGTCTTGGCATAGCATAGTCTGATAAGGAAAAAAGTCGATCATATGCTGGACCACCCTTTGGCAACGAAATGCCCCTAGAATGGTTCGCAAAACAGCGTAATGTGGCTGTTGTAAGGAGCCTCTCCCGCTCCCAATAGGTTTTGACTTTTGCACTATATTGCAGGCTATATATAGTATGCAGCATCCATCTCGCCATCTGGCCCCCGTTGACTGCACCAAGACAATGTGTGAATGAGCTATCACCTGCAGGCCATGCATCTATGAGTCCTTTCACGGGAGGCAGGAAGTGGCGCAACTGTGATACGATTTACATACTACGTACGACCTTGCGATGTCGGGGCTTTCATGCTCCCAGGCACACTTCCTCTATCGGTGCCTGCCGCCGCCGCTCCTGGCAATAGACGTCCATCTTATGTTGTGTGCCTTACTCTGATGTCAGAGGACTTTGGACAGGGCCTAGGCCCCCGGGTAAGCACGCACGCACGGCACAAGGCACCTGCGGGGAACCAACGGGGAAGAGATAGAGAGAAGGTTGAGAGAGGTCAACTAGGTAGGCTCGTTCGGAAGACATGGCCAAGAGGGCGTGTGAGGTGCAGCGGACATGCTAGGCGGCCAGGCAGGCAAGCGTGCGGGTTCTTCGCCGTCTGATATCTGGTTCTGAACTCAGATTACCCCCGCCATGTCGGCTCCAGGAGGAGAGTGCCTAACAAGGACGACTGTTGAGCTCTGTGAGGATTGGCGCGGCAACACGAGCGGCCGGTAGATTATACTACACTATACTAGCCCGCCCTGAACTATCCATCGCAAGAGGAACCTGCAACGTGGGGTTGTTTGGTTGTGAAGATGAGCGGAGCGTGGGATAGTGTAGAGAGAGGCGTTGTCAAAACACGTGCGTATATGCTATGATCTGTAAAGCTTGGATTGAGAAGGGGGACTACCTTAGTCAGGCGGGCTTGGAAATCGGGACATGAGCGTGTATTTCGAAGAACCGAGAGAGTCCACAGCTTCGATTATATCGGCCTTGCAGGTACAAAACGGTCATCTAGCTGGCACAGTGAGGATACCCGATTGCGGGTAGACGAACACGTCCAGACTCCATCGAACGGGATCCAGAAATTGGGAAACTCGTGCGGCGGGTAGTCCCACCGGTGGATGAGGCTGGGGGGGGGGGGGGGGGGGGAGGGCCTAGAGGGGAGGTTGAAAAGGCGGTGATGATGATGTTTTGATGCGAATACGCTGCGCAGCGAGAGCGAGCGAACGAGAGGTCTTTTTTGGCTGACGACGCCGTCGGGTTACCGTGAAGGGTCGCGGTTGATAGTCCATGCTGCTACCAGTTGTGGTGGTTAATTGGATGCTTGAGGACGGACCAAAGTGGATATTGAGTGGGAATGAGTTGAGAGATCGTGAGGGTGACAGGAGAGCGAAAGAAGGTACTTCTGAGGAAGCGGGGGCTTCGCACTCTTCCCACTGTGTACACACACTTTCGGCAAAAAAAAAAAAGAATTGACAAGAGGCGTGCAGAAACAAAACCGGGTGGCTCCCATCTCATGGCTCCCATGTGTCGCCGGATGATCCAGGCAGGTACCCATATCTATCGACCAATGATGGTGGAATGACTGGAGAAGAAGTGGAGATGATAAGGGTACGAGGCAAGATGCCTTTCGAGTACGGATACAAGGTGGCGAGGCGGTGGAAGGCAGGCAGTAACGAGTACTTACTACTCCGTACTTCCTGCCCATCCATGAGCGCAGGGAGGTGCGGAAAGGAAAGAAGAAGGGAAGAAAAAAAAGGAGACAAGCTTAACGCAGCCTGGCATACCTGACAGGCAGGAGGAACTGCCCGTCCGCCGGCCGCCGTTGTCTCTCTCTCCGTTTCTTTCCTTATTTCCGTTGCCCGCGTGCGGCGTGCGGCATGCCTGAATACTCCATTACCTAAGCAAGAGAGAGGGAAAAAACTGTGACCAAAGTCTGGAACATGACCGTACGGTCCGTACCTCATCCCACCGGCACATTTGGTCTGCGCCCACCAGACGCCTGACGTTCCTAATGTCAGATGTACCTCAAATTTCCCCCGGTTCCGTAATCTTTCGCGCAGTAGTGGTGTAGCGAGTGAAAGTGTATTTGCTGGGTCTGCACCGTTTTTTCCCACTCCTTTGAAGCGATGCGATGGTCGACATTACCTCAGGTTCCCTGTCACACCTGTTTACGGCGTGTTCTGGTGTTCTGAAGTTCTGAGGTACTGTACGGAGTAAGGTACAGGGGAACCACCTGCACTGCACCGTCGTGGAAAAAAAAAAAAAGAGACGGGTATCCATACGGAGGTACAGCAAGGCGGGTCTCCGCCAATGAGGCATGAGTTATGGGGCCGCACCTGGAAGTCTTACCACCAGGCCGAACAGATCGGCGCGTGGCCTCAGGGATCCTTCCCACCAAGCCAAGCTATTTTGGGCCCGCACCTTCCCTGCAGCCACGCAGTGGATCCAGATAGGCCCGCGTCTTTCTTTGGCGGCGTCACGTTGCTGCCATGCAGAGCCACCACACCCCTGGTCCTTCCTTCCTAGGGACTGGCCCTGCCGCCCCTCCCCTCATTTCCCCTTTAATCCTTTTCGGCTGCCATCTTTCGCACCTATCCACATACCTACCTTACCTATCCACCTACGAATACCTACCTATCCAATGTACTCCGTACTCCGTACCAAACGCTGCTACGCTGCCTTTTTGAATTTTCGACACAACCACGTTCTCGACACTCCAAGGTCGGGATGCTCGTCGCTCATTGATCGTCAGTCACCATGCAGGACATCCAAACCCAAATTCGCCCACGCCACCTCCAATCCTCCCCCCGGGGCCCCTACCTGACAATACCACAGTAATTACCTTACTACGCATTGTGGCATCCTACGGTACCCGTAACTAACCTTTCTCTCCCACTCACCTGCTGACTGATTGAAGCCCCGGCACCCCAGCCGACCGGCACCGTCGTCCCAATCGACGCTCGCTATGCCTGCCCATTGACATTCTGCCCAAGCACAGCGTCACAGCATCCTACCTTACGTTAGCCTACGAATACTTCTTTGGCTTCCGCACCCGTCCCCTCACTTCACCTCAACGGGCTGGTGCGGGAAGCCCAATACGCACCCAACGTCATCCAATGTTTGTCTGCACTTGCATGGTCAACCGAGACTGACAGAGACTGGCAGAGTCAGAGCATCTACACCACAGAGTACCTACTCTGTAGGATGGATACCGGTACGGAGTACTCGTATCTAGTCTAGGACCCTCGGTCTCTTGACTTCACCTCAAATTCACCCCACTGGACGAGAAAGTCGGCGTTCTCTCCGTCGGCGATTCAGGACGCCTGAAACAACTCGACGGCAATCGAAAGAGTCACTGCCACAATATTGAAGACAAACCACGACAAACGCAAAATAGCAGAAAACACAATCCAATCGGCGATGTTCTTCGGCAATCCATCTCGGATGTTGCACTGCAGTTTCTTCACCACTCGTCACGGTCGCGCGACGCATTCAATCGCGCACAGGCACTCTGCTATTGGCAAAGGGGCAACAGCCTTCTGAGTGGTATCCCGTTGGCAAACCCGACCTCACGGTACCCTCTCTTGACACCATAGAGAAGCTGACCGAGCCCGCCTCCAGCTCAACGGCCCGTATCGACGATGTGCACTCGATACCTTCCTTGCCCCGCTGCTACGCTTTAACAGTCTCACATATGTTCGGATACGCTGAGCTGACTGATGGGTATGTGCTCAGATATCCGTAGACGCGCCCTGGAAATACACGTAAACTTCGGAGTCACCGTAATGATGGAGGAGCTGCTGGATGGACCCTCCGTGGCCCGTTATTTCCGACAGAGTTGCTTTGGTGCCTTGGTCCCTGGACGCCGATCTTTACCCCCTTGGCAGTCGGAGCCTTGCGTCCCCCAAAACGCCCACTCGGACGCCGTTTGCCAACCAGGCCTACCTTTCCAGTTGACTAACAAAGGATGGATGGAGCGCTAGGCGACAAGCAGCCTCTTCAGGTTCATCTGCAGCTTGGCGCCTTGCTACAGAAGTCGTCTTTGACTCCATGTTCTCGGCCAATCAGCGTCAATAGGCAACATAGGACACTAATGTGTCTATCAATCCACGGTTCACACCGCAAGCTTTGGCCTCTCCCGGCTTACGGATACACAGGGTAACATCAACGAAAGGCGCTCCAGGCTGTTCGAACTTCGGCGGTGACAGGTCGACAACCGGTTGCATCATCCACCTGCTCTCTTTTCAGGCTACGAACTACAGCCCTGCTGCAATAACCAGACACGTTTCATCAAAACCTCTTATGCCAACTAATAAAGCCCACGCAACGCAGGCCCTGCCGGGTCTATAATTTGGCTCGGCTGCTTGTCTACCGGCCCGCTACCTATCAATACATCCCGTAGCATCAAGCCACGCGGTGACAGCACAGAGACAACGGATGCTACGGATGGATGCGCTCCATGACTGGTCCGGCCTATCGTTTCTGTGATACCGGGGTGGGTGGGGTCTAAGGATACTTGCAGTCTTGCACCGCCGCCTGACGCCCACATCTAAGTTCCGCACAAGTATGGAGTAACGTCCAGGCTTCTAGAAGCCTTCGTGGAAACACGAACTAAAACCCCCAGGCCATACAGGGGTTGGTGACTGCGGTTTGATTCAAGCTGAATGGGTCTCACCTCTCAAAGTCCCATAACGGAGGTGAGGACAACCGGGCAACCTTGCTGTGGAATATCACAATGATGACGAAAAAGGAAGACGGGCCCTGCTTACAATTAGCCAGTTCGACGACGCCTTATCCCATTCAGTCTGGACTTCTAACCTTCGCTTCAGCCAACCTTGCTATCTCTCGGTTTCAAACGTCTGACGTTTCGCTCGTTGACCTCCCGCGTCTGTCCCTGATGTGGAAGCGAACCAAGTTTTGGTAGCGATTGGGTAGCCAAACTTCCTGCACTGCTGCTGCAGTGCCAGCACGAACCTTACATTCTATCCGCGCCCAAGTCGAATTTCAGCTCAAACGAAAACCCGCGGAAGCCCGGCGCAACGGACCAAGTCTATTATGCTCGCAGCACACCATCAGAAGTTGAAGATGCAAAAGGCATCTAAACATGCAAGGCATGGTGGATGCTAGACCACTAACCGATCTTGGCTTGTCACTTCCTTCGTGGCGCATTATCGCGAGCAATGGGTTCACGTTGGATACACACATTCATCCATCTAATCGATCCTATGATAGGTGGATACCGCGTTGTGTTTCATCCACGACGAATAACGCCGCGGTGGTGCTAGATGAGCCTCGCTGCCAAGAGCTACATCGCTGTAGCAACACAGTCACCAGACGCTGGTAGGGCGCATTCAGCGATTATGCAGCAAAGATAGGTTCACGAGTTGAAAGCTGCTAGCACGGGTCAGAGTTCGTTGGGATGCTCCCTGTCAAGGGAGCTACCCATGATAGGCCACTACACCAATCTTCAGTCAATATCGCAGCGCGAGGTTCGGATACCTCTGCCCATTTCGCTCTCTTAGGCCCTGTGGGTCGCGCCACAGTGCACCAAGCTCAATACGGAGCAGAGAACAATCCGACTACCGCTCTGCATTTGAGTCTTGTCTTTCGGCTGTAAAGCATTTGCGCTCTGAAACCTGACGAGAACGCAAGCATAGGGGCAGGATTCCGGTGACGAAATGTGGCCTCAACAAGTCCGTACTATCAAGCCATAAGTTTGCATCGACGATTCGACATACTTCCCCCCAACAGCTAGAATGATGAATTGTGGAGAAACTTGGCGGCGCCATGTGGCGCTCACTCAACACGTGTCGAATCTCGTGGCTAATCAGCTGAAAGCCGTTTCAGAGGCATCTGAGACGGGCTGGCGATTGGAGGCTGGAAGGAAAAAGCAACCAAAAATCGACAGATCAAAGACATGGCTCATCGTTCGCGGGGCCGACAGGGGTTGTGACGAAGCTATCGACTTGACACCGTGTGGCCTGGCCTGGGGCTGATGCTCGCAAGCAGATGCATACGGCTGATCCTGCAGCACGAAATGGCTCAACAGCCTAGCTTCAGGGCTAGCGACCTGGGGCATCGATCGTCCCATCACCGAAGCAATCATCAGGTGTTACTCAGTCATAGCCAATGGCGATTATTCCTAGCGAACGGCGAGTTGTTTACCTTTGATTGGCCTACCAACTACCAGTACGGCATCTTGGACGTTCGACGTTGATCTTCCATGGGCCGTTGGAGAACCCCACAATGCGTCAATTCCCACAGACTTGAGGGAAAACGTTACTGCTACACTGCGCGCGTGGGTGGCAGCTGCAGTTGCTGGTCCAGGAAAATTTCCCGCGACTGACAGGGAGAAGGCCGCATAAATCACTCTGGATCAAACAATCCCCACCTCCTCCTTTGCATCACGCGCATATCCGTATGGAATCTAATGCTAGGGAGCGAGGAGCGCTCAAGATGGAGTCGCGAGATCATACGATGGGTGCCCAGCGGTTGGAGATGCCCTGCCTCTCATCAGTTTGCTCACCCCCCTCCCCCTTTATTTCCACGTGGATATCTCGTGAGGGGGTTCTGCAACTTCTTCTCCCGTTTCTGCCGCCAATCCGGATGCGGGGTGGCTTCCGTCATTCTGCAGCCACACGTGTGTTGGGAAGGCTTATCTCGAACGGTTGGTTTCTTCTTGCCGTTGTTTGTTCGTTGGGGGTCTACCCTGAGAGCCTGGCGAGCTCCCGCATTTTCTGTCCACGACGCTACGGAGACAGACAACTTTAGTATCGAGCAAGCGCGTGACTTGATGCGGGTTGAAATAAGCCAGGCCGGCATCTCGGTTCGTGGCTCAGGGGAGGAAACGTTTACTGCCACTTTCGACATGGCTAGTCTCGATAGCGCCAATACCAAGGTCATCTATACGGATATCTCTGCAAGAGTCATGGTGCGGTAAACTTTGCGCGCAAGCCCTTGCACACTCAAGAGTCAAAGAGCTTTCCGGTGCCGTTCACCCATCGGGCGTCAAACCAGTTCGTCTTATCGACCACAAACCCTGTTCACCACACAAACCTATTGATAAGCGCGCGATCCCGCTTCGACGAAGCGAGACAGCCTACCATCGACGTGCAGATGTCAAAATGTCCAAGTGCCCCAAGCATCCTAGTCTTCAGTTCTCGGCTGGATACCATGCACGATCGAGCGCCTCAATTTACATTCAACTGTCACACACTCTTCTTCTAGCGGCTGTCGAGAGCTCGCGGCGATGCGTATTGGTGCAGTGTGAAGGCACGAACCGTACGATGCGTTTCTTGGCCCGCCCAACGGTACTCGTGCCCGCCCCCACTTTAATTGGATTTCGACACATCTCACCCACTAAAAGTGGGTGCTTTTCACCCAAACGGCCATGTCACCCAAACGCGCATTTCATGCAATTCGGGGGTTTTGAACTCGGGGAAGAGACCAAAAGAAAGAGAACCTTGAGGGTATTATGGTTACATAGTTGCTTAATGTTGCTGATAACGGGTGGTCGTTGAGAAGGCAATCTGTAAACTGGGATTTGAACTTTACTATGGGTGCGCGTTTGGGTGACATGGTCGTTTGGGTGAAAAGCACCCACTTTTAGTGGGTGAGATGTGTCGAAATCCAATTAAAGTGGGGGCGGGCACGAGTAGCAAACACTGTGGGAAGCTTCAGGCAGAACACAAAATCCAGAAATGATACCAGATTCGGGCTGGCTCGGTCTCAGTGGTGGAGATTGCCACGTGGCTAGGCAAGCCACACGGAAATTCGAACACGATGTTTCCAGGGCCCTGGTCGTAAGGAGGATTTGGGGTTGGGCTGGGGGGGCTTGCCGGGCACACCTGGGGTTAGGCTGGTACGCTGGCACATGGTAGGCCGGGCTGGGAAAAAGGCAGAGAGCTGACGCCGCTTATTATGAGGTAGAGAGACGTTGAGCTACAAGGGGGGGCCAGCAGCTGACGTTTCGCAACGACCTGTCTTCCCCTCGAGTCAACCACTGTCACCGACACCTCATCCGGTTGGCCAACGATTACCTATCATCCGTCATATACGGATACAATACCAGCTTGACAGGTACGGCCCCCAACGACCGACCGACCGACCGACCGGTTGGGCCTGGAGCCATTGGATTCACTAGAGGAGAACTGTTCAACCTCATCGGGAGCCATCGCCAATCTCGCGCGGTGCGGCCGATCAAGCGTGAAACCAGGGAAGCCGCGCAGGAAGACAAGACAGGGTGCGGTAACGGCAAATCGGAGGCGGCTTGCTCTCCTCGCACTTGATGATGCATGCCCACGGATGTTGCTAGATTGCAGACCCGATGGGAAATCGCGGGACCAATATCTCCAATGCCACATGGCAAGGGACCGGGAGCTCCCTTGCCATCTTTGTCACGCCTGAGATCGGTAGTTCAAGCGGCCGTTTCTTTCCCTTGGCCTTGAGGAGCAAGCCACACAATCTCACGTCACACAACTCCCGCGCGCGTTCGCCTTCGTCTTTTCCGGCATTGCGCAGATGATGTCTAACCCCCTTGTAACCTTGGGATCGGAAGGGGGCAAACAAGTTTGGAGGATGCAGTTTGCAACAGTGCCGCCCTCTCCGGCCGGACAGAGATGGCTAGCCTGGTCCCTTGCCATGCGGGATTCGGAAAACAGAGGCGTCCATGGAATTCAGCGACGACGACGGGCCTCAAGACACCAACTTGACGGCATGGTGCCCTATTGGCCATGATTTACGTACGCGATACACATGTGCCAGTGAGACACGCAGTAGGAGGGTTTTGGAAAGCTCGAGCTTTTTGCGGCTCGATAGCCAATGATGCCATCCAAACAAACGCATCACATAATAACTCTGTCTTGGGATGCCACAAGTTAGGACTTTGCTTTTTTGTCCCTGCCACGTCGGGGACACTCCCCGGGTCAGCAAGAGAGACATGAAAAGGCAAATAAGTTTCTCCTCAGCTTTGCAGAAGGTCGAGACGATGGTGGTTGCCCTTTACCACCGAATGGGGAGAATGCATCATGGCCCAGGTTTATCAAGGTCCATCGTCGCTTTGCGGCTTTTCCTTGGGTAAGGCCGCAAGGGGTCAGTCAATCATGGATTGGAAGGTTCGAAACCTATTTTCCCTTTCGACCCTGGATCAGTCAACACCGCCTTTTTCATCCCGTCCGTCCCCGTCCTCGCTCCCGGCTCATGACACCGGATCTAGAGGCGATTACACACCCCCATGGCCCATGTCAATATCCAATAGGCAGCACCCCGTTCAGTCCCTGGGTTGGGTTTGAAGTACCGAACACTCTCTCACCGCATCGTTGCCGCCTATGTAGTGTACACCAGACGAAAGCAAGGGAGAGTATGGATAGGGCAGCGGCTTTCTCGGTGGACTTCTGGGCGATCGGCACCCCTCCGTCGTACGACACGACCACGGACATTTGGGCTCACCCTCCTCACAGCCTCCCTCCGAGGCTGGGTAGGCATGGGGGAGTATGGCATGCCATGGCCCATGATAATGGAACTCCCGTACATGGTACAGATACATCAGTACCGATATGTGGCTTTGAGTATGCGTCGCGTCGCCGGCGATGAGAGAGAAAGAGACGTGGGGTTCGTCCACCTTGAACTGCCCGACCTCATTTCCCAGGCTTGTTTGAACTTGGGTGCCGGCATCCATGTATTCTTGTCTCTCCAGGCTCCAAGGCTACGTTTGGGGACTAGAAGGGGTTTCGTTTCATTGAAGAAAGCTCACAAATTGGGGGTGACGGTGAGGGAAGGGGGTGGAAAGGCTCGAAGGGGCTTTTCATCAAACGCTCATGATCTCATCCGAGAACCCGCATTTACGTGGCTCCCGAGCCCCCCGTCAGGTCCCCGTCAACTTTCAAGGGCCCGTCAATTTGACGGAAGGGGGGTTCTATCCAAGTTCTAGAATGCCATTAGAAGGTTGAGCTTAATCCCACGGCAACAAGGGGGGGGTGCAGAAGAAATCTCCATTCTCCAAGGGTTACTACCACCGCCAGGGTTTGGTCTCTTTTAATTAGGGAGACCAAAAGTTGCGCGCGCAACGGCTGACAGCTACCGAGCCATGGCTAACGGCAACTGGAACCACCCTCCAAACCCCCAACTACCGGGACATTTTGAACTACAGGTCTTGTCCAATCTCTGGTAGATTGCAGCCTCTCATCAATGTTCGGTCTCGCGGACGCCGATTTTGTTGCTAGATTGTTACAACGGGTGTTATGCAACGGAAGCTGAGCCTCGCGGCAAGTGCCATAAAACAAACGGTTTGCCGGTGGGCTGGGCTTGGCTGGGCTTTCCTTTGCTTTGCTTTGCTTTGTTTCGATACAGAATCCCCCGGTGCGTGTGGGTGTGTGTGTGTGCCGTTCTTGTCTTACATTTCCGAACATTCTTTGATGGATTTTTGTGTTGTGACACACACAATGCCGTACTATGATGTACGTTCTCTAGACCGGTTCCGGTCAGCCTCTCTCCCCCTCTCTTCCTCCAGCGGCGTTGAACCAAGTTACGTTTATAGTCTAGCTAACAATATGCAGTATCACAGTCCCAACAGGATGCGGCAACTACCCGGGATCACCAGAGTGTGTTTCTGTGTGTGGTTTTCCCGGTGATGGGGGGGAGCCTCGATATTGATGTTGGGTAGCGTGGGCGCCGCGGTTCCTGTCGTCCTACCTTTTTCTCACGTGGCTGGAAGACACTTCGTCTCTCCCTTCCGTATGACCGGCGATGTTGGGTGTCACCACTTGTTGCTGGTCCTTTTGACTAAATGGACGGAAAGATGCCATCTTACGCTTCTCCTCTACTCTGCTCCCCACCCCGGTATGAGGGATACCTACCTACCACAACGCACACAATGAGATTTCTTCCCACATCGTGGCTTGAGGCCATGTGGTGCCCCGAGTCTCACAATGCCATAAACGAGTTTAGTCTGTGGCGAACTATCCTCCACGGCGCGCTGCTTGACAGGTTACTGGAGGAAAGCCATGCCGTGCCATGCCATGCCCATAGACTGGCAAAGACAGGTTCCGCTCTTCTGGGTGCGAGCTAACCGTGTAGTAGCATCCACGCATCTTGGGACAACCCCCCTTTTCCCCTTGTCCGTCTTTCGAATAGAAGGCTTTGGCGTGGGACCATGAGGTTCACTAGAGAACCATCACAAACCCTCCTATTGTCCTACCACCTAGTAGGAAGAGTCCTCTGGAAGGGGGGCTTGGGGGGAGTTGCGGAACCGCAGTCCTGGGTTGAAGTTGTGTTCGCTTCTAGACTAGTTTTATGACGCCGGCTATCAGAGTCCAGACCAGTGTTCGGCCGTGCCAACATCTAACCATCTCTTTTCACCAGTCTTGTCATTCAGATAAACAACTACGCGGTGTAAAGATGACAAGGCCGCCGCCTCTGGGTTGTAGAAGTCCAGCAACCGGGCCCTGCAGTCTTTCCACCGCGTGAGTAGTCAGTCCCCCAGAAGGGAGCATAAATGGCGTTCTGTCTGCGTTGGGTATACATTACATTAGCCTCGGCTGCCCGCTAGAAGGAAACAAAACAAAACGCGTGCCTGGCTTTAGGCTTGCATCGTTGCCCGTTCGGACCTACTATTTTCTTGCTACTGCTTGATACACTTTGCAGCCCCAAATGGCCTGATTATCTGATCCCACATGGGTACTTACTCACAGACAGAGACGTCCACGTGGCTCAGAAGGAAGTCCGGATTCCGCATCACTCGTGTGTAGTGGGCAGCGGAAGTCCGCCGTCTCATTGAAATGCCGGGGTTTAGTTGGCACACATGTGCGTGGCTCTCTCTCCCGGATTTTGGTTTAATGTCCTTTTTTTTTCCTGCGGGTTTGTCCAATCGGAAAACGAACTCAACGGTGCATAAGGCATTCTAGGGGTTCGATCCGAGAGACACTGGTCTCTCCTCCCCTCCCTCCCTTCATCTGCTCTGAGATGCCGTTCAATTTGCGTGTGAATCCGTGAGGTTGCCGAACAAGTACCGGATCGACAGCGTCAGCGATTTGCTTGATCAGCAACAGCCGGGGGGTGTGTGTGAGTGTGTGTGTGCGGAGAAAAGGGAGAAAAACAAGGAGATGCCCCGGATCTAAAGGCAATGCGACGATAGCCACACTTCCCGTTTGCATGGCCCGTGACCGCTCTTTTTCACCCTCCTTTTTTTTTCCCTCTCTTCCTGTCTGCCGGGACCAGCGTTGCCCGCAGGTTCATTTCACGTCGCTCTTTTCGTACTCGGCGTATCAGCAGTTCAGAGGGGGGAAAAGAAAGGGCCCCACGCTCCCAGCCTGTATGGAGGAAAGAAAGCTATTGTTCGGTCGAAGACTTGAAGAAGAAAACGAACTAAGGTAATTCCGTAGTGCAGTATCCATTGATAGACGAGCAGAAAATTGAGTCTTTCTCCGTAGACTACGTTTCCTAGCGTCCAAGTTGTCGGTCATCTTCCGTGGGGGGGGGGAGCGGAGGGGGATGAACGAACTATCACAACGCTCTGGTTGTGTCAACTTGTCAAGACTATCTCGAACGTCGTGCCGCACCATGTTGCCGGATTATCTGCCTTGCGACGTTGGACGACAGCTAGCTAGTGCCTGCCTCCCCCTTCCTCAGAACGTCCGAGCATTGTGCAGACTTTAGACGCCATGAAGAATCGAGCGGCGGGCGGCCGAGGCCGTGAATCTTGGCGGAATCCATTCCGAAATTTCCAATCGCCGGTTCGGCCGCCGGCGACACCATTGATAAAAAAACCCCTTGGGAGGAGGGGGGGTTAATTCTCATCCCGTAGGGAAGCAAGCCATGGTTTTGGAAGCACTGCAGAGTTCCGACGATGACATGTCGCGACTGACTCGACCCAAGTGGCAAAATAAAACGAAGGATGATGAAGGATTGGGAGGAAGCACGGGTGAAAGGTGAAATGCTGCTACAACAGCTAGAACCCGTGGACGAGGAGAACAGACCTGCTAGAGAGAGAGAGAGAGAGAGAGAGAGAGAGAGACCCCACGTTCCGAAACCGAACAAGAACGAAGCCGACGCCGACGGTGTATACGATCGCCTTTGCAGGATTCGCCCGGCCGGCACATCGTCGACATCGGCCGGGTGTGTCTCCCGATTTCCCCAGAGCCCCGCCGGACGCCAACATCGTTGCCTACTGCGTGCGGTCTGCGCTTTTCCCGAGTGAGAGAACGAAAAGAGGGGGCAAAACCGGCGGGCGCGTGGTGCGTTTGCCATACATACGAGACGACGGCGGACGCACGCACGAAACATTTGGATTGCCGGGCGGTTCCCGAGAAATCTCAAGTCGGCCAAGACTTTATGCTGTTCTCTTTCGTATAGTACGGGCAAGGATCTAGGCTTTTTGGCTTCCCTATTTTTTGTCGTATATCTCTACAATGTGTTGGCGGGATGATCTTACACATATCACAGGTAAGGCATGCACATACATACATCCACACACATATTGTTATAGACAAAGCACGCACACGGGACGGGATGCTAGTTACTACTGCTACTATTACCTACCTCCCCTCACCCAAGGTATAGAAGACGCAACCGAGAAACGGCACGTCAAACTATGAGAGGTATCATTGAGACAGGGACGTTACGCTGCGTGGAAACAACTAGGACCCTCGGACCCTTGGGATGCAACTTGGACTCCAAGACTCTTTACCGTACCTTTCTTTCCGTCTTTCTTGTTCCTCCCGATGACGTATGGGTAATGCTCAGCCGCCCCTTTTACACGCCTTGGAGGGGGAGGGGGAGGGGGGCAAGTCGAGGAGACCGCAAGAAACATAAGCCCGCCTCAGAACCGCGGGCCAAGGCTGCGAGGGTAAAGGCTGCGAGGGTAAAGCTTGAGCCAAGCAAGTCCAAAGTCAATCTGGGGTTTCGTTCATAGGTCGGAAGAGGAGGAGGGGCTGTCTCAATGCTTCACCGTGCACCGCCCGACCAGCGTCCCAAGTGAGGCTCAGCAAAGAAGCAGAAGAAAGTATGGACGGAAAGGCGGGAGTGGCTGGAAAGAGAGAAATGGGTTCGGTATGCGCGGGCACGTCGTTCAGTTCGTCGACGGGGGGGGGGGGGGGGGGAACCTGTCAAAGTTGTGCGTATTAGCCACCATCACCAGCCCTGCCTTTCTTCACCAACCCCGCGTGTATGCGTTGTCACCAACATCCCGTCTTCGCCGTTCGTCGTGTTGCCTCTGGAGTTCAACACGAAATCCCCCTCCCATCGTTATCCGGGGCCTCCGCATACGTACGCGCAAGTGCGAGATCCGTCGTGCTCGTCATACGTCGTCGGAGAAAGCTGGACGTTGAGTGCATCCTGCCCTGAGCGTCATCTGGTGCCGAGTCAGTAGGGGCTCCAGTTTGGTTGTTTGATACAGATTCCCTTACCCCCCATCCCCCTTTCGACGTCACTTGAACTTTGCGGCCCAACGTACGGTTTACCCTGCCCTATCAAGAAAAGGGTAAGTCGCCAGTAGCTGTCCTCTGACAAGGCCTGCGGTGACCTTACTCCTCTTTCTTCCCCCTTGGATCACATATACCCCCATCAAAGATGTTATCCTCCAAAGTGTACTCCCCGCCAGAGATGGAGCGTCCGGCGCTGCAGCTGCAGGAGCTTCAGGAGCTGCAGAAGCAACATAACCAGCAGGTGCAGGAGGCGCAACAGCAACAACCGCAGGGCGTAACGGGACTGGGAGGTCTTGCGCGAGGAGCAGGAGCAGCCGAGCTCCCAGCCCCCAACAACGGCGGCGAGCGTCCTGTTCGGGAGTCCAACTACAACGGACGAGTCCGCAACAGTGAACGAGCCAGTGTCCGAGCAAGCTCTGGCGTCCTTGGTCGACAACACCCTCACCGTAGCTCCTTTTCCATCTATTCCAACTATTCGTCCTATTCTTCCTCATCAGACGGAGGAGGGGCCCGAGGCTCGGTTCCAACTGGCGCCGGAGCTGGAGTAGGAGGGGGGGCACCAACGCACCCACCACCGCTACCACGTCAACCGACGCCGACCCCGTATACGGCGCAACAGCCGCGGCGTATCCCCATGATGGAGATGGTGACGCCGCAGGCTCCCGGAACGGCAGGCACGGCTAACACGGCGGGGACGGACGCCACGGCCGTGGCGGGAACCGAGTCGGTGAAGCGGCAGCCCTCGCAGCAGCAAGTGCGGCAACCGCCGCCGACGTACGCCCCGTCGCAGGATCCGTACAGCCGAGTGAGGTTCGCGGACGAGGAGCGGAGGCGAGAAGAGGCGGCGGCGAGGGCCAGGGCGGGGCACCCGTCCGGACAGATCGATATGGCGCAGATCGCGGGCGGGCACAGCATGCGTGCCCTCTGGGTGTTTGCGTGTTGTGCCTTCTTCTGCTATCGGTGTTTGATGGATGAGGATTTTTGACGCTGCGTCCTGTTTCCTCTCTCTCCTCCATTCCTCACTCTTCTTTCCTTTCTTTCACTCTCATCTTGGTTCACTTCTCTTCTTCTCTTCCTCACGTTTTCCAGTCCACATCCATGTCCTCGGCCTGAGGACGATATGGTCGGAATGTCCTCTCCAATGGACAGTGAACTAGCTTTGGTTTACGAACAAAACCAGTCGCCGAGTTCCAGCCACGGATATCCGCGGTACTTTCCTTTTTATATATCTTTCTTTACCCGACACGTGATGTCAACGACGAAACGAACGGTCGAGCTCAGTAACGTTATCTCTCACGACCAACACCACAACCACAGGAAACTCAAGAGGAGGGCAAGGAAAACGAAGTCGTGGCGACATGACGATGATGTAAAAATGCCAAAGAAACAATCATGAATGATGATAAGGTGGGAAACGGAAACGAACAAAAGAGGATTGGAACACACACGCACGACATGGCAACAACGGCGACAGAAGTATATATACACACAGAAATGATAAGACGGCCAACAGGAATATTTGGGACAAAGGTATCCGCTTGAAGAATATAAAATAAAATAAAAGCTGGCATACCGGGTGTTATGGGAATGGATGCTTGAGGTATGGGGAATATGGGATCTGCTTATGATATAGATCGACTTGTACTTGCACTACACAGTATACTTTATTTTCTCCGCCTGCCAGCATATGAAAGAAATATTTTTTTTATATTTTTTTTTTTTTGAATGACTAGCACATGGATTTTCAAGGAGGGGAGGGTGAGCATGACGACGACGATGATTTGATATAAGCCGGGCTCTTCGATATCGCGCACGCAATCGCCGTCCCATGTCCATGTTCGTCCCAGTTTCTGGTGAGATTAGAGGGAGGGGTAAAAGCAAGAGAGCGGGATAGGCATCCCGAAGAGACGGCGCGTGCGGTACAACGGCGAACATACTTGCCGTCCCACAAAGTTTTCTTTCCCTTGCCAAGCAAGGTCACGAAGAGAAGGAAGGGGTGGGAATATTTGGCTGGGTTTGGGTTGCGGTTGGGTTGGGTTGGGTTCCTGTCCAGAGGTTCGCCGTTCACCGTTCATCGGTCCTCTTTTTTCCCCTTCATTTCTTGTTGGAAGAAGACCTCCGATTGGAACCAGAAGGAAAAAAAGAAAAAAAAAACTTGGGATCAATAGGTTCATGCTAATGCATGGTCATTGTATGTTATATATCGTGTCGCAGGAAAATGGGGGAGAGGGGTGAATAACAAGAGAAAAAGGCGGGACCCTTGCCTTGCTTCCCGCTCTCTTGATGCGCAGGAATCACGGAGAATTTTCGAGACAATTTTTGGGGATACATTGATGTCACGCTGATGTCGACGCCCCGGGACTGAGCTCGTCCATACCGACGCAGAATTTCTGGGCCAATCTGGTGTAATCATATGTGCTTGGCTTGCAAATACCTCCCTGCTTTTCAAGAAGAGGCATGCATGGTAGAGTTGGTGATGTTGTCTCGTGGTAATGATCGGAGCAGAGAATGGTTGCCTTTTGATCAGCTCTGGCTTTTCGAATGAACCCAAGGATTCAGCAGATAATACCAAAAGGATGAGTGAGTTTGAGAGTCGACGTCCGCCATCTGTTACACAGCTAATACAGTCGCAAGGGGATTCGGCAGTAGATTAGGGCCTGCACGTTGCTTAGCCGTGGAAAGTATCATTGCGCTCTTCGTGGTCAGCACGAAGCAGACAGCCGCTGTTTGATAGCATGAGCTGCTATTTTCAAGTAAGACGATGCGTAAACTGAATTCATGTTCGGCTCACAGGATGTCTACTCCACAACTTCCACTGTCTTGCGAAGGCTGGTCCTGGACATCTAGCAAGCACGGTAGCAAATGCTGATGACTACCAAACCCACCTTTGGTTCTTAACAAGAGCCATCAGCTTTGCTCTAAAACTATGGTAATGAACATCAGGTGTCTCTTTGGCTCCCTTGTGGGTGGAACAAGCCAGATGAAGCAATTGTAGCAGAGGGTAAAATGGTTTGGCTCAATGATGGTCTTTTAGTAGTCATATCATGTGTAAAGAACCAAGTGAAGCACTATCACCACTCGGAGGGTCTTGGAACCTTACTCCCGTGATGAGCAAGCGGAAGAGTCATGTCGATTAGCAGGGAAACTTTTGTGAGACATGACTTCACTCGGACGTCAGACGGCCTTTGGAATTTTCACAAATTCTCTATCCTTTCGTGCGCATCTGACCTGTGATATGAATCTAGAGTGGAACTTCAATGATACTCAGAAAAAGGAAGCTGAGCATATGGCAACATCCTCACAGCGTGTGCCCTATCCATTCTCCAACCTCCATCATAATCTCAAACGCCTCAAGCGCCTTGGTCCTCATCTCCTTTCCCAACCCAGCATCCTCACTCTTCGCAAGCCACTCGAGCCGAACCATCCAAAACTCCCACCGCTGCCGACACATGATCGGCGGCCCCTCGTACAGGACCCCTTGATATGATATCGCTTCCTCCGTCAAGTCTCTCTCATACTCTGGCATCTCCAGATAGCCAATGTTCTCTTGTGACCACCAGAGGAGAGACCTCGCGCTGTGACGGATCCATTCGCAGGCGAGGCGCAGCCGGCACTCTGCGACCGCCGGGATGGAGCTCGGCTCCTCCTCGAGCGCCGAGCGCAATGCGTCCATTGCCTGCGTGTGGAGGCCCAGGACGCCGCTTCCTAGTAAGAGAGCGCCGAATCTGTTGATGTTGCGCCATTCTTGTGCGTCTTTTGTGGTGAAACTTTCTGTAGTGGATTCTTGGGTCGGGTCTATCTCGCATTAGGCCACCAGGTCTGACGTGGTCGAGTCTCTTCACGACTGACGGCAGGAGTAAAGTGGTAACTCACCGCCAGGGGAAGCCTCGACGGCTACGTAGAACAATGGCAGGTCTTTCCAAACAGGTTGTCTGTCTGCTTCGTTCTATTAAGTTTCAAATGGTCAGTCATGAGATCCGTATCCTGAATCTTCATTGAGCAACGAAGCACACTTACACCCCAAATGTTGCTTTCACCTTTCGCACATTGCTGCAATGCTAAAAGGATGTTGGTGAGATGATTTTGCGTCTCTTTTGTCACGTCGAAACTGGTAGCAGTATCTGTCATGAGGTCCCAAGTGACATAAAAGTAGCTCTCTGCCTCTTTGCGCTGCTCTAGACGGGGGCACAGGGCGTCCAAGGAAGATGCAGCCTCTGCAGCGGTCTCCCAAGTGGCCGCTCGAATGTCATAGGCTAGAATATCAAGAATCTGAATCTCAACATCCGAAAGATCCAGTTTCTTCAAACGCTCCAGTTGACGCAAGATGTTTTTCATCTGCTGCGGCCTTCACTTCCATGTCTCGTGCGTCGTCAAGTTCGCGAAGCACCTTCAGGGCTGGCAGTGCATCGTAGATATCCAAAGGTCTATCACAACAAGCCCCCCCCCCCCCCCCCCCCCCCCCCGTGCCTCTCTCTTCTGTTCCCCCGTACCGGGAGTTTCCCATTGTTCCAAGCCCGCAAAACGGATCAGCGCCAAAGAATTTCACTCGTGCCACCCCGGAATCTGGTCCTGTTCGCGCCTTTTACAACGAGGACGACCGGACCGCATTCGACGTCGGATACAAGGACGTGTCCCTCGCGCCGAGAGGCCCGCGGAACGGCGCGCGGCACGCAAACTTGAATTTCAGTTTGGCAACGTATCATCCGGCACCCACGCACGTTGACTGCAGCACTGTGAAGCGTTAGAGTGCCAGGAAACGGGAGGCGAGGTGACTGTTGTCGCCGTTCCAGAAAACTGGACGCTCTGTGCGAATGACTATGACGGAAATGGGTCATACAACGTGAGATTGCATATAACTATGTCAAGATGAGAAGAGTCAAGAAGATGCTATTGGTGGAGCAGAAGGAAAGAAGAGTGCAGCGAGAGCCGCGGGAGCCGCGGGAGTTGCCTCTGAACCAATGGTCAATACCAAGTGAGATAAGTAGAATGATATAGCAGAATGTTGTGTAGTAATCAAAAAATTGCAATGTTAGACTGACAGAGTGATACATGGCGACCAAAGGTGATGCTCCCCTCAACGAACAGCGTCCGTTGTAGTCGATGGCCGAGCGGTACAATTCTAGCCTTGAATGGCGGGAGCGTATGCTGGCTCACGGCCCTACATAATGCCATGGACAGTTTGGTTTTTTGGTCGCATTTTACTCCATAGTAATTTGGGTGACGGACGATGTTCATCATGTGATAATTGCGTATTCACAAAAGTACCTTTTTTTTTTAATATGAGAATCTAATGGCAGATTTAGCAGGTCGCGAGTGCGAGTTAATTTGCCTCCCTTCTTCTTTTCTTTCATCTATTTCCGTTTGCTCCTCATCTTTTGTGTTGTATGAGCGCAAACGTCTTTCTTGAGCAAGCTCCGCCCAAGAGGTTGCATTTCGATCCACGGGATGATGATCCGAAATACCTCAATTCCTTCAAGGGGCGCGTGGTTGACTTCCCAGTAGAGTCTTGATGATTCTAATCGCCCATCAACAGAAAAACCGAATCTCCCACTTGGCTAAATAAAGGCGAAGGAATTGATATCCTACTGAAACTTCAACGCCTCTTGGCGATCTCATTTCCACAACTGGTTCCAGGGCTTGGCGCCGCGTGAGCTTTGCGTCGTCTCAGGGTTCGTAGGGCGCGTTTGTCACACATGGTCCACGAAGTACAGCAGACGTGCCAAAAGAATGACTTGTAGGCACGTAGGTTGGAAAACGGGTAAATCAGTTGGACCAGGTTAGTTCTTTGGTGCGGCGCTAGGAAAGACGATCCGGCCCGGTGTCTACGCTACTTTTTGTCAAGTTCGTCCCGGGGTCGTGGGTTTGCTTGTTTGGAATCAAGGCTATGCAGTCTGCTTGGTGATATAAACATGTAGTTAGGGTGAAAGGAGAATCCGAGGACGGCGAGCAGTATTTCTATCTTGAAGGGTTAGATATGCTGGGGGCGATTATGTGGGATTTTATGTTTAGTGATCATGAGGGTAGCGTGTGTTGGATAGCGTCAGATGGGCGAATTTTGTAGACTATGGTGTGGGCTACCGGTATCTAAGTGTAGTATGAGGAAGCGGCCCTTGATTCTTGGCCTGCTGTCAAGCTCTAGTCGGAAGTCTAAAATGCTTTGTGGTGTGGTGGTTGATGGCGTTGTTTGGAATCTGATAGCCATGTAACGGCCGTAACGTCGTTTGACGCGGGGGAGAAGGTTGACATGCAGATGATCAGGGACTTTGGGCATCCCTTCCTTCCTCTTTCCCCATAGCCACCCTGAACATCTGTTTGCGGTCTACCTATGCCCCCCCCCCGTCAAAAGGCAGGGGTGAAGGACAGAGGTTGGGTAGACTGTCATCATGTAGCGGATAATGGATAGAGACATAGAGTAGATGATGTCACGATGTCACGACATCGCGGAGAAACACGTGCTGAATAAGATAGAGTATGATCCCTTTTGGCCGGAGATATATAATTAGGCAATCAATCTTCAGGAGACAGGGGGTTGCGGTTGATCTGGCGGGATGATGGGGTCGTGAAACCTTTGATCACCACAGTTAGTTAGGTGGTTAGTAAGGAAGCGCCAAGCGCAGGCGGCCGCCTCGGGTAGTTTGCGGTAGCTTAAGGTAGAACTTTAGACGACGTTGGGGGTGACGTTCCTCGGGCGGCCGCGTGCCAAGATAGAGGGTTTTCTTACAACCAAGGTACCTAGCCTCATCTACAAAAGTCTGGACCTCATTGGATCCTTTCCGAGTCCGCACATGGCTATGCATCGTCTCCTACCTTTCCATGTTGTATGTGAAAGAGGCGTTCTCTCAAGAATCCCATTGTTCTCGTATTCGCTCGCAGTTGCGAAAGATGAAGAAAGGTGAGCATGCAAGCCGCACGCGTGGTTGATGGTGTAGCTAGCTACCTTGGCCATGTATCCGTACTTGGGCTTTGGGGACGGTCGTTGCGGAAAGGTCCTGCAGCTCGGAGCGTCTGTCTTAGTGTTGTAACTTGTGAATCTTGCATCGGGCCCAATGGCAGCTCCCGTCTCGTTACTTTCCAGTCTTTCAGTCTTTCGGGTACAGGGTGGTCCCACAAGTCTGGGAACCCGGCGGCCGCCCGCCGCCACGTTGCGGCGGGTTGAATTCCGCACACGGGGGGTTTGAACTTTGGGGTGTGTGGTTCTTCTTTTTCCCTTTGAGTTTTGAGTGTCTGGGTCCTCCAGGTGCCACTGTCATCTGTCATCGATCCGAGTTAGCCATGTGCCGAGAAAACCAGATCAGCCTTTTTTCTCCATCTTCCTCCCCAGGACCACTACTCCGTACCGAGAAAATGTCTTTTGGAAACATCCAGTGGGACACAGACCAGCCACATGATCTGTTTGTCTCTGAGTCTGGCTCATAGTTTCGAGAGGGGGGGGGGGGCTGAGCTGAATGGGACGACAGAAATGACAAGAGAAACGTCCGAGCCGAGCCAGCGGTTTCTCCTCTCGAGCGCAGCTGCCTTGGTTTTAGTGGCAGCACAGAGAACTGTCCACCGACTTCCCTTGTTGTACTTTGTGTGTGTGTGTGTGTGTGTGTGTGTGTGTGCGAGAGAGGGCGGCGGCCGCCCATGCTTCTCCTCCCCCTCCCCCTCCCCCCATGCCATCCCAATCCATCCCGTGCCCCCCCGACGACTCGAGGACGGATACAGAAGTACGAAGACCTCAGTTCAGCCAAAAGTATGAGGTAAGGTATGCATGGATCCGTCCGGCTGATGGGGGTTTTGGAATTATTATTTTTTTCCCAATTTGTGTATCCCTCCGAAGCTGGTAAAACTGGGAGGTTGACCGCATCTTTTACGACATGACATGGGACTACAAGTACTAGACAGACTGGCATCACTTCCTTCTTACCCGCTCTCCGCCGCTTCTTTCATTGATTGGTCTTTTTCTTTCGCTCTTATTGACGCTGTTCTTGATCAATCATTGTTGGTTTGCGGTTGACTAGGTATACCTACCTAAGCTACCTATCCCCTACCTACAGATCATCCCAGCGTCAATCTTGTTTCCCTCAAATCTCTCACGAACTCATTCCCAAAATAAAGTACCAACCCTTACATCACTCACCTACCTGACCTTGTTTGGTATACTCCTTAGTAAAATCCCTTCTTGTTTCTTTCTACGGATATTCGACTCCCTCATCGCCAACCCTGCTCTTCACGGTAATCCTTGTCCTGCTCCCCTTCCCCAGAGCCCTGTCTTTTTACCGGCTCCAACCCTTTCCGGCAGGGAACCCAGCTCGAGGGACACATAATACCTAGCTAGTACCTACGGATACTAGTAGTTCAGTTCGGGCTTCACCGTGCTACCACCGCCCACCACGCACAGCTACGCCTCACGGAGCCCTCCTCACCCGGCCGTCCTCCGTCCTCCGTCTCCGTGCCAAGCTGGCACTGCCTCCGAACCATAACAACCGCATCGCTTCCTCTTCGACCGCATATCCTGGGGTTTCTTTTCGCAAGTCCCCATTTCGATACCTGCCGGCTTCAAACTGCCAATTACTGCAACTCAACTTTTCTCTTTGGCGATTTTCAACCCGAAGTCCTGGGACTATCTACCGACCTGCTCAACCGACTCCATTTCACCAAATCTTTTCTACCGTACTTTTAGTTCTTGTTCCATCCCATTTCCGGTTCAGCACCAGAGCTGTTTCTCTCCAAGAACTTAAACCTTAGCAACCTTACACTCACCTCGCATCCTCAACGGTCAACTCTCGTTTCTGGTTACAGACCTCCTGCACATGGGGTCGCTCACGCGCATCTAGACCCTCAAACTCCCCTCCGCCCGCCCAACCCATCTCTCTTCGCCAACCATGTCAAAACGTACAACTTTCACCACAATCTCCCCTCTACCCCCCGGCATCAGTCGCGATGCCGTCCTCGCCTTCCTACACAACCACATGGAGATGATTGACCTGAACCCCCTCATCAAAGAGCGTCACCTCATCACCGCCCCCGCCAACGCCCCTCCCGAAGAGCACGCATGCGCCTGGTACTCCCTCACCGATGAAATCTCCTACCTGCCCGGCGGCCTGGCCACGGGCAACGTCAGCTACACCTGCTGCTTCCACGACCTACCCACCGGCCTGCAGACCCACTGCTACGCGCCCATGGGCCTCGAGATCCGCGACAAGTGGACCGTCGCCGGCTCCCTGCCCGGAGAACCCGTCGAGCCCGTCGAGCTCGGCATCGGCGCCCCGCTGACGGGCCTCTACATCCGCGAAGACGTCGACATGCGCTGCAACGTCTTCACCACTTCGTTTGTTAAAAAGACGCTGAAAAAGAGCCACGGTCTGCTGGTCGACCGTCTCAAGTCAAAGGTCCACCGCACAGTCATCGCCGCCGCACATCAACGGCACGACAGTCAAAACTCACTATCGGGATCCGTCAGGTCCGGCTCCAGCGGGAACAGCACATCGCAGTCGCAGCATCAAATGTACCCGAATCCGGCTTACACGAACAACACCCTCGGCAATCAGATCAGTCTCCCGTACAGACCATCATATCACAACCCAGCAAGTGCACCAACACCAGCACCAGCACCAACACCACCAGCCAGCGACGGCTCTGCAAACTCACTTAACGCCTACCCGGAACCTCTCCGCGTCCGCCGCACTACCCAAAGCGCAACCTCGACGTCTCATCATCATCATCATCATCATCATCATCAACAGAAGCCCTCGTGGCCGGATATCAAATCACAGCCGTCCACCGCCGTCCTCGCCAACGGTTATGCTGCTCAGGCCAACTTCATGGGCGGCCTTAACGCCTACGACGCGAAACCTTTGCCTCCGTCGCCGTACGCGGGTGGGAGAGCGGGAGACGATGCCGGTCAGCAGCGGAATGGGTGTCAGCAGAACAGTGGCGCAACTCTGCAAGGGCCCTTTGTTGCTGAGCTGGAGTGAGACTTCGGGAGAGGGCTGTTTTGTGTGTGTGTGTGTGTGTGTGCCTTTGTGTCCATCGTGTTGGTGTTCCCGTCGTTTCGGCCTAGGCCTTTTTGTGTCAGTCATACAAACTCGATACCCCATAAGTTTTTATTTCTCAATTCATTCAAGACATATATACCTAAGAAGAACTTCTTTCATCGTCGCGTGAGATCTGGGCGTGTGTATCACGTGTGTGACGGGTGTGGCGCTGGCTCCGCCCTTGTGTGGTGGTTTTGATCCGGACCGAGTCTTGTCTCTAGATCTGAGGCTGGGGCTGAGCTCTTGTCATCTCTCAAATACCATTCAATGACGAAGATCATATACACTAAACTAAGCTTTTCTAGACAGGCCAATTCTTTTACATCACAACACCAACCAATAACGTCAGATCGCTCTACATACCAAGAATCCTCCTCAGTAGAGACATCAAATCTCCCGGCAACTTTCTCATCAAACTCATCATACCCTCCCGAGCCAGTGGAGCCTCCTGAGCCTGTTGCTTTTGCTCCTTTTGCTGCTTCTGCTGCTCTTTCACCAGTGTCTTTCCTTTCTTCGCTGTAGGCGTATACCTCCTCTCCTCATCCAACCTCTGCATCCCATACCGCTTCGTAACCAGCGTAGACCAAACCTCCATCCCCAAGATCCACGAAACGCACCCGTCCCGCAAGATTCTCAAATTCGTATCATCAACCTCGTCCTCCAACGCCGGGCCATCCTCAACCAAGCCCACGAATTCCCTCACTAGTACTTTTGTCTCCTGTCCCAACTTCGTCATGGCCTCCTGCACACCAACCCCGTCCTCCTCCACGAGGACCCTTACACCATTATGTCCGTCCTCCCCCTTGGCCTGCTCTTTATCGAAGCTGTAGATATCGTTCTGGTTGATAATGATGTCGACGCAGAGACGCAGCAGCGAGTCCACGGCTGGAATCTGCCAAAAGTTGGGGCGGATCGCGCGGTCAATGAGGAGGAGCGCCATCCCCGGCAAGACACCGATCGTAAGGCGCCGAACGGCAATGTACCCCTCCCGACTCGGCACGCACTCTTTGCCCTTCCCGTCCACCTTCCTCCGGAGCGCCACCTCGTCGCCCACGCCGTCGAGGTACTCTGCGAAACTATCCACAAAGAAATCCCACGAGTCGGATGTGCCGCCTACCGCGTCGCTGCGGTAGCGTATCGCAATGTCGGCCGCCATCCGGACGCCCACCCACTCTTCATCTTCCCCCGTCGTGGCCGAGACCTCAATCTCCTCGGGATGCCGAAACGCGTGGACCATGGCAGCAGACTGCCTCCTCACCTGCCGCTCGCCGTCCACCGTATCCTCGACGTTATCCGTAAACTCGTCAATGACAAAGAAGTGGAGCATGACGAGCGCGGCGAGGAGGACGTGGCGCGTGGGTTGGTGGGCGTAGATGAGGCATGCTATCTCGGGGAAATCGCCGGCGATGATTTTGGAGATGAAGAGGTCGTTGATGCCCTTGTTGATGGACTTGGGCTTAGGCTTAGTGGTGGAGGTGGAGCAGGAATAGCGTCGTAGCCAGTTTTCGGATTCAGACTTGATGTAGTCGGAGTCTGGGTGGCGGTTTGGGGGGTAAGGGGATGGCCAGCTTGCGGTTTGGCGCCAGTCTGCTAGGAAATCTGGGATTTGGATTGTGGTTTGTTGGGGAGTGTGCTTCTCGGTGATTGAGGACGCCATGATGGATGGCTTGGTGAGGTAGATCTAGTTGTCTGGATCCTGGACTTCTATGACTCGATAATGTTTGTGATTAGACGATGTTTATAACTCAACCTCTGAGAAGGAAGAGAGAATATCCGAGGCAAAGAGAGAGAAAGAGGCTTTGGTTTAATGTCTTGAGGCTTCAAACATTTCCTCAGCCACTGATTGGAACCGGGAGCTTTATAGCCGTCTTCGAAAGACTGAGCCGTACGACTCGTAGACTTTGAATCACGAGGCACAGCAACGAGGCAAAAGAAGCCTAGAACTTGATGTCATCCAAGATAAACGATATCACAATCAAGGGTCAAACTTGTCACTTTCCAGACTTCATGATGGGGTAATCATATCACACCGAAATACTTCGCAACCAGGATTGTAAAACGGGGCGCCTTCTCACGCCGGAAACAGGGACAAAGGCGAAAAACCCCGGTGTGAGTAGACGATCCCCCCTCCCCTCCAATACGAAAAAAATTAAATACCAAGGTCATAAGGCATATATCTTCCAAGACTAGTCGTCTTCGAAGACTAGGCTATCGCCGTAGCACACCGGAGAACCAACCCCCCACGCAAAACTTGGCAACTCAGCCCTATCACCCTGGAGGTAAGGAACGCTTGTTGGTTCGCAAACGCGTCCAAGCCAATCAATCCATGGCCCCCAAGCACATAGGGCTGAGACTTGCTTTGGTCTTGTTGAAGAATCCGGTTCCGGGGCTGAGGGATCCCCCCTCTTCCTTCCTGTGCCTCGGGCGGTGGCACGGTGATGACTGGTTATTTCCACACACACAGAAACACAACCACACACACACACTCTCTCTCTCTCTCTTTCGCAGACACTCACTCACATTCTCTTTCCACATTAGCACACACTCACACAGAACCAACGCCCTCGTACTAGTCTCGATGAACATGGACAAACCCCCAAAACAAAAAAGAAACATGCAACACCAGGCATTCGCCGGTCGTCTCCGACCCGACTACTACTCTGGCCCTCGCCGGTTTATCAATGGGAGAGCGGACGGGATCCCGAGTTCTCCAGTGGGTATGGTCGCATGTGTTGTCTTCTCTCATTGATGCTGGTTATCCCGGCGTTAGTCGTTGGACGGGGCTCGGCGGATTACCAGAACCAGGTCCCCGGGATCGACGTTTACCAGGCTACACTTGGGACGATTAGTCACACTGCGGCTAAGCCCCCCCCACATTGGGGTCTGGAAAGTGGGATGTGGATAACTTACTTGTTGGTTCACAAACTTACAAAAGTGTACGTCTTCTTATTACTCGATTCGGCATCATCTTACCCCCTCCCCCTTGTTGGTTGTGGTCGACCGGTGGGAGCTGACTGTGACTGTTGCTTCGCCGCGAGGCTAGCAGCGGTGGTCCAGGCTTACACACGGGCGGGGGGGATGGTTCGCTCGAGTTCTCGGCCCGGGAAAAGCGGGACCGGGCGGGCGTCCGGGTTTAGCAGGCAGCACAAGGCTTGGATGGAAGCCTGCCAGGCAGACATGACGAAAAGTCGTCAGGGGAAGAAGATTTCTCACTTCAAGGTGGTTTCAGACACGATGTGATAACAGATCAAGACTTTTGTAGACTTGTTATCTGGCCGCGTGACCTTTGCGGACGAGCATTAAGCGCGAGAAATAAGAGTGATAACTCTTTCCTAAGGTACTTACATACCTTAGGTACTGTCACAGGTCCCAAGGGCGGGGGGCGATATTATGAAAGCATCGTAATGGTTGATAACTGGTGTATTGCCTTGGTCTATACGCCCTCGGCCATGTCATAATGCCTTCAATACGTAAACCCTAGACACTTCATCAAAGCGTGAATTCACCCACGCTCAAATCTCCTTACACCACCGCGCCAACACGTTATTCAACTTCAACCCCGCCGGAATCTCCTCCAGCGCCATATCCACCTTCCACATCTTCCCCTCCAACCCGCCGTACCCCGAAGCCCGACCCGTCCCGAGACCCGCCGGCACCAGCAGCCCCAGGGCAACGAGCCTCTCCCACGCAAGACCAGCCACACCGCGGCCCCACACCCGCACGCCGCCGCCCAGGGCCAGCAGGCCCGAACTGGCCGACTGCACGCGCTGCCGACCCATCAGCGAGCCGTACTCGTCGTACGCCATCGCAAAGTTGACCGTGTCCGTGTGTGCGACAATGTCGAGTCGCGCTGCTGCGATGAGAAGGCCCAGGTCAAGCTCCGAGAGCGACGATAAAAGGTGAAGCTTGGAGTTTGGCGGTGTGAGGGAGACGACTGCACCGCTTGGCGTTGGTGGGATGACGAGGTCTAGCGATGTAGGCGAGAGCGCGGAAAGGGGAAGAATACACGCTGATAGGAACGCCGAGACGGATTTCGTTGTCGCGTAGTGGTATTGCAAAAGACTTTGGAATGCCTTTTCTTTGTATAGAACCTATCGAAAGGTGAGTCAGTATCCAAACCGCCTTTTGCAATCTGTGTCGGAAACATACCTCAATCATAGCCTTCCAATTTGCGTGGAAAGCTTCGTGCCCGTCCACACTGACGTCGATGCCCTCAACGTCCATGTCCTCGTCGTCCACGCAGAGGCCCTGCTTGCATACTTTCCAGTACGCAGGCAAACTCTTTGGGAGAGACAAGTAGACGTAGCGGTGGCCGAAACGACTCTTGACGCGCTTTTCCAGCGTTTCTACTACGTCCATCCGAGTCGTGCAACCCAGCACTGCAATAGGGGCTTTTCTTGCCTGTGCAATATCAAACAGATTGTAAAGCAGCGTTTGGCGGGGATGTGCTGCAAACATGTCAAACTCATCAATGACGAAGACAACTGCTTGCGAGGTCACGCCCTCCTCCGCCTGTGCCATTTCTGACGGGTGAGATAGCAGCGCAAGTAGCGAAGCCATTGTATCGGCATAATTTGACTGCCGTATTGTCAGTTTCTTCTCTTTTTAGTCAGAGTGATAGGAATGCAAACCCGAGCGTTGGCCTCGTCCTCCGCCTCCATCTCTTTGCCCAGTTGCCGCCAAATCTCCTTGAGAGCGAGCTTGTCGTCGGTGTGAATGAACCCGTTTAGTCTTACAACGTGGAATTCCTTCTTATGCTGCAAAGACAGGTCGTCGACTATGCTCTCGATGAGCTACTGTGCGTTAGAATGGCCCCACTGCAAGGTAAACGGCTTTGCGACTTACCATGGTCTTGCCGCAACCCCGAGCCCCTATTACGAGCATGGAATTGCCCTCCCCAGCCAGTACCGTCTGCTCTACCAGCTGATGCGCCTTGTCGTAGGCATCATCCTGGTCAATCAGCTTGATACGACGGCGACCCGTACACCGGTCTAATAGCACTCTTTGCAGATTGCTCAGATGTTGCGCGAAATTGGGAGTCTTCACCGCCTCATCTGCGGCCACCGCGCGCGACTGCTTCTGCCCTACACAGTCGTTGCAGAACCAGTCTCCCCGGGGAACCTTTGGGACCTTGTAGCATTTCTGATGGAACGCCTTATCGCAGCCATCACAGAACAGGATTCTGTTTCCAGGCTTGGAATCGGGCTTTGTGCATATCGAACAAACGTCCTCGTCTTCCTCTTCTTCTTCCTCTTCTTCTCCCTCTGACGCTTCTGCTACCGGTTCTTCTGCTTCTTGTGGCTCAACTTCTGATTCCGCCTCTTCCTCCTCCTGTGGCTCCTCATCAATGACTTTTGGGGGCACTTTCCGTGACTTCGCGGTCTTCGCCACTATTGTTTTAGCTTCGACCACTTTTTGTGATGATTTCCGGCTTCTCCCAGACTTGGTCGCCGACTTGGTCGGGAGATCTTCGAAGAACACCTCCTCTTGAGCCAAAGCGCTCGTGGAGTCGAAGGCTACGCTCTTACTTCTTCTCGGCGTACCGTCCCGCTTGGACGGCGTCAAGATGCCTTTTAGTGGCATAGACACATTGCGATTCACCTTCCCCGTGGTCTTCTTGGATTTCGGGACTTCATCCACTGCGGCGGAAGATCTCGCGTGAGAAGTCGGAGTAGCAGAGCGGCTCGCAACCTTTTCCACATGCTCAAGGGCTTTCGCAGTCAGAGTTCTGCGTCGTCCGCTGGCTCGTATCTGCGAGGATGACTCTTCCGTCGAAGCAACCTTCTCATCCTGGCCCATCACTTTGTTGATCTTGCCTTTCCGAGGAAAGGGCTTCTCGACTGTCTCCCCTCCGTTGACCTCGCCCACATCTTCAACGACCACGAGGCTGCTCTTTCTCTTCGTAGGGTTTGTCCTCTGCGAATTCACCTCCTTCGGGCTCGAATGTAACTCGTCGTCGGAGAGGGGAATATCGTAAATGTCATCGTTGACATTGCGGCGAGGCGGGATCGGAACCTTGGCAGTCGGTCGGTCAACGCTCCTGACGTTGCGGATTCGCCGTGGCGGGTTGTCTTCGGGGGAGTCTGGCACATCGTAGGCCGAGACGGGCGAAGATGTGATTTTATTCCGAGCGGACTTCTTTGCAGCAGAAGAATTGGCTCCGGAAGTAGTCTTGGGTGTTGTCGGAGAGGAGGCGACAATAGGGTTGCCATTGGCGTCTAGCTTCCGTTTCTTGAAGCTCGATGGGACACTATGGTCTGGTTTCGCTGGTGTGGCACGACTGCGCTTGCGGCTCTCAGTGCTGTCGTCAGCACCCATTCTGAAAGTAGCCGCAGACACGGGAGATCGCGAAATCCAACCTAGGACAAAGAAAATATCGTTTCGCGAGTCCGAGTCAAGAAATTGGTAAATGGTTTGGCAGCTCCTGAATACTGTTGGAGGTTACCGTCGGGAAATTTGGAGAGCGACAAGGGTCCAGCGCGTTAACTACCTATTGCCTAGGTGCACGACCGCGTCGGATCCTGGCAGGTACGGTCAAAGCGTTGGGGCGGTTGCCTCGTTAACGAGCATGACACAACCCCAGCACAGGGCTACCTCTCAATCTCATGTACGGATACACCATCGGATGAAAGATGGAAGCTCTGGGCACCATGACAGCCAGCCCCCTCGAATGCATATTCAGCTTGCAGATATCATACCACGAGATTGATCATAGTTTCAGAGTCCATGCGAGAATGTCATTTTGTTGAATATTAACACGGTCATAATTGTATGCTTTATGCTGCCCAACGCCCCGCAATAAAGGTTTCTTGCTTCCTTGCAAGAATAAAGAATACACCAGGCTTTACTCAGCCATCTGAGCAGCCGTATGATCTGCTTCCATATGTCCCTTCGTGAGCACGTTCGCATGTGTAATCCACACAGTTGTCACCCAACCGCCAAAATCAACGCCAAGTCTGCGGCGACTCTCACATCAAGTCCTTGCTCATTTCGTAGGACCAACCGCCCTCTCTGCGCAGCTTGTCGCGAGCTGCCAGATCCTTCCTAATCTCGTCTTCTGTCAAACGATCCGATCCACTCCAGTTTGCGCTCGATGTGCGCGCGCGGAACTTGTGCCATCTCTCCTTGTTGTTAAACACTTCCTCCATATTGAGGGCGCGAGGAGGTCCAAAGATACCCTCTGGGTTCATGGTTTCTTGTTTCATGAGGGCGCGTCTCAAATCAGGCGAATCAGCCCAAGGGGCAACGCCAAAGTGGGAGTCGTCATCATCCTCGTCCTCATCTGTGTCGATTTCGGGCAGCTCAATCTTCTCGCCATCTTGGAATCGAGGCGACGATCTCGTAGCCTTGGCGGTGGACTTTGTGCTTGCAGCACCTATAGGTCGCGCCGGTGTCTTATGAGCCGGACCGGCAGGGTTTGTATTGGGCGCAAACGGGATGTGTCCCTGAGCAAACTGATTCATATCCACTTGCTTTGTGGACTTGATTGTGCTGTGGTGTTGGGCGGTGACGGTGGACTTGAACAAATCTCTGGAAGCACTCGGTGGTGCGTTGGTGTAGCCGTACGTCGACTTAGTGGGCATGTCCTGATGATCCACATTAGCAAAGATTCCGTCATTCGCACTGAGCAATGCATAACTAACCTTCTTGAAACCGACTGACGGAGGGCGAACCGGTGGGCCCTTGATGTTGGGTGGTTGAATGTCCATGTCAAGCTCATCAGCAAAGTCATCGCTAGTGCGACGACGCTTGGCTTCCTGGGTCTTGTAAGATTGCCCGTTGCGTGCGGGAGGGTTGCGAGAGCCAGTGTCCTCTCTGCTGTCTTGCGGCAGGGGACGCTTCGAGCCTGGCCTCGAAGCGTTGGAGAGAACAGCATTGACTGGTCGATCCTCTTGAGACCGATGGGCCATTGAGTTCATTCGGGATGGAGGCCGGGGAGGCTGGCCATCGGAGCGTTGGCTGGCGGTGTAGTCGGGAGGACCGTTGGGCTGAGAGCGCACAGCAGGTGGCGGTGCTCGCGTCTGCTTGGCACGTTCAATTGCGGCCTGTCTCTGCGCGCTCTTCTTCGCCTCGGCTTGCTCTTTCTCCCTCTCTCTCTGTCTCTCCGCCTCTTGCCGCCTTTGAAATTCCTGCTTGCGCTCCTCCTCTTGTATCGCAGCGCGTTTGCGTTCGAGTTCGAGTTTCGCATCTTTCTTCCTTTGAGCCTCCCGCTCTTCCTGTTCCTTTCGCTTGGCGGCAAGCTCGAGTGCTTTCGGTCGGCCATTGGACGAGACAGAGCTCTTCATGCTCGCCAGAGATTGCTTGCTATGTGAGCCTGGCTGGCTCGACTTGGACTTGACCGATGATCCTAGTGTCTCTTGCAGGCCCGATGATAGTGTGCTGTTGGAGGGATGGAATTGCGAGTGTTGCGAGCCGGTGTTAACGCGAATGACGGTAGGTGCTTGCTTGATCTTGCTGGGTGCTTCCTTGGTCGGCTTCATCGGACGCCGGAGTTCTCGCTGCCTGGCCGTCTGGGATGGGCCAACAGAGCGAGGAGCGGATGGCGGCGGCCTTGGAGTTGGCGCTTCAGCCATTTCTACGTCAGGCTTTTCTGATTGTGACGCCTGGGCAGCAGCCTCAGCCTCAGCCTGAGCCTTGGCCTTGCGAGGGCTAGTTCTCGTGGGCTTGGGTGCTTCCTTCGGGGCCGGCGTTCGGGCAGGTCGTTCAACCTCCTTGATCTGCTCCTGTTCAGGTTCCTTCTCCTTTTGAGCAGCAATCTTCTTCTCCATCGCGGCAATCTTTTCTTGTTCTTTGCTGAAAGTCCGGGCTTTTTCCCGCTCATCTGCACGAGCTTTGTCCAGCTTGCTCATCTGATCAGCCATCAGCTTGGCCTCCTTCTCTTTTCGCTTGTCTTCCTTCTCCTTCTCAACGGAAGCACGCGTTCTGCGCGCAACGGGTTTCTCAGGGCTTCCCATGCTAGACAGTGTTTGAACATCGGCTGCGATGCGCTTGGAAAGGTCAGGATACAATGGCTCCGCAGTGACTGACTGGGGTACAATCGAGTCAGTAGAGGGACCGGGGTAGATGCCGAAGCGAGTGGTGGAAGGTGACATCAGCGAAGATTTTCCCTCTGCGCTGATGGCTGCACTGCTCGCAAGAAGACCCTTGGAACTTTTCAGGATGGAAGACAGCTTGTTCTTGACCTGCTTCAATGGACTATCCCTGAAGCTTCGTGTAGGCGATTGAGGAGTCTCGGGGCGTCCATCCTCTGGCACGGCTGACAGAGGGTTGGAGACCGAAACATGCTTCTTGGCTGGGGACAGGTCTTCAACCATTTTGTCCTTGGAAAGATCGGGCAAGACGGAGACGGAGGCAGATTTGCCATGTCCAAACACACTGGTAGTACGCTCAGGGATGACAGGTGCCCGCTTGGGGGAGCCTGAGCGACCAGGAGATTGCCGCTGCTTAGGCAAAGCAAATTCGGGACCGCTGACAGTGTCTGCCCTGTCGATGCCTTCCATGACATCCGCAGTGTGGCTCTTAGGCAAATGCGGTCGTGGACTGGCCAAGGGCGTATCTTTCGCGGGCACAGGAGGCGCAATCCAGTCATCCTCTTCGGCTTCTTCCACTTCGTCTTCTTCATCGTCCTCCGGGAAAGCTCCTGGAGTGGGTGGCGCAGCAGACTTCTTTGCAGGTGTTGCTGCCTTGGCATCTGCAACTGATTGAGCCGCAGACGTCTGCGCGAGCTGTTGCGCAACCGCTGAGCTCGGGATCGACTTTGAAGGCCGGCTTGCGTTCGGTTGAGATTTACCGAGCAAGTTGATTTGGTCTTGTAGTCGTTGAGTGTATGTTTTGTTGTGGTTAGAAGCGTAGTTGTCGACTTCCTTTGTCTCTTCGGCTGAGCCATCGATGCTCATTCCGTCGTCGTTGCCTTCCTCATCGTCTGATTCTCCAAGTAGCTCCACGTTGTTTCCCAGACTCTTTCCTCCCGTCTGCCTGCCATAGTAGCTCTGACGATTCATGTCCAAATGGCTGGTCCTGGAGACACGAGCCCCGATGCTCTTGTTCTTGAGAGGCTCTCTAGCCGGAAGTGAAGCAAAGTTGAGACTGCTCTTCCTGACTGGGCGGATCGGGCTCGACTCGTCGTCGGACGGCGATCGTGTATCATCGTCCATGTGGACATCTACATCATCCTGCGATTCGGCAGCAGGCGAAGGTTCGGGCATCGGAGATGGTGCAGCTCCAAGCACAGGTGACGACGGCGGTGAAGACTGCTTCGCTGGGGAGCGCTTCTGAGGCGAGGTCTTGATAGGTGACGAGCTCTTCTTTGCGGAATGAGGTTTGGGTGACACCACAGGAGGCGAGGGCGTCCTGGCTTCCTTGGCCGGGCTTGGGGAAGCTGAGGCCTTGGACGAAGCTGGAGATGGCGCTTCCTCGGTGAGATCGCGTATAACCCGCGTTGTCTGTTCCTCCTTGGCCGTTTGGAACGTAACTTCAGGAGAGCGCATGGTACGTGTTTCGGTAGGGCTGTGAGGCGCGTTCTGCTCGATCATCTCGAAGGCAACATGTCCAGTCCGTCCAGCAGTCTTTGGGGGGCTCGACCGTGGCTCGCCAATCTGTGTCTCCTCTTCGATGAGGTCGACATCCATGTCGTCGTCGTCTTCTTCGTTGTCCAAATTGTCGACATCCTGGCTACCATAATATCCGGAATCGGCTAGTGCAACGGGCTGTTTCGAAACCGGCCTAGGGGAGGGGGCAGCCTTGAGAGGCGAAATATTCCTGTTGATCAAAGGTGATGATGTTGATGGCGCAGGGTTGGCAGTAGGAGTGGCACGAGTAAGATGTTGTGTGAACGTGTTCGGGGCGCCGTTGGGAGTGGAAGAGAACACATCTGACAGTGGCTGCACCTTGTTAGCGGACGTTGGCGTGCATGAGAGCAGTAAACTCACGATACGAGGCTCGCCATTGTCGACCTTACGCGCCGTTCGAGGCGTTTTGCTTCGAAGCTTTCCAGGCGTCTTGAATATCTCGGCGACATTGCTGTTGAGATCGTTAGCAATCGGTATAGAGCTGTTGACCAGGGGTCACTGTACATTTCGTTCTCGTTGAAGACCCCAGCCATATGCTCATTAAGCCAGTCAAACTCGTTTCTCGCGGCAAAGGAAAACTCCTCGGCCTCAGCCTGAACAATGCTAAGGGCTGTAGTTCGTTCTTCGTTCACCCATGACGCGGAGCCAATAGGCACACGCGTTCCTCGCATCGTCGCCATTGTGAGGGGTAGATCGCGACGCGCGCAAGAGTGTCGCTATGAAGGAGAAGAGAAATGCTAGCTGGTCATCGAGTTCGGAATGTGGTAGATGGGTGAGGTAAGGTAGTTGCTGGAGAAGAAGGGGTGAAGAAAGCAAAAAGTGGAAAGCACACAAAAGCTGTATGGATGTGTAGTGGTGTTGATGGACCTGGATTGAATTGCATTGCGAACTTAATGTTTTGGTCGAGTCCGAATCCGGCTTAGCGCGGCTGAAGTTCGTGGGGCTGCCTGAGCCGGGGCAATCACAGATTGACAGTCGCGCTTGCGGTTTGCGGGAGACTCGCGGTGTGCAGGCGCCCTCCACTACCTTACCTTAGGTGGTGTGTGTGCTGTCGCCGATAAGGGCCTTATCGGGGGGGGGGGGGGGGGGGGAGGGAGTGCGGGAGGGTCCAAACCTTGGCCCTTGGGAAGGGGGGTGAAGTGGAAACGCGACCGATCGAAAGTAAACAAAAAGACCTTGACACCGACAACACTCCTCAGCAACACCATCGCCAACCACTAACTACTGCAGCATGAGGGTCATAGAGGTTATTATAGACGTATGCGATCACGTTTCTGTATTTTATTTGTCCATACTAACTATCCCCAGGGCTTCAAGTCGTATGCCGTGCGAACGGTGATTTCGGGATGGTAAACAAACCCCTTGCCTTGACTGTGAGGGGACGAAAGCTCACACAACACAGGGACGAAAGTTTCAACTCGATCACCGGTCTCAACGGTTCCGGAAAGTCCAACATCTTGGACGCCATCTGCTTTGTTTTGGGCATCACAAACATGACAACAGTCCGAGCGCAAAACCTCCAGGTGCGTAGCCATCCATCGTGGTGGATTCTGCTTGTGGCCTGTGAAGCTGATGCTATTCACAACAGGATCTTATCTACAAGCGCGGCCAAGCCGGTGTGACAAAAGCGAGTGTTACGATTGTTTTCGACAACAGAGACAAGAAGAAGTCACCCATCGGCTTCGAAGAGTATTCGACCATTAGTGTGACTCGACAAATCGTCCTCGGCGGCACGTCCAAGTACCTCATCAATGGACACCGAGCCCAACAACAGACTGTACAAAACCTGTTCCAGTCTGTTCAATTAAACATCAACAATCCCAACTTCCTCATTATGCAAGGCCGAATCACCAAGGTTCTCAACATGAAGCCGGTCGAGATTCTGGCTATGATTGAGGAAGCCGCGGGAACGAGAATGTTTGAGGACAGGAGAGACAAGGCGCTTAAGACCATGGCGAAAAAGGAGATGAAGCTGCAAGAAATCACAGAGCTACTACGAGATGAGATCGAGCCAAAGCTCGAGAAGCTCAGGACAGAGAAGCGCGCATTCCTCGACTTCCAACAAACCCAAAACGATCTCGAGCGCCTCACACGAGTGGTCGTCGCGCACGACTACGTAAGGTGCCAGGAAAAGCTTGAGCAGTCCGCAGCAGACCTGGAGGGCAAGAAACAAAGACAAAAGGATCTCGAGGAATCCGCGGCACGGCTAAAGAGCGAAATCTCTCACCTTGAAGAGGATGTCAAACGAGTCCGGGCTCAGCGCGACAAGGAATTGAAGAAGGGAGGAAAGGCGCAAGGCTTGGAGGATGCCGTCAAGAAGCATTCGAACGAGCTGGTCAGACTTGCCACGGTCATGGACCTGAAGAAGTCCAGCATGGCGGAAGAGGAAGAGAAGAAGACGGCCGTCGAGAAGAACGTGGCGGAGCTGGAGGCGACTCTGCAAGAAAAGACCCAGGCATTCGAGGAAATCAAGGCTAGATTTGACGCAGCCAAGGACGACCTGGAGAAGCAAAGCCAAGAAGCCGAATCCAAGGAGGAACTCTTGCAAACCCTACAGACTGGTGTTGCATCCAAGGATGGTCAAGAAAGCGGCTACCAAGGCCAGCTTCAAGACGCAAGAAACCGCGCGACAGCAGCGGTCACCGAACAGGAGCAAGCAAAGATGAAAATCGCCCATCTCGAAAAGCGAATCAAGGAGGAAGAGCCACGAGCCAAGAAGGCGAAGGAGCAGAATGCCGACCTTCTCAGAGATCTCGAAGGCCTAAGGTCGCAAGCGCAGAAGCTCGAGAAAGAGCTCGGACGACTAGGCTTTGAGCCCGGTCAGGAAGAGCAGTTGTACCAGAAGCAGTCATCCCTGCAGCAGCAGATCCGAGGTCTTCGTCAGGAGGCTGACGGCCTGAAGCGCAAGGTCGCCAATATTGACTTCAACTATGCCGACCCGACACCCAACTTTGATAGATCAAAGGTCAAGGGTTTGGTTGCTCAGCTATTCACGCTCGACAAGCAAAACACACAAGCCGGTACTGCACTCGAAATCTGCGCTGGTGGTCGTCTTTACAACGTCGTGGTTGACTCTGAAGTCACGGGCACTCAACTGCTCCAAGGCGGAAAGCTCCGCAAGCGTGTCACCATCATCCCGCTGAACAAGATCGCCGCCTTCAAAGCTTCGGCTCAGGCCATCGGGGCTGCCCAAAGGATTGCGCCAGGCAAGGTCGATCTGGCCTTGTCACTCGTCGGCTACGATCATGAGGTCTCCGCCGCTATGGAGTATGTATTCGGCAACACACTCATCTGCGCAGATGCAGAGACGGCCAAGAGGGTCACCTTTGACCCCAACGTTAGAATGAGGTCTATCACCCTCGAGGGTGATTCCTATGACCCTTCAGGTACACTTTCTGGCGGTAGCTCTCCCAACTCCAGCGGTGTACTGGTCACGCTGCAAAAGCTCAACGAGATCACACGCCAACTCAAGGAGGCCGAGTCTTCGTTGCACCAGCTTCAGCTCACCATCGCGAGTGAGAAGTCGAAACTTGACCACGCGCGCAAGATCAAGCAGGAGCTTGACCTGAAGAGCCACGAGATCAAGCTTGGTGAAGAGCAGATTAGCAGCAACTCTTCTTCTTCAATCATCCAGGAGGTGCAGAACATGAAGGAAACGATTGCCCAACTCAAGACCGACACTGCAGAGGCCAAGAAGAGGCACACCGAAGCCACTGCTGACGTCAAGCGGATTGAGAAGGACATGAAGGATTTCGATAACAACAAGGATGCGAAGCTTGTTGAGCTCCAAAAGTCACTAGACAAGTTGAGAGCCGACCTTACGAAGAACACTGCTTCCGTCAAGGTTCTGCAGAAGGAAGTGCAGGGCGCCCAGCTTGACTCGGAACAAGTCTCGGGCGATCTGTCCGCAGCCCGCGAACAGCAGCAAGAGGTTGAAGTAGCCATCAAGGCCCAGCAGCAGGACATCGAGGATCTTGTCAAGCAGCAAAGCACTCTACAAGAGACTCTTGACGGTGTTCAGGCCGAGCTCGACGATGAGCGGGCCAAGCTTCATGGCTTCGATGACGAACTCCACGCCCTTGAAGATGTTACGCGATCCAAGAACGCCCGCATCGCCGAGGAGAGTCTCGAGAAGCAGAAGCTTGGTCATCAGGTCGAGAGGTTCCACAAGGAGCAGCAATCGGCCGTGCAAACAGTCGCGCACATGGAGAAGGAGCACGACTGGATCGCCGACGAGAAGGAGAACTTTGGCCGCACGGGAACGCCATATGACTTCAAGGGTCAGAACATTGGCGAGTGCAAATCGACGCTCCGCAACCTCACAGACCGCTTCCAGGGCATGAAGAAGAAGATCAACCCCAAGGTCATGAACATGATTGAGAGTGTAGAGAAGAAGGAGGTCTCGCTCAAGCACATGATGAAGACTGTCATCCGCGACAAGCGCAAGATTGAGGAGACCATCATCAGCTTGGACGACTACAAGAAGAAGGCCCTGCAGGAGACCTGGGAGAAGGTCAACGGCGACTTTGGTCAGATCTTCAACGAGCTCCTGCCCGGCAGTTTCGCCAAGCTGGACCCCCCTGAAGGCAAGACCATTAGCGACGGTCTCGAAGTCAAGGTTTCCCTTGGCAAGGTGTGGAAGCAGAGCTTGACTGAGCTGTCTGGTGGACAGAGGTAAGGATGCTCTCACCCCTTGGCTACTATGGATTCGGACTAACACGTGCAATCTAGATCACTCATCGCCCTTTCACTCATCATGGCCCTGCTGCAGTTTAAGCCTGCGCCCATGTACATTCTCGACGAGGTCGATGCCGCGCTGGATCTGTCCCACACGCAAAACATTGGTCGTCTGATCAAGACGCGCTTCAAGGGATCGCAGTTCATCGTCGTCTCCCTCAAGGACGGCATGTTCCAGAACGCGAACCGCATCTTCCGGACTCGCTTCAGCGAAGGAACCAGTATGGTTCAAGCGCTGACGCCTGCCGATATGAAGTAGATGTGTTTTGTGAGCGTTTGCTCATGGGTGTGTTTTGAAAACGGCTTCCGGATCGCGACATGATGATGATGACGATGATGGGATATTTCTTCCCCCTTCCTGTTTACCATTGGGGCCTCCTTTCTCCGGGTTGAAGAAGAGGCGTAAGGGTACTCGACGGGGTTTCTGGGTCGGGTTGTATTTTCATTTGGTTGGATACCACGGCGGAGCACGCTTTTTGTCGTTTTTTCTGCGGGTTGTCTGTCGTCTCACAAACAAACCGGAACTATGGGAGTAATGGCATGATATCTAATGGAGGCTGCGAGTGCGAAAAATTACGAATCCAATTTCTTTTTCCGGTTTCTAACCTACAACATTCTCCTTTCTGCATGTGATTGTGGCCCAAGTCTATATCTATTATGCCTCCACACCATACCCAAGCAGTGACAACCCCCAACACACTCTCCTCGGCAGCATCCACATCCTTTCATCAGCCGCTGCTGCCCGGACATCCTTTCTCCGACGTAAGATCGAGATAGGGCGCGAAAGAGAGAGAGCTAGACATGCTTTTTTCACTGCTTGATGTAGACGTGCTCGCCGCGCTCCAGCACAGAGACGTCCATGCCGACCTCGAGCCAGGCCTGCATGTACTCGACGCGGTCGGTGCCCTCGAAGAGCGGGCACATTTGCATGCCGAGGCACCCCATGCGCGGGGCGCCCTCGTCGACGTCGCGGAGTTTGCGGAGGGATCTGTCTGGTTCGACGGTGTGGCGGGCGCCGGTGACTGGGTCGACGTTTGGCATTTTGCAGCTTTTTGTCCAGCCGTGTTAGTTTCTCAATTATTTGGGGTTTTGAGGAAGATGAAAATGGGATGAGGAAGTGAGTGAGTGAGAGTGCTTACCGGACTGTACGGCACGAGACTTGGAACTTTGCCGGGACGGTGACCTTTGAGGTGCCCTGGGTGAAGTTTACCCATTTCCATGATTCTTCGTCGTAGGCTGGCGCACCAGAGACTATGTAGTTGCAGTATTTCGGTCAGTAAAGCTCTTGAGCCTGGAACTTCGCCCACTATCCAGTCTCTAGAGTGTCTCAAGGGGGGGGGGGGGGTCATCATCTCATGCCGTGTCAGATCGCAACTTACCAATGATGTTGGACCGGAACCGCCTGACGTCGAAATGCTTGAGCTCGTCGTCCTTGGGCACCTTGGTGTCAAAGTCCTGGAGACTGCTAATGTTCATGATATGCAGGGGATACTGGTTTCCAAGAACAAAATTCGTTAGCCTCAAGTCACACATCTCTCTCTGTCTCTCACTCTCCATCCATATCTCTCATACCTCCCAGAAGGAAAGAGAGAGGAAGCGAGAGAAAAGGGGGGACGCAAAGAAAAGACATCAAACTCACAGCATCCTGAAATCCAACAATAGGTTGATACCCAGCCTCCTCCTTCCGCGGCGCACACCGATACACCTCCCTCAACTGCCCCGGATCAACCCGAAACAGCGCCAACTTATTACTCACCCCCAAATACCGACACAGCTCCCCCGGCAACTCCTTTTCCATATTCAGCGCCGGCACAACCTCCTTCCACACCTTCACGTCCTCGCGCGTATACCCGCGCTCCGCAATCTCCGCCTCGGTCGGGAACTCGACGGGCAACAACACCTCCATCTCGGGCTGGCCCCGCCTCCACCCGCCCCGGATCTTGGACGCCACCCACGACATGGTGCCCCTCCACCCCGGTTCCCTCCAAGGGAAACGCATCACGATCCACGCGTCCGAGGACTTCTCCATAAAGACTGTGGACTTTGTCGCGTCGGGGACGTAGACGTCGACTTTGACTGTGGCCAGGAGGGGGAACTGGCGCTGCGTGACGAATTCCCAGGTGTGTTGGTCCTTTGCCTCGGCCGAGTCGTCTACGGCGGCCGGAAAGCGGGATTTGAGCTGTGCGAAAGTGTACAGCCTGTCGAATTCCAGGCCGGTGGGCAGGAGCTTGCTCCGGGTCACCTCGATGCCGCGGCATGATTTGATGGGGTAGACGCAGAGCGCCTTGAGCTGGGCGACGGGGCCGCTTGCGCCGGTGCCGGCATTGGAGGCGGTGTTGGAAGCGGTGTTGGAGGCGGTGTTGCTGTTGCTGTTGTTGCTGTTGTTGTCGGCCTTGACGGAGTGCTGGCCCCGGAGGTTGCTCTTTGGCGGCGGGACGCCAATCTTGGTGTGCGTTGACCGCAGGGCGTCGCTGGTGGTGGCCGGGATCGGGGGGAAGATGTAGAGGACCGGGACGAGGAAGCAGAGGAACGTGGCGAAGGGGAGGAGGTAGAAGCCGATGCCGAGGTGTTGTGGCTCACCCAGAGCGGATGCCGAGATATTTGGGTCCATTATGATTATACTTCTTCCGCTTTCCGTGTCTTCTGTTCTTTCTCAGACCCAATGATCTTCCTGTTGCTCGGGTTCTCAACGTCTGTTTGTCGTGTGCTTTCTGTTTACAACAGTCTCCGGTTTCTCCCTGTGATCACTCACTCACTCACTCACTCCCTTGCTTGTAAGACGGATTTTGGGTGGGTTCTGATGAGAGGCAGGCGGTCGCGTGGTTGAAAGCTCCACCACAAAATCTCTCACACGCAATGTTTTATTTCGTCGACGGTATAATTGAGGGTTTTCTTAGTTTATGGTACGATATGAGCTTCACATCATCTCACCCCTTTAGACCACGCTTCCTATTGACAGCGCGGCTGAAACTTTCCATTCATCCCTTTCAGCAGGGTCCAAGACCCCTACGGCCCGGGCGCGCGTTTGATACTGCCATCACGTGCAGGATCAAGTGACCTTTCCCCCCCGGACAGAGAGATATTCGCTTAGTCATTCAATTGTCTCGAGAGAAGCTGGTCTGTGCTTGAAACGAAACTTGGTCCAAGGAAATTCGGTCCCAAATCCCCCGCGCCTAATTTCAGAACCGCACGTGTGGGTGGGCGTGGGTATTTGCAGTTCCGTGACTTGGTATCCCTATCTGTACTCCGTAAGGAGTACCGCACCCAAGGCCACCTCGAGACGTGTAATCGTCAATTCGAAACAAAAGCAGGGGAACTGTTGTGATCTTCATTGCGAAAAGCGGGATGATGCCATCAGCACGGGGGGGGGATTGCAGATGCCACGTACCGTACTGGCAACCCCTACACCCCTATCAGCCACAGCAGATGGATGACGCCAACATCTCCATCACCCTCCCACGCCTCCTTGTCGATTCTTACGTCCGTATGCGTAATAGCCTTAGAGGTGCGGTGACACATCTCTAGCGGCAGTTAGTTCCGGCGCCTTTGAATTTTTTTCTTCTTCTTCAATTGGCTCCTGTGTTGTACGACGAATCAACTACACATCTCCGTGAGGGCTTCAGCACTGAGATTAAGTGTCAAATGTGGAGGAAGGGGGAGCATGAGATCGCCCTCTAACCTCCAGGTCCAGCACAACCTCTATGTACGGTGTACCTTGGCAAGTCGATCTGGAAGGGTAAACTCCGTTCACTCGGGGCCAAATGTTAAGGACCCGACGAGGTTCGTCCGACAACCTCTGGGCGCAATGCAATGGCATTCGCAAAGTACCGACAGCTTTAGCCGCCGCTTCCAACTCGGCCGTCGTATTAACCGACGTAGCAGGAGTGACTGCAACGCTTGGTTCGTATATCACCAAGGAAGAACGCCTCCGGTCGAGAGTGACTCTTTGCGCCCGTTGTAATCTGATGGCACGGATGAGAGTTGGGCTGTTGTAGAGTGTGACAAAAATGACACTCGGTCTGATCGCAATGTCGCAATGGGCTGGCGAACATAGTCCGTTCTTTGCGTAGTATCCATTGGGAGTCTCCCGCATAATCCCCGAGAGGAAACCCCAAACTGGTAGCATTGCAACAGGAGAGGAAGGCGAGGTGATGTCGTTGGCGCCCGTTGCGATTGGATATTCAAATCCAGAGTAGTATTCCCTCGTCGGATCGGAAAATTCGAAGGCGGGCTGTCCCTGAGATTGCGCGAAAGAACTTTGAGGCTGCATGGATCCAGTTCCATGGGATCTACAAACACGGTCTGGTCTGGTCTGATCATTTCTGATCAAACCCTTCAATCCGCCCACGGCCAGCTGCGCATACCATATGTCTCCTGTGATTTATGCGCGCATCTGTAAACTGTCTCTGGGAAATGATTATGGGAGGTTTGCAACTTGCCATGTTCAACTCCAGCAACGGAGACAGAGGAGTATCAAGACGAAGCCGATGTCACATAATGTATGACTGTGTAGTAGATCGATCATGAACATCTTTCCAATAGGAGGGAATAGTAATGGTTACACCGATACTATGCGCCCAGAGAAGCTTTGAAATATCGGCAGATCATTTGCATCGTTCCTGCGCCTCTGGCCCATCTGGGACGCGCGTTATAGGTAGGTAGGAGCCCGGAGGAATTCAGCCCGGACGAAGAAGAGCCGCACGTCCGACAAGAGTCTGAGGTACCGTATGGAAGGGGCCATTGTGATGCTCAATGCCGAAAATACCTCGTCAATCACGTCGGAGATTGAGAAAGTAGGCGCATGTATCAACTTCTCCTACACCGGATGGCGCTTTAACGCGAATTTCGAAGAGAAGATCAGGATGCTACTCTGATACTGTGACGGTGGCTTTGAAGTCTGGACACATAGACCCTGACTGGGGATGAAAGAGAGAGAGAGAGAGAGAGAGAGAGAGAGATGTCATCCCACAACCCGGCTAAAATCGCATGGCTGAGCAAAGACGACATACCGGGACGGTTGGTCCACTCAGCGCCCGTCTGGGGTAAGAACTTGATATCAAAGCGCACGATGAGTACGGTTGCAGATGTTCAACAGCCTCACGAGGCTTTCGCTAAGCAGCATGAGCCGGGATGCAGAAGCCACCGACCGCGTCTTCCATCAGCTCAGTAACCCCGTCTGATAGAAAGGCAGATAGCTGGATGAGTAGGAGTAGATACGGAGCATCTCAAAGAGACCAACACCAAAGTGTCCTGAACATGGAACACGAAACAGAAATTACAAGAGGCCTTTGCGCCCGTAGTAAGACATGGCTGACCCCATAGCAACTGGGTATGGATGACGACCAACGAACCATGATTAGAAAAAAAGAGAAATGACGATGATGGCCGTTACAATAGGTCGACCTTCACTCTAAGGGAGTCGGGGCCAGGGCCTTCTCTCCGAAACTGACATAGGTCTGGCCTCTGTGTTTTGATGTCTCTTCCAGGATGCGGTGTTTTTTTTTTCTTTCTCGATTTCTCGTGTAGGCAGTGATGTTCCTCTGTCAATATGCCGTCCTTGATGCTGTTGGTCACTTCTGCTCCCTGTTCATAGGTAGCCAAGTATGTTGATGTCAACATGGGGGCTGTAGTAGAGGCATGCTGTTAGGCCAGTCCGGCTGATTCAACCTGAAAACGCCTTCCGTATTGTGTCAGCCATCCGCTTGATCCTTTAGATAAGTTAGTCATCGGAGCATATGCCAACATTGGTATGGTGAGCATACCTACTGTCGATTTGGCCAGCCACAACGCCAGGGCCTCTTTGCTGATCTCACTTGACGGCACTTCACAAGTTCACATTGCTTCAAAGCCAACGCTGGCTGCTTTTGCCCCACTGCGGAAGGGATGGGAAAGCGTAGAGAACGACGTGAAGCCTTGGGTTCATCTGAGGACGAGCCCCCCATGCCCCCGTCTTTGCGATCCTTCTAGGCCCTGGCTAGGCAGATTTTGGAAAGATGCCAAGCATCGTTGGCCTTTTGTTTTCGCGCTAGATTTCTGGACGAAAGACGTTCGTAGTATGGCGAGTGGCTGCATACGTGTTAACTAAATGCGGGTTCGCGTTCTTTGTTCAATTCCGTACCTCTCTCTCTCTCGGAGATCGGTACAATCGTATCTGCCGCCTGGGTTCTTGAGCTTGAGTAAAGACCGATCGACTTTGCCAGTCTAAGCACGGTTGCGAATTGGCCGACTCTCGGAAGAGCTACGGCTTACTTCGAGCCTGGCAGCAGTGCAGCACTCGAGCATATTCTACCGCTTGTCGCCATTGACGCATTTGAAGAAGCCATGCCTAGCATATGGGACTCTTCTCCGGGTCAGCGGGAGTTGGGGGCGGGTCTCTTTTGATTTGTTACAATAGTGAGCAGCTTCCCGCCTTTGGGGTTACTAGGATAGGATATGAGCAAGGGAGCCATTATCGCTTTCGTTCGGCGCTGTGCTCGTTTGATCACTGTGTGCAAAGCTAGACGGCTATATCAAGCCATCTTATTGTTTGTGATTTGCAAACTGGATCCGTCGTGTTGCGCTGCCAAATATGGCTGTCTTCTGGTACTACCAGCCTTTCGCAGGCCGTTCATCCGATGGGCGTCAAGCTCGAAAAGGCAAGACGTTCTGCTGGCACTATTGAGGAGATTAAGCCAACGGCCGTTACCGTTAAACGTCTGCAGCGATCAAGACTCGCCGCGCCATAAATGGTCCAACGGCTGTTGGGAAGCGTGCGATACAATTGTCCTCGCTGTTGGCAGCTCACGAATGTCATTTTGCAGAGCTTCCCACCCTAACCCAGGGCCGTATGCCATATTACCTTGTCCATGGCTTCCCTCCATTTTGGGGTGGGTTTGTTGTCAAATCCGTGTCACAACTTCGTAAGTACGGAGTAGGCCAGTTTAACCATGCTGGATCAGGACGTTGTCAGAATTCGAGTAGGGAGCTTGGGGCCGTAGCTGCCTGACTGCGGGAACTGTCGCGCGAGATGCTTGCGCTTCTGCGAGGGGGGCCTATCTAGGGCGCATTCCCTTTTTCTACGGATAGATGCATCATGTCCTTGTCGCGGAGTGTTGATACACAGAAGGAAAGGCCGCATAGCTGCCCGCCAATATGTTATTTGTTCCAGTACACGGGTGGCGCTTCCTGTTGTCACCTCTCCGTGGCAACATTGACTGCTCTGTACTGGCAGAATGTTGGAAAAACACGTCTTGGCTGTCGTTGAGCCCAGTAGTCACCATCGAGGTTCCGAGGCGGCCGACATATTGAGAAACAAATCTGCAGTCGGATTCATAACCCATGATCCCAACAAGGACCCAGAACTATGACCGCCTCCGTGGTGGGGTTTGGGAAAAAGCAATGAAGGAAGAGTTGCGAGAGGCTTCAGGGCTCAGGCCTGTCGTATGCCCCCTTGTCTCGGGGCGTGCCTTGCCACGGGAAATATGCAACCCTGCGCCGGCAGCGGACGGCCTAGGTCTCCAAGAAAGGCGGGAGAATATGAGGTGCGTCTGCTGCGTGGGATTTACACCTGACGACTGGCACCCTCGACGCTGAACTAAGTAGGACGCAGAGCGCTGCAAATAAAATTGCGAGACGATGGCGGTTTTGTGGCAAATCCTGCAGATAAGACCATGCATTATCTTTTCCGGATAAAGCGTCTTCTCCGTCATATATGACGGGTTTGACGACTCGTCCCGGTGGGCCAGATCCTGCTATAGGGTGCTATTGCTGATATTGAAGCAAACAACATGGATGGGACGAAGTCGCAGCTTCGAGCAGCTGATTGCGCCGTGACTCGGGTTCTCCCGAGCCAAAGCAGACTGCGGTGCGGTACGACGCGGATAGGACGATTGGATTAAGACGCAAAGGGCCCAGAAGCGCTGCAAGCTTCCGTCCAGCCCAGGCTGTCATGCTGAAAAAGAAAGTTGAGTGGAATTTTCTGTTCTAGAAGCCGGGCCGGTGGTGACGGGCGTGACAGAACCAAACCAAGCAAAAGTAAGGACAGAATTGGGTTCCATTATGCGGCAAACTCGGAGCAGATGAGACGTTGCAGTCCATCTGGATAATCGAAATGTTCGCACTGTCGACTGAGAGGGAGAGCGTAGGGCGCAGCAAAGTCTAAAGCTTCAGCTCAGCTGGTCTTTTTCGTGAGGCCAAGATGCTTAAGAGATGCATATGAAGCATGCCGTTTTTGGCCACAGACGCACAGGGCGCTTGCTGTTTGATGTGAGGGCGATGTGAGGTGTGTTTAGACTGTGGCGGCGTGCAATAAGGCTGATTATCCGGTATTGCTTGACAGCTGCAAGCAGCAAAACAAGGGAATGGAGTGGATGGCCGAAATGATCCAAGTCCAGGTCCAGCTGAAATGTCTCGGAAAGTACCGCAATTCGCCTTTGTTTGATGAGTTAGTATGGCGCTGTTGTTGAGGGGCCGTAGTTTATTTTAGAAATTGCTGCATGGCGATGGAATTGTTGCTGTGAATGTGCGAGGGAAGATGCAATGCGGTGCTATGCAGTGCAGCGCATGACATGACATGGCATTGCAGCAGCTGAGTCTAAGTTACAGCACGCTATTGCCGTCCACAACCGTCCCAAGCTGGGAGGGCGAATGAGGCAAGTGTGGCCACACGAGATGCACCTCAGGCAAATTATGACCATGGGCCAGTTCCTAGGGGCGGAACCAAGGCGGAACAAGGCGGAAAGTGACTGACCGGAGGAGGGACCTTAGATGGTAGGTAGGTACGGATATGGGGACCTTGGTTTCTCAATAATAATAAAGCGACTAATATCAGGTGAGTACGGATATATACGACTGATCCGACTGCAGCCAAATATACTCCTCCGTATGCCAGTGGCAGCTGCAGTGGTTATTCGTAGGTACCCCGTAATACAGTGAAAAGAAAAGAGACAAATACATCAATCCCGAGAAAACATACAATAGAGGCAAACCCCCCCCCCCCCCCCCCCCCCCCAGACCGGCAGGGGCACAATGCTGCAGCGCACCTTCGATCGGTCTGGGCCGCTAGAAACCATTGGATCGGGTCATTACAGGTTAAATTCACAATACCGCAACGCCGCAACGAGGCATATCCCGGTTCAAACCGACATCTGACTGGCTGGGGGCGACATGGGGAGAGTGAGATTGAGAGAGAGAGAGAGAGAGAGAGAGAGAGAGAGGGAGAGGGAGAAGATGGACAATTGCAAGTCAGCTTGGGCTGTACATAGCACCGTGGGGGAGAGGAGGCAACTTGGAGAGGTGAGAGGAAAGGAAAGGATGTTGTTGTTGGAAGTGAGGAGGAGCTGTGTGAGTGTGCTGCGTGAGAGTGTGAGGCAAGGCGCAATGATCAAGAGCCGGCACTTTCCCTACCATCCGGATCTTACCTGAGGATTTGAAAGCACGCGCTACATATTGCAGGCCCCTGTCCAGCCTCCGTCTTC